TGGTCTACAGAGCTGGTGCCACTATAATATGTGGGTCTACGGAGCTGGTGGCCTGTAGTATGTGGTGCAGAGCTGGTACCACTATAATGTGTTCACAGGAGCTGGTGCCACTATAATATGTGGTCTACAGAGCTGGTGCTACTGTAGTGTGGTCTACAGAGCTGGTGCCACTATAGTATGTGGTCACAGAGCTGGTGCCACTATAGTGGTCTACAGAGCTGGTGCCACTATAGTATGTGGTTCTACAGAGCTGGCGCAACTATAGTGTGGTCTACAGAGCTGGTGCCACTATAGTATGTGGTCCTAGAGCAGTGTGCCACTATAGTATGTGGTCTACAGACAGTATGTGGTCTACAGAGCTAGTGCCATGGTGTGTGGTCTGGACAGTGCCACTATAGTATGTGGTCTACAGAGCTGGTGCCACTATAGTATGTGGTCACAGAGCTGATGCCACTATAGTATGTGGCTCACAGAGCTGGTGCACTATAGTATGTGGTCTACAGAGCTGGCAACCATAGTATGTGGTCACAGAGCTGGTGCCACTATAGTATGTGGTCACAGAGCTGCTGACATAGTATGTGGTCTACAGAGCTGGTGCCACTATAGTATGTGGTCTGCAGAGCTGGTGCCACTATGGTATGTGGTCTACAGAGCTGGTGCCACTATAGTATGTGGTCTACAGAGCTGGTGCCACTATAGTATGTGGTCTACAGAGCTGATGCCACTATAGTATGTGGTCTACAGAGCTGGTGCCACTATGGTATGTGGTCACAGGAGCTGGTGCCACTATAGTAGGGTGGTGGAGCTGTGCTACTGTAGATTGGTCAGCCCTCCAACACGCCCCTGTTAGCCAAGTCATTTAGTGTTGTTGGTGGTGATGTAGCCTCCTGCCATCTGATGGTGGTGGTGGTGCCTCAGTCATCTGGTGGTGGCGCCTCAGTCATCTGTTGGTGGTGGTCACCTGTGGTGCGCAGTCATTTGGTGGTGGTGGTCACCTGGTGGTGGTGCCTCAGTCATCTGTTGGTGCCGCAGTCATCTGGTGGTGGTGGTCACCTGGTGGTGGTGCCTCAGTCATCTGTTGGTGGTGGTCATCTGGTGGTGGTGCCGCAGTCATTTGGTGTGGTGGTCACCTGGTGGTGTCACCTGGTGGTGGTGCCCTCAGTCATCTGTTGGTGGCCGCAGTCATCTGGTGGTAGGTCACCTGGGTGGGCGCAGCTGGTGGGGTGCCCAGTCATCTGGTGGATGGTCACCTGTGGTGGTGCCTCAGTCATCTGGTGGTGGTGGTCAACTGGTGGTGGTGCCTCAGTCATCTGTTGGTGGAGGTCACCTGGTGGTGGTGCCTAGTCATCTGTTGGTGGTGCCTCCATGTGGTGGTCACCTGGTGGTGGTGCCTCAGTCATCTGTTGGTGGTGCCAGTCATCTGGTGGTGGTGGTCACCTGGTGTGGTGCAGCAGCTGGTGGTGGTGCCGCAGCCTGGTGGTGGTAGGCCCAGCCATCTGTTGGTGGTGGTGGTGGTGCCTCAGTCATCTGTTGGTGGTGCCTCAGTCACCTGGTGGTGGTGCTCAGTCATCTGTTGGTGGTGCCCAGTCACCTGGGTGGTGCTTTAGTCATCTGTTGGAGTGGTGGTGCCTCAGTTATCTGTTGGTGGTGCCTCAGTCACCTGGGTGGTGCCTCAGTCATCTGTTGGTGGTGCCTCAGCATTGTGGTGGTGCCCCAGTCATCTGTTGGTGCTCAGTCATCTGTTGGTGGTGCCGCAGTCATCTGGTGGTGGTGGTCACCTGGTGGTGGTGCCCAGTCATCTGTTGGTGGTGCCTTAGTCATCTGGGGTGGTGGTCACCTGGTGGCCCAGTCATCTGGTGGTGGTGGTCACCTGGGGTGGTGCCTCAGTCATCTGGTGGTGGTGGTCACCTGGTGGTGGTGCCTGCAGTCATCTGTTGGTGGTGCCGCAGTCATCTGTTGGTGGTGCCGCAGTCATTTGGTGGTGGTACCTGTGGTGGTGCCTCAGCTCATCGTTGCGTGCCGCAGTCATCTTGTTGGTGGCGCAGTCATCTGTTGGGGTGCCTCAGTCATCTGGTGGTGGTGGTCACCTGTGGTGGTGCCTCAGTCATCTGTTGGTGGCGCAGTCATCTGGTGGTGGTGGTCACCTGGTGGTGTGCGTCAGCTTGTGTGGTGGTCACCTGGTGGTGGTGCCTCAGTCATCTGGGTGGGGTCATCTGGTGGTGGTGCCTCAGTCACCTGGTGTGGTGGTCACCTGGTGGTGCCTCAGTCATCTTGGTGGTGGTGGTCACCTGGTGGTGGTGCCGCAGTCATCTTGCAGGTGTGGTCACCTGGTGGTGCCGCAGTCATCTGGTGGTGGTGGTGGTCACCTGTGTGGGTGCCTCAGTCATCTGGTGGTGGTGGTCACCTGGTGGTGTGCCGCAGTCATCTGGTGGTGGTGGTGGTCACCTGGTGGTGGTGCCTCAGTCATCTGGTGGTGGTGTTCACCTGGTGGTGGTGCCTCAGTCATCTGGTGGTGGTGGTCACCTGGGTGGTGCTGCAGTCTGTTGGTGGTGCTCACTGGGTGGTGGTGGCTGGTGGTGGTGCCTCAGTCACCGGGGTGGTGCCTCAGTCATCTGGTGTGGTGGTCACCTGGTGGTGGTGCCTGTCATCTGCTGGTGGTGGTCACCTGGTGGTGGTGCCTCAGTCACCTGGTGGTGGTGCCTCAGTCATCTGGGGTGGTCACCTGGGTGGTGCCTCAGTCATCTGTTGGTGGTGCCTCAGTCACCTGGTTTGCTGGTAGGTGGTGGTCACCTGGTGGTGGTGCCCAGTCACCTGGTGGTGGTGCCTCAGTCATCTGGTGGTGGTGTCATTGTGGTGGTGCCTCAGTCATCTGTTGTGGTTCAGTCATCTGGGGGTGGTCACCTGTGGTGGTGCCTCAGTCACCTGGTGGTGTGCCTCGGTCATCTGTTGGTGGTGCCTCAGTCATCTGGTGGTGGTGGTCACCTGGAGTGGTGGTGCCTCAGCTCACTGGTGGTGGTGGTCACCTGGTGGTGGTGCCTCAGTCACCTGGTGGTGGTGCCTCGTCATCTGAGTGGTGGTGGTCACCTGGTGGTGGTGCCCAGCTTGTGTGATGGTGGTGTGCTTCGGTAGCCCATTGGTGGGGTGGTCACCTGGGTGTGGTGCCTCAGTCATGCCTGTGGTGGTGACTTAGTTATCTGGTGGTGGGTCACCTGGTGGTGGTGCCTCAGTCATCTGGTGGTGGTGGTCACCTGGTGGTGGTGCCGAGTCATCTGTTGGGTGCCTCAGTTATCTGGGGGTATGTGGTCTCAGTCACCTGGTGGTGGTGCCTCAGTCATCTGGTGGTGGAGTGGTGGTGCCTCAGTCATCTGTGGGGTCACCTGGTGGTGCCTCCAGTCATCTGGTGTGGTGGTCACCTGGTGGTGTGCCTCAGTCACTGCTGGTGGTGCCTCAGTCATCTGGTGGTGGTGTCACCTGGTGGTGGTGCCTCAGTCACCTGGTGGTGGTGCCTCAGTCATCTGGTGGTGGTGGTCACCTGGTGGTGGTGCCTCAGTCACCTCTGGTGCCTCAGTCATCTGGTGGTGGTGGTCACCTGGTGGGTGCCTCAGTCACCTGGGTGGTGTCAGCCTCTGTTGTCAGTTGTCTGGTGGTGGTGGTCACCTGGGGTGGTGCCTCAGTCATCTGGTGGTGGTGGTCACCTGGTGGTGGTGCCTGTCACCTGGTGGTGGTGCCTCAGTCATCTGGGGTGGTGGTCACCTGGTGGTGGTGCCTCAGTCATCTGGTGGTGGTGGTCACCTGGTGGTGGTGCCGCAGTCATCTGTTGGTGGTGGTCACCTGGTGGTGGTGCCTCAGTTATCTGGTGGTGGTGCACCCGGTGGTGGCCTCATTCCTGTGGTGGCCGCAGTCATCTGGTGTGTGGTCACCTGGTGGTGCCGCAGTCATCTGTTGGTGGTGGTCACCTGGTGGTGGTGCCTCAGTCATCTGTGTACCGTGCTCAGTTATCTGGTGGTGGTGCCGCAGTCATCTGGTGGTGGTGGTCACCTGGTGGTGGTGCCTCAGTCATCTGGTGGTGGTGCCTCAGTCATCTGGTGGTGGTGGTCACCTGGTGGTGGTGCCTCAGTCATCTGGTGGTGGTGGTCACCTGGGGCAGTCATTATCTGTGTTGGTGGTGGTCACCTGGTGGTGGTGCCTAGTCACCTGGTGGTGGTGCTGCAGTCATCTGGTGGTGGTGGTCACCTGGTGGTGTGCCTCAGTTATCTGTGGTGCGTGTCATCTGGTGTGTGGTCACCTGGTGGTGGGTCACCTTGGTGGTGCCTCAGTCATCTGTTGGTGGTGCCGCAGTCATCTGGTGGTGGTGGTCACCTGGTGGTGGTGCCTCAGTTATCTGGTGGTGGTGCCGCAGTCATCTGGTGGTGGTGGTCACCTGGTGGGTGGTCACCTAGTGGTGGTGCTCACATCAGTTGTTGGTGGTGCCAGTCATCTGGTGGTGGTGGTCACCTGGTGGTGGTGCCACATCTGGTGGTGGTGGTGGTCACCTGGTGGTGGTGCCTCAGTCATCTGGTGGTGTGGTGTGTAGCCTCTATTATCTGGGTGATGGTGGTGGTGGTGGTGATGTAGCCTCCTATCATCTGGTGTGGTGGTGATGTAGCTTTCTGTTACCTGGTGGTGGTGGTGATGTAGCCTCAGTCATCTGGTGGTGGTGGTGGTGGAGGTAGCCTTCTGTTACCTGGTGGTGGTGGTGATGTAGCCTTCTGTCATCTGGGTGGTGGTGATGTAGCCTTCTGCCATCTGTTGATGGTGGTGGTGATGTAGCTTTCTGTTACCTGGTGGTGGTAGTGATGTAGCCCTCAGTCATCTGTTGGTGGTGTGTGGTGAGGTAGCCTTTATCCTGGTATTGGTGGTGATGTAGCCTTCTCTCATCTGGTGGTGGTGGTGGTGGTGGTGAGGTAGCCTTCTGTCATCTGGTGTTGGTTGTGATGTAGCCTTCTCTCATCTGGTGGTGGTGGTGGTGGTGATGTAGCTCAGTCATCTGGTGGTGGTAGTGATGTAGCCTGTCATGTGGTGGTGGTGGTGCCTTAGTCATCTGTTGGTGGTGGTGATGTAGCCTCAGTCATCTGGTGGTAGGTGGTGGTGATGTAGCCTCCTGTCATCTGGTGGTGGTGGTGGTGGTGGTGATGCAACCCTTTGTCATCAGTCTGTCCCTTGTTCTTCACTGGTTAGATGATATAAATAATTTTAATGATAAATAGATAGGTTCACAGACTTACTAATTGGCAAAGCCATCAGATACTTATTTACAGTAGGGTCCTTTTGCTAGGTCTCTAATCAGTAATACTATGTCTACAGGAGAAATAATGAAAGTTTTCTGATCAATTTAACAATCATTACATTGCACTTGGACTAACCGAGGTTGGCAGATCACTTCTATAATATTTTTGTGGTTAATACAAACAGCTTCATCTGTTATGATTTTACTTTTAGCTATGAATTGTTTTACGCTATTACTGGTTTTGATGTGATTGGTAACTTGTTTCAGTCTTTTATAGCTGTGAAGAAGAAAGTGTTTTTGTGACAAAATTGATACAGTACAGTACAGTATGCAATTATGTTCCTCTCTAGTGCCCTGCCGGTTCATTATCCCTAATCCTTATAGAAATTTTGGTGTTAAATCAGTCTGCCAACCACCTATAGGGTTTCAGACTCAGTTGTTTCCTCTATCTGTCACACTTAACATTTTCAGTGATTGTGATTGACTCAGATAATGTGATCTCTTGCATTCATATCAAAAATAAACCTCTCCTTCCTTGTTTAAATAATTTTTAATTTGGCTTTTAGCTTCTGTGTTAAGGCAGAGTGTAATGATGATAAGAATAGTCTAAGTGACTTTGTATGAGTGCCAAGCAAAGGGTTGCTATGGTCAGCTGAGACATTTGGCATTTCTATAAACAAATTGTTGATCCTAACATTAGTTTTACTTATTATATCGTCTCTTAATTTCACCTTGAAGAAAGTCAAGAGTTAGTCGGGTATTTCCTCAGTTTACAGTTGAGATGATTATTGCATGTAGTTAAACTCCCCAAGTCGGATGTCCTCTGAAATACCAATGCAGATGCTGAGTTGTAATTGGCCTCTACAAAACCTGGGCAGTACTCAAATTCTGAATCTTGACTCTATAGTACTAAAATATCCTTTTACTGAACTAGGTGGGTAGCATCCAGCTACTTCAGCCATAGGCCCATAGGTAGTTATATTTATTTCTGTAATGATGCTTACTCATGTCCTTATGTGTACTAATGAAACAAAGCTGATATTCTTCAGAAACTGAGGAACTAAAATGTGTTCATGTTCATTGGTTAGATCATTTCCTAAACCAACAAGACCTAGGATCACAGATTGGCCTTGGCACTATGCAAGCTTTACATTGCTCACTAACTTCTTGAAATAAACCCTAGAAGGTTTAGATGAAATTGGACTCAAAAGCAAGGAGACCTGCCTGATGTAGACTATAAATATGTGAATAAGAGGAAAAAACAAGTCAGTGATGGTGATGCAGCAAATGATGATGACAGACTTTCTCCAAGAGACAAATTTTGAGTAAAATCCTTTATTCCCATGATGGATGCCCTTGAAATCAGTGTGTAAAAAATTATACAGTACCCTGTACCAATAATTTTGCAAAAATATAGAAATTTTAGTTGATTTTGAAGAAGAAAGATTGTGTGACAGTTAAAGTTTCTGATGAAAGACTATCCTGTAATGTGATGTTATGTTGGGAAGTGGAGGACTTTCATGTTTATACCAATAAAAATTATTCTAATAAAGGATATTTATGCTAGGACATCTATCAAGTCGTCTTCCAAGATAAGATTCATTGAGCTTCCTTATGCAGACAATATTGTGGCCACTTTTTGGTCTAATAGTAACAAACTGCTCAGGAGAAAGGTAAATTCTGCTGGAGGATTAAAATGAACTATGGACATCAATGCTGTGAATAGAAAGTGAAAATTTTGTGGCTTATCATTGGACGACTTCATCCATGACTTTGCTCTTGGAAACTATGAAGAAAATATTTTTAAACTTAAATGTTCAAACAGAAGAGACAGTGCCAGTCGCATTACTGCTTCCATTTACTAAGGGTGAAACTGTTTAATTTCTTTATATAATAGTAGGAGTAACCGGAGAACAGATTATCTCAACTGTTACTCAACTCCTGTGTGATGAATAACTTCTGTTACCAAAATTGTCACGTATACTTGGAGTACACTTGGGTAACTGTAAACTGTAGACTGGTCAACTTAAACTGGTCCTAGGGAAATTAAGAACCAAGCGGACTGTAAAGAACTGCAGAAGGACCTCTGTGGGCTCCAGGAATGGTCGAAGAAATGGCTGCTGAGATTAATACTGGTGACGGGTATGTACAGAGGCTTTTCCAACGGTAAGGAGGCGTATCATATGCCGTGGGGATGAAGAAACTGCACTAGTTGAGACTGTGTGTGAGAGGACTTTTGGTGTGTATGTTGACAATGAGCTGAAGTTCTCGGGCCATTGCGATAGAAGGTAAATCAGGCAAATAAATTATTGGGTCTTATAAGAAGGTCGTTCAGATATCTAGACGGTCCGTCAACGATCTTCAGGGGTGGAATTGCTTCCCCATCTGGGTACTGTCACCCCATCTGGTCCCAGATATGCTAGGGACTGTCAATTGGTTGAAAATGTTCAAAGGAGGGCCACTAGGCTGGTGCCTGCACTTCAGCACCTCAGCTACCGCAGGGAATTGGGCCTGAACTTGCCTAGCTTATACTACAGACGGGCAAGGGGGGACCTAGTTGAGGAGTATAAGCATCTCAGGGGCTACCAGTTGGAGCTGGTGGACGCTCGCCCCTACAGGGTCGCTCAGGAATTTGAAGAGCCCGCAAGTCCAGGAAACCGCGAGGGCAAACTTTTTCTGGAGTGAGTTGTAAACTCTCGGTACAATCTACCAGAGAGTGTTGTGACGGCACCGAGTGTGAGGCTCTTTCAAGACAAGACAGTAACACTGAGCGGGTTCAGGTGCATTCAGGAGCCGGTGCATGCCCAGTATTTGCCAACAGTGCGTGACAGAGACGTGACCGATCGCCCAAGCGGCAAACCAGAGTCGATCAGTGGCGAAGAGGATAAAAGTAAAAGTAGACTGGGTCCTATTAAGATACACTTTGCCATCTACTGTATCCAATATCTTCTTTGTAACAGTATATAACACAGAAATGGGGAGAACATAATATCTCTACCTTTACCATCTGTTATATATATGTAACAACCTTCCTGGGTTGTCACCATTTGTAACAATCACTTGTGAAAGATGTTACCTTATATTGTAGACGTACTAAAATATAGATCAACGTTTATTGGGTCTTCAGTAACTTAATCCAATGGGTTCCATTTGTGTATTTATTATAAAAGGTTTCTATGTACACTTTCAAAAAGGATTATCACCGTAACTTAATCACTGTAGCTATGAGTGTTAAATGAGGACGGAGGCTATCTTAAAGTAGCTCTCCTAAAACACGTCCCATTGATGTGAGAGTGGGAGTGATCTTGAGTAAGGACCCTCGAGGGAAAACGAAAATACATCCGACGTCCTCCCTCGAGGAAAGACGGAAGCACATCAACGATGGCTATAAATAATGTCTTCCTCTCCTCAGGGTTACCAAACCACTGCCCTCAATAGGTGGCCAGGGAGCCGGATACTTATCCCTTAGCTCAACACTAAGTGACGAGACCTCCCATGGACACACCTTATCACGTGCTCTGAACATGAACCTCATAGCTAGTGGAAAGTTACATGGGATGATAGTTATACAAGTCTAATGTAATTAACCCACATTTATAAAAATACTTCTGCCTATAAGACAGGGGCTAATACAAGGGTTAATCTGTGCAATGTTTTATGTTAAAAGTCTTCAATTTCACATTTGCTAGTTAGGAAATCATAAAGTATTTTATAATACAAATAAGGCTTTTCCTAAGATGTATATGTTATTTAGATTATAAGTTGTTCATTGCCTCTTCGCCTATGTATACTGTACAGTATATGTAAATACATAGTATTATAAACAACCAAATTATTGACCTTTATGTTAGAATGTAATACATCCTTTCTCACTATTAAATACCTTATTTTTTTATGGTATGGAGCCTCTAAATCTTGGCATAGCTTAGGGCTTCAGCATGTCTTACTACAGCCCTCCATCTAGCACAGATTGTAGTGATTATATAGTTACTACAGTACAGTACAGTACAGTACAGTACAGTACAGTATAGTACAGTAAATTTAAGTTCAGTGTAATTAAGTTCGGCATAATACTGTACAGCACTGTACATATTTCTACTCTAATGTTAAGCATGTCAGACTAGCCAAAGTGCAGTGCCTCTCTCCACCCACCAAGGCTCCAGCAATCATATAGGAAAGTAAATGTCCTGGAGTGTTCAGTTGTTATTATGTTTTTAAAGGCTAATATCAAATGAAGACAATTTTTTAAAAGGTACTGGATACAGGGACGTGTACAGATGAGGTGTGTGTGTGTGTGTGTGTGTGTGTGTGTAAGATAGGTGTAAATATGGAGGAGAAAGTAAAGATGTCTAATAAATATGTTAAAGAAGAGGTATACTGCATGAACCAACCTTCTGGAAAACATGTAACAACACACAAGTGAACATACTGGACGTGGCATGCTATATGTTTTACCTTGATAAGAGATGAGTTTATCTTGGGCCACTGCAGGATGAGTGAAGGAAGTGGGTGAACTTTTGAGTTTCTCTAATACATCTTTGTTGGTCGGTCCACTCAGTCTACTTCCCCGACCTTGCCTTCCTCTGTCACAATAAAAAGTGAGTTAGTGAAATACTGTACAGGCATACCTCAGGGTACAGAAGCTTGAGTAATGGAAATTCACATTAAAGGAACTAAAAAAAAAATATGGAATAATCTTTGAGATACAGAGGAAAAACTTCCATTAGTTACTGGGACACTGCACAGTACAGTACTGGTATTGGTTTGCTCAGATCCCATGAAGAATCTCCACCGGTGCATGAATGACATTTCACTCCAATTTTCACTGATTATATTCGGGAATACTGTATTATGTTGGGGAAAAATATTAAAATGGGTGAAATCATGTGCTAACCTAACCAAGCCTAAGAAAACCTGACCTGACCTAACCAAGCCTAAGAAAACCTGACCTGACCTAACCTAATCTACCCTATATCTTAAATTGCCTATATCTAGAAAACTAAGCGTTTGCATAAGAAAATGAACAGAAGGAAAAGCATAAATCAGGTTACAAAACTGTGGTATAACTGCAGTTTCGGACAATATGGATCATGAGTTGACCAATGTGTTTTTCCGATTGATTATACAATTTTAAGACATCTTTTTATAACGTATCCCTCGCAAATTACTTAAATATACAGGAATCAGCATAGAAGAAAATTGTCTTAAAAATGTCTAAACAATCGGAAAACACATTGGTCAACTACTAGGGGTATTGGCCAAAACTCTCTTATAAAAAATCCTAATTACTTAACCACTGACGGTCACCAGCCGTACATTTGCCTTTGCTGCTTTATTAACTTTAGAAAATTAGTTACCAAAATTAAAATAAGGAAATACCTGTACCTGCTGTTTCCCATACACAGGTAACGTGGTACTGTAGTTGTGTATAAATTATAACTGGTAAAGGTGCTTCCAGGTAAATTTGTTTGTTTACTAATATTCTGGTTTCTGAGCGTGCGCAGTTCCTTTACTTTTATCTGTGTTAAAAACGTTTATGCATTAGGGAACATCTTTCTTTATGTATCCTCGACCTCGGTGCCCCAAATACCCTTCTGATTAGAAAGATGATCTTGGTCATGTTTTTACTTTTACTTTACTTTTATCCTCTTCATCACTGATCGGCTCGTTAGCTGCTTGGGCGGTCGGTCACGTCTCTGATACTCACTGATTGGCAATTACTGGGCATGCACTGGCTCCACATAAATCTGATCCTGCTCCAATGCTGGTCAAGTCTGGTCTTGAAATAAGAGCTCACAGCCTCACACTCGGTGCCGTTGTAGCGGACCAGAAGTTAAAACTGTCAAAGAAATAAAATTGTTTATTTTGTATTTCCCTTTTCAATCGTTTGAGTGTGTGTGTGTGTGTGTGTATGTAAGTATTGCTTCTAAATTTATTTTATTATGTAAGAGGCGCCATATAACACTTTTCAGATACAGTAAACATACTGCTAGGATATACAATACAATTGGCAGCGCATCTTAGCTAAACAAAACAATAACTTTTTTATCAGAAAACTTAGAAAATTGAAGCTAACTTAAACATGATCATAAATTTGCCAGAACAAAAACTCTCTACCTTAATAAGTATTATTTCATGCCAGAGTTTTGTGTTCAAATTGTCCCGAGTATACTGATGCTTTAACTAAAACTTACATTGATTTACTAGTCTTTAAGTTGTTCATTGTGATCCTCGTTACTGTAGCCTGTGCTATTATCCACATAACTGTCACTTTATCAATTATTTATACATAATTCCAGAAAGTAAACAATATCAGCTCTGCCTTGCGGTTCTAGTTCTGCTAAATCTATTAAATCCGAAACAAGATCTTCACTTTATTTACAGTCTGCTTCCTTTCTTATATATCGTCCGGAGATATTTATATTTAACTCTCTTCGTTATTGACTACTGATCGTGTCGCAATGCGGATCTGGGTTTTTTTCACTGTCCAGGAAAAAGTACAATGTTGGTAAGGAAGGCGGTGAGTGTAAAGGTGATCCTTCAGTACATATTACTAGATACGAGATTATAGTGTAGCGACAGCATCTATTTTGTGTGTGTGTCCAACAGAGAGAGAGTGTGAGTGTGTGTGTGTGTGTCCAACAGAGAGAGAGTGTGTGCGTGTGTGTGTGTGTGTTAAATTACCATAAATAATGTTATAAGTATTACATTTATAGATTCTCACATTCACGATTCATCGAAAATCTGGATCAAGGTTTGTTTACCAATACACAACAGGTCTCTAGGGGTTCGTGAGCTCCTTCCCGAATTTATTACTGTTATCGCTGCTATACTAACACGCGTGATGACACCATATATTGTTTTGTTTTTTCTTTTAAGGTACAATAATGTGTACGTGAGGGTAGTGGCCTCTCTTCCCTGTCTCGTTATCAGAGTTAATATTGAATACTATTGTCATTTTTCCAAGGTTTATTTTTTATTTATTTATTTTTTTCGTGGTGATGACTCAGCTGTTGTGTTATTCAGGAGGAGGGAGGGGGAGAGGCTAGTGGCGTGTCGTCTCCTCCTCAATGTGGTTATTATCGTCATCAACTCAACAAGAAGAACAACAACAAAAACATCAACAATAATTATAATAACACTGATAACTACAACAACAACAACTACAACAACTACTATAACAACTACAAGTACAACACAGGCAAAGGGGTTCTGAAAATCCTTTTGGGAATTCTGACTGACACAGTGTTCATACTTGGCCTGACACAGTGTTCATAGTTGGCCTGACACAGTGTTCATACTTGGCCTGACACAGTGTTCATACTTGGCCTGACACAGTGTTCATAGTTGGCCTGACACAGTGTTCATACTTGGCCTGACACAGTGTTCATACTTGGCCTGACACAGTGTTCATACTTGGCCTGACACAGTGTTCATACTTGGCCTGACACAGTGTTCATACTTGGCCTGACACAGTGTTCATACTTGGCCTGACACAGTGTTCATACTTGGCCTGACACAGTGTTCATACTTGGCCTGACACAGTGTTCATACTTGGCCTGACACAGTGTTCATACTTGGCCTGACACAGATAACATCAGCATCTCACGTAAACTATGTTGAACACACAACCATACACAATCAGTAACTAGATTCACAAGAGCTATACTACCATATTACATCACTATACCTTATACAGACAACTTCCTGTGTGTAGAAATATTTAAAAACAACGGTTATTTATCGTATTTTGACCAATTTTCTTGTTATATTGTCTTAAAGTATCATCTTACGACTTTTTTTCATATAATAAAGTAAATCTCATCAGGGTAATGTTAGACACGCGAAGGTAAACATCACCTGATTGGCTACTATCATGGGGGTGTAATGGCGACGAGAGTGTATATCTAAGACGTGATTGGTTGGGTTAGCAATAGGGGCGGAGTCAGAGATAGGTGAGGGGGGGTCCATGGCCATACCAGGTGCCACTCGCCCACTCGGTGCCACAGGAGGGGGTATAGTCTCCCGCCATGAAGTAAAGGTAAGGCTGTTGATTTCTGTTATATATCTGTTTACGGTATATTTTTCCTCATTTACTGTTTATTTTAATGTTTTTATTCATTACTATTAACGCTGTTTTTAATTATCTATGTTGTTTTCGTTGTTTACTGATTTCATTATTTACATTATTTACTGTTTACATTATACCTCCGAGGGTAGTTTACGTTGAGTGATGGAGAAGGAGGGGTGAGGGGTTGAAGGAGGGGTGAGGGGTTGAAGGAGGGGTGGGGAGTTGAAGGAGGAGTGAGGGGGTTGAAGGGGTGAGGTTGCTGAGGGGTGGGGGGGTTGGAAGGAGGGGTGAGGGGTTGAAGGAGGGTGGGGGTTGAAGGAGGGGTGAGGGGTTGAAGGGAGGAGTGAGGGGTTGAAGGGGGGGGGTGAGGGGTTGAAGGAGGGGTGGGGGTTGAAGGAGGGTGAGGGGTTGAAGGAGGGGTGGGGAGTTAGCTGATGGTGTGGCCTAGGTGGATGGTGTGTGGCCAAGGTGGATAGTGTGTGGCCAAGGTGGATGGAGTGTGGCCAATAGGTGGATGGTGTGTGGCCTAGGTGGATGGTATGCAGCCTAGGTGGATGGTGTGTGGCCAAGATGGATGGAGTGTGGCCAAGGTGGATGGTGTGACACAATTCAGCATCTAGAAACGTATTCACATTCTGTCTCTGCTGTGTATGTATGTATGTATGTATGTATGTACGTACGAGGTATGTATACATAATAGGTCGCCATAATGTGAACAATGTGTATATTAACTTATGTAAACAGACCTCTACATATGTGTGTACTCAATGTGCTTGTAATAATGTACATGTGTCCGTACTGTACCGGTATAGTATACAAGCTTGTAGGTGATGTATACATGAACACGACCATACACGTACACACAGGCATGCCAGGTGCTCGTGTACACAATCACAAATACATACATACATACATACATACATACATACATACATACATACATACATACATACATCGACTTGTGTTGAATGTAATGTACGCAAACGCCATCATACACATGTACACCGACGTGTTATATACTAATACATTTGTCAGGTCCACATGTATACACGAACACAAATACGTTCACAGTTATACGATTAGGTCATGTGCACATATATGAATGTACACATAGTTGCGTCATATGCGGATGTACAAGGCCACATGTGCACCACGAGGTCATGGAGGGTGTGTGTGTGTACAGCGTGTTGTTAGAAACGTCCATACGAGAACAAGAACACGCATGTACACAAGTATATATGAATCACGTACACACAAGAGAGCATTTACATAAGTGCAAGTGCTTGTCTGTCTGTCTGTCTTTCTGTCCGTGTGTCTGTCTGTCTTTCTGTCCGTCTGTCTGTCTGTCTGTCTGTCAATCTTCCTGTGCGTGTGTCTGTCTGTCTGTCTGTCTGTCTGTCCGTCTGTCTGTCTGTCTGTCCGTGTGTCTGTTTGTCTGTCTGTCTGTCCGTGTGTCTGTCTGTCTGTCTTCACGTCGTTCTGGTGTTCCGAGTCCATATATCGACCTCCTCACGCCCCCCCCCCTCCCCGCGATCACGTGAGGATTTTACACACACGATCTAGCTATTTTACCTGAAGATTAACCACTCTATCGCTACCTGGACGCGGGGGGGGAGGGGGGTACGTCAGTGTTAGGTTAGGTTTGGTTTGGTTTGGTTAGGTTAGGTCGATACATGCATACATACATACATACATACATACATACTGCACATACACCTCCTCCGCCGACTCAAGTCCCCTGGAGTTCCTTCGCCCGAGCTCCTCAGTGTTTACTCAACATTCATACTTCCCAAGCTCACCAATGCCTCCCCTACCTGGTCTTCCTCCCTAAATGCCACACAACGTAAACACCTAGAAAAAGTGCAAAAGAGGGCATGCAACTGTATATTTTCAGCCTTCCAGCTGCCATGCTCTTTCAATAAACCGCTAATTACTATTATTGCTATTATTATTATTATTATTATTATTATTATTATTATTATTATTATTATTATTACAAACATACTGTTGACCAAACTCTACAAGGACCTGTGGCCCCATCCACCACAGCTTGAGGGCCACCAAACAACCATCTTATTGCATTGCCGTAGCCATTTAGGTGTGTCACCTTGGTACTCTGACCTCATCACGCACCGCCAAGTGTTGTCGCTTCACAATATACTGTATATCAGAGGTTGTCACTCACCAGACACCTTTAATTGTTGTCACCGCAAAACTATGACACCACCTAACAGGGATGGCACTGGTAAGGGTGGCACTGGTAGGGGTGGCTCTTCATCAGCACGTGAGATGGGAGATACGAGAGAAGGTGATACAAAGATATGACACACACACATACACACACACACACACACACACACACACACATAATTTTTTGCTACTAACCATAAAATATGAATCAAGAAGACTTCACTCATACCTGACACTTGAAGGAAGGCGATCGATGTCGTTGGTGGGTAAGGGGTGAAGTGGGAGGGTGAGGGGGCTGAGGGGGGAGAAAGTACCAGGAAGTAGGGTTGAGACTAGAGAGGGGGTAGTGGTCAGGGTGAGGGATGAACGTGACAGTACCCGCCTAAAACACCAGACAGATTAAAGTTTATGTAATATGCTTGAACCTCAGGGTAGTTCTTAAGGGTGGCGAGGAAGGTAATGTGGCACTGTACCTGGTCTACAGTATGTCATTCCCTCATCTGTAAAGTCAGGTACATGGTTCACAGCTGGGTGGGTGTGTGTGGGGTGAGGTGTGTGTGGTGTGATGTGGGGGGGGTGGTGGTGGGTGTGAGTGGGATGAGCGCCAGAATGCATAGAGCTGTTCACACCTACCATGCAATGCAGCACATCAACATCACTAAATAATAAACATGCTATGCTGCAAAAAACGCAAGGCAGCACGAAGTACAAAATTGCAGCACCAAGCAGTATTACGCAGCACCAAGCAGTATTACGTAGCACCAAGCAGTATTACGAAGCACCAAACAGTATTACGTAGCACCAAGCAGTATTATGCAGCACCTAGCAGTATTATGCAGCGCCAAGCAGTATTATGCAGCACCAAGTAGTATTATGCAGCACCAAGCAGTATTATGCAGCACCAAGCAGTATTATGCAACACCAAGCAGTATTATGCAGCACCAAGCAGTATTACGTAGCACCAAGCAATATTATGCAGCACCAAGCAGTATTACGTAGCACCAAGCAGTATTATGTAGCACTAGAATAGGAGGTAGGTGAATCAGGTGAGGTAAGGGGGTCATGCAGCACCAGGGTAGAAGGTGGGAGGGAGGGAGGGAGTATTGATTGTGTAGGCACGACAACGCTACAACACCACCATCGTGTGTGTGGGGGAAGTGAGGAGAGGAGGCGAAGGGAGGGAAAGACGCGTAATATATCTCCCTTATGTTAAATCAGTGTTAATTGACGCGTATTGTCACCTTTATAAAGTTTATTCTGAACCTGAGGTGTTTTTTTCTGGTTCCAATAACAAATTCGGTCCGATTGGGGTCTAACTTACTCCCCCCGCTCCCCATCGAACCTTTTACGGCCGTGAGTTTGTAGGGGAATGAAGGTCACTGTACTATACCCCTGGTCAAGTTGTATTCTGGACCCCGATTCTACCTTTAATACTAGTGTTGTGTGTTACTTTGCATAGCGCTTGGTAGAATTCCCTTACCCTTGAGTCATTCAATAGTGAGAAACGTGGTGACTCCTTTTACACACACACACACACACACACACACACACACACACACACACACACAAACACAGATACACACCATGGTAACTACGTGTTTATTTTTCATCATGGCTGACCCAGAATCTAACCCAGTGTAGCAGTCGCCCACACAAAACCAAAACACGAATATAATGAACTGCTTATCGAGGTGAATTGATCCTGTGAACTATAAATAACAAGATGTTTATAAGTTACATATCTATAGCCTAATAATATGTACTGATGTTACATAGAATGAGGTTAAGGTTAGGTAATATGTGACACAGGAGATGTTTAGTTTAAGTGTTGTGTTTATACGTAGGAGTCAGAGTGAGTGTTGTGGTGTTGTAATGAGGGAGGAGGTGAGGATGGAGAGGAAGGAAGGAGGGAAGGAAGGAGGGAAGGGAGGGAGGCAAGAGGGAAGAGAGGAAGGCTAGAGGGAAGAAAGGGAGAGAAGGAAGGGAGGGAGGCAAGAGGAAAAGTCTGGTCTGCCATAAAAAAAAGAAAGAGAGATAGTTCACTTTACTGTCACGAAGCACAAGTCGAGGCAGACAAAAACCTCCCACCTTGTCAACACGTAACGAGGGACAGGTAAAACAGGTGATGACATAATATATAAGTACAGAGAACTGACACACGGTACAAGACACGAACATATGACAATTACACGACAATAATAAAATAGCAGAAATATATGGTCCTGACGTTCAAACATGTGACACAAGGATTTGACACCAACATAAAAAAATAAGGAGTCTGCAATAGGTCAGTTGGCCTGTGCATGGCAGCTCCTGTCGAGAGTTACTACCACTCTCTATCATCCATGAATCTATCCAGCCTCCTTTTAAAACTTCTCAGCGTTCTAGTACTTCCACAAAGTTGCTAAGCTCGTTCCACTCGTCTACCACCCTATTTGTGAACCAGTTTCTTCCTATCTCCCTCCTAAATCTAAACTTATCCAACTTAAATCTGTTGCTCCAAGTCCTATCCTGCTCGGATATTATAAGAACTTTATCTATATCTCCTCTATTGATTCCTTTCACCCACTTAAATACTTCTATCATATCTCCCCGCACTCTTCATCTTTCTAGGGGATGCAAGTTTAGTTTCTTTAATTTAACTTGATATGGAAGGTTTCTAAGTCCCGGAATCATTTTCGTCATTCTTCGCTGCACCGACTCCAGGGAATTGATATCCATTCTATAATAAGGTCACCAGAACTGAACCGCATAATCGAGGTGCGGCCTGACTAGCGCAAGATATAGTTGTAATATGACCTCCGCACTCTTATTACTTACTCTTCTAGATATAAAATATTACACAGATGTGACACAAGTACATGACACTAATACATGATACAGACGCGGGAGACCAGAAGGTGATCCCTGACCCACATTATTGTCAAGGTGACCCAAATCGTTAGTTCCATGGCAGTATCTACGTCACGCTCTCAGGGACTGTTGATGGACCAGGACGGAAGGGTGTGTGTGTGTGTGTGTGTGTGTGTGTGTGTGTGTGTGTGTGTGTGTGTGTGTGTGTGTGTGTGTGTGTGTGTGTGTGTGTGTTCCTCAGGGGTAGCGTATCATTTTCCCGTCTCCATATTAATCTCTCTCTCTCTCTCTCTAGATAATGTCTCCCTCTTTCTCACAAGTCTCTCTCTCTCTCTCTCTCACGTCCCCAGAGTGAGGCAGGATGGGGAGTGGTGCCAGCAAAGAAGGCCTGGAAGGCGAGCCCCTGGAGACGGTAGATGTCCACACCGGCGGCATCAACTGCATGTCACTTTCCGAGGACAGCTCCCTCCTGGTGACCGGCTCAGACGACAAGACCGTCCGTATGTGGAGCACCAAGACGGAGCCTATCGAGGACTTGGGTGTGTTGGAGTAAGTGTTGGAGTAGACCACTGCTTCACGTGTTGGAGTAGACCACTGCTTCACGTGTTGGAGTAGACCACTGCTTCACGTGTTGGAGTAGACCACTGCTTCACGTGTTGGAGTAGACCACTGCTTTACGTGTTGGAGAGACACCGCTTCACGTGTTGGGTAGACCACTGCTTCACGTGTTGGAGTAGACCACGCTTCACGTGTTGAGTAGACCTGCGTCGTGTTGGAGACCACCGTCACGTGTTGGAGTAGACCACTGCTTCACGTGTTGAGACCACTGCTTTACGTGAATAATTTAATCAAAGTTTATTTTTTTTTTGCACTGCCTAATGTATGTCAATCGATGTTGTTTCACTGTACAAATACCTGAAAAGAAAAAACAATGGTACCCCCTCCCCTGTAAGATGGTACACCTGTAGATTAGTTCAGACTACACTTGTTTAAATGTTGTTATACACTCTACAGCAGTAACACCAAGGGGATCATGGACCTGGGTGTTCTCACGTAAGTTTGCCGCAGAGGTTCTCTACACCTGTTGAGAACTTTATTAATATTTCCACACCTGTTGAGAACTTTATTAACATTTCCACACCTGTTGAGAACTTTATTAATATTTCCATACCTGTTGAGAACTTTATTAATATTTCCACACCTGTTGAGAACTTTATTAATATTTCCACACCTGTTGAGAACTTTATTAACATTTCCACACCTGTTGAGAACTTTATTAACATTTCCACACCTGTTGAGAACTTTATTAATATTTCCACACCTGTTGAGACCTTTATTAACATTTCCACACCTGTTGAGAACTTTATTAACATTTCCACACCTGTTGTTTGGACTCTTTTTAACACTATTACTACGTTTAAATATTTTTAAATTAACCTAACCTCAATTTTCTACATTTGTTTACTCATCATTTCTTAACTCCGGGTTATGTCGTGTTTCTACAGTTTGTTTTCCTATCACGTGTTAACTCCGGGTCATGTTACCTTTACCTCACTGAATGTGTTTGATAATTACCACAGTCTACGTCTGTTTATAGCAACGTGTTATTCTTGTTAATGTTGACATAGTCTGTTCTTGGTGATTTTGCCACAGTACACTTGTTTAACTTTGATAACATTGCCACACACTACACCTCACAACGCTGCCATACTCCACACTTGATTATGGCACAAGAAGACTCGCCCACATTACATACACGACACAACACACACACACACACATTGACACACACACACTCCCTCATCCTTGTGTTAAGTTGATCTAATTCTCACGTTGGTTCAAACTTTTATTATTATCAAACTTTATTTTTATTTTTTCTCGTGTGAACAGATTGTATTGTGTTTTTTATTGTTGCCATATTTTACGTCCCATAATTCTTGATTTTGCCATACTTTATAATTGTTAAAGTTACCATACTTTATACTTCTTGACGTTGCCATACTCTACAACCTAACCTATGCCTTCACTTCCCCACAGGCTACAAACTTTCTTCACGCAGTAGCCACAAATTTTCTCCAGGGGGCCACATATAAACACTGTACTTTCTCAATGGCCACAAATTATCCATCTATCTCCTCCAGGGGCCACATATAAACACTGTACTTTCTCAATGGCCACAAATTAAACTCCTTTCTCCTCCAGGGGCCACATATAAACACTGTACTTTCTCAATGGCCACAAATTAAACTCCTTTCTCCTCCAGGGCCACATATAAACACTGTACTTTCTCAATGGCCACAAATTAAACTCCTTTCCTCCAGGGCCACATATAAACACTGTACTTTCTCAATGGCCACAAATTATCCATCTATCTCCTCCAGGGGCCACATATAAACACTGTACTTTCTCAATGGCCAAAATTAAACTCCTTTTCTCCTTCAGGGGCCACATATAAACACTGTACTTTCTCAATAGCCACAATTTATCCATCTATCTCCTCCAGGGGCCACATATAAACACTGTACTTTCTCAATGGCCACAAATTATCCATCTATCTCCTCCAGGGGCCCACATATAAACACTGTACTTTCTCAATGGCCACAAATTAAACTCCTTTCTCCTCCAGGGGCCACATATAAACACTGTACTTTCTCAATGGCCACAAATTATCCATCTATCTTCTCCAGGGGCCACATATAAACACTGTACTTTCTCAATGGTCACAAATTAATTCCTTTCTCCTCCAGGGGCCACATATAAACACTGTACTTTCTCAATGGCCACAAATTATCCATCTATCTCCTCCAGGGGCCACATATAAACACTGTACTTTCTCAATGGCCACAAATTAAACTCCTTTCTCCTCCAGGGGCCACACGAGCTTCATCCAGTGCGCTGTCGTGTATGATACCTACGTCATCACGGGGTCTAAGGACACTACCATTAAGAGATGGGACATGGCAAGCGCTGACTGCGAGTTTACATATGAAGGTACGAAGAGGGGCGGATGTTTAGCTAAGTCTGTGTTCATATAATTCCGTTTTCTATAATCTTTCGATGGTATGTTTCGTTTGGGTTGTAAGCGTTCATAATTGCCCTTTTATATTATTTCAGCCTTTTTTATGATTTTTTCGGTCTATATTCCTCATAAGCATTCAGAGTTTTTTTATATATCAGAGTCAAAGATCATTGCTAGAGGTCATTCCGTTCTAGGAAGCTTAAGAAATTTAATATTAGGGCGTTCTATAAAAAAGATATCCTCAACCGATATTTCTGTTTTACTTTTTTTTTACCTTAACACACTAATGATCCAAAATTTACGTCACTAGCTTACTCTACCACCGTAACTATGGTTGTGTGTTAACTGTGAACCCTCCCACAGGTCACACGGGCCGCATTAACCGCCTCATCTGCACAGGAGAGTTTATCTTCAGTACGTCACATGACAAGACCGCACGGGCGTGGCTCTTTGATACTGAAGATGTGGATGACCCAACTGATGCCTGTATCCGTGTGCTAGAGGTATACTTTATTCTTCTTCTTTGTATCTTTATCTTTAATTTCATCTCTCTCTCTCTCTCTCTCTCTCTCTCTCTCATCAAATCAAGTAATAACATTGAGACAAATAGTAATATTATTAACTCTTAACTAAACACTAATGGGAAAGGATACTCGCTCTTTCCCATTCTCTCTCATCCATTGTAAAATTCTCTTTCCCCTCTCTTCCCCCATTATAACTCTCTCCCATTCTCTTTTCCCTCATTCTCTCTCCACCATCATCAATCTCTCACCCCTATTATAATTCTCCTCCATTCTCTCTCCCCACCCACCCAGGGACACACCAGTGTAGTATCACCTCTCATCTTCATCCCGGGTCATGATACGGGTATACCGGACGAGAATGGTCTTAACATCAACCCTGGGGATCTGATCGTGACTGCCAGCTTCGACAACACTGTCAAAGTTTGGTCCTTCGATACTGGGGCCTGTCTGAAGGTAGGGTGGTGTGAGGGGGTAGTGGTGAGGGGTAAGGGCAGGGTGGGAGTAAGGGGGAGTAGTGGTGAGGGGTAAGGGGAGGTGTGAGGAGTAAGGGGTAGTGGTGAGGGGTAAGGGGGTAGTGGTGAGGGGTAGTGGTGTGGGGTGAAGTGGTGGGGTAAGGGGGTAGGGGAGTAAGGAGTGGTGGTGGGTAGAGGGTAAGGGAGTAGTGGTGTGGGGAGTGGGGAATGGTGAGGGAGGGGTAGTGGTGTGGGGGAGTAGGGAGTGGTGGGAGGGGTGGGGGTAGTGGTGTGGGGAGGCCAGGGGAGTGGTGAGGGGTAAGGGGGTAGTAGTGAGGGAGTGTGAGACTGATAGGGGTAAGTGGTCAGGGTAGTAGTGGAGGGTAAGTGGTACAAATAGCCCTTCGAATATCTCCAGTTACGTATTTCAAAGTCAACTAAAATTACCATATTGTGAGTTATAGACTTTTAGTGACATTATTAAAGTGACAATTTACTCATAGTTATATTAATTATATACAATTTTAAAATAACTTAATATACCCTTAGCTATACTGTTATATTATCTTCTTAATTATGATGACTTACTGTAATAGTGTTGTAAACGACCAAAAACATACATCATTATTATCTTAGTAACCCCTACAACACTTCTCCGTACTCTACAGACCTTGAAGGGTCATAGAAAACCCATCACCTGTATGGACACTGATCCTAAAGGCCGCATCCTCTATACAGCGGGGCAAGACAGGTGTATAATCGCCTGGGACATTAACATGGGCAAAAAAATGAAGGTAAGTGTAATAGTACATACCATGGGGTTGCTGCTTTACACCTGTACTGTTCAATATACTAAATCTCCTGTTCAAAAAATCAATTACGAATCATCATTAAATTACCTTTTCGCTTCGTTTTTTTCTCTTGTTTGCCCCCCTTCATTTCTTCCTCCTTCATTGCCCTCTTCAGGTAGTTGAGGACGCACACACGGGAGCTATCCTGTACTTGAGGGTGGTGAACCGCTTGATGTACACGTCGGGGACAGACCACACGGCTAAGTGCTGGGTGAGGGAGGGCTTGGAGAACACCCGGACATACAAGGACCACACCGATAGCGTCGCCTGTGCCAAGTTCCATAACGGCATCTGTAAGTGATAGTCATGAGTTAAGACTGACAGACATTCACTAGAAATCCATTATATAACTTTACATTGATGCTATAACATATACTATATTTACCCCCCCACCCCCACACCCCCACACATACAGCCCTCTTACTAACGCTAATGTCTCCTGCAGTATACACAGTCTGCAATGATGGGTTCGTGAGGGCCTTCGACGCTAAGAGTGGCGCCCTCAAACGCAAGTACAAGGGCCATGAGAACGCTGTGACGTGTTTGACTGTGTGTGTCAACGAGTACGAGGGACAGGTCTACACGAGGCTCATGACAGGGGGTAATGACTCGACTGTGAGGGTGTGGAATGCTACTGATCTTAGGTGAGTGTACAACCTCTACTACCTCTACTGTTAAGTGTAGGTGAGTGTACAACCTCTACTACCTCTACTGTTAAGTGTAGGTGAGTGTACAACCTCTACTACCTCTACTGTTAAGTGTAGGTGAGTGTACGATCTCTACTGTTAAGTGTAGGTGAGTGTACGATCTCTATTGTATGGTGTAGGTGAGTGTACGATCTCTATTGTTAAGTGTAGGCGAGTGTACGATCTCTATAGTGCTATAATCAATATCTGTGCTTTGATTACCTCCTTGTGTCAGGGAAGACTTAGGTATCTAATAACTGTGCGGACTACGGGCTCAAAAACAACTACAGGTATACTGCAAAGAAATCATTTTTGATACAACCTGTTGATGTTTATTTGTTTTGTCATCCAGTTATGAAATCCCAACAATAATACCTGTTGATGTTCATTTGTTTTTGCCTTGGAGTGACGGGATCCAAACATACTACAACCTGTTGACGTTCATTTGTTTGTTTTTTCTCTTCCAGTGACAAAATCCCATTAATACAACAACCTGTAGACCGTGACTACACCAGAGTTCAGAGCAAACGCCTAGACGAACTCAACCAACACCTGGACGACTACATGCCCGACGATTCTCTGAACAAGTCGTCTGGGCAAACTGTTCCTGGTGGCATCAAGAACAATCTCGACGACTCAGATCTCAATATTATCGATGCTGACTAATTAAACTGTTTGTTGTCGACGAGGATAACAAGGCTGGTATAGTTGTTGTTAAGGATGTGTAGGGAAGGTTAATTCAAATCAGAAATAAGAATGAGGACAAGTCACGTAGGGTCGAATAAAGGAAGAGAAATAGAAGATAATGATATTGAATGACACACTACGAGGAATAAGCAACATCCCACTAGAAATTATAATGATAATGTAAATAGTGAAAATAATAATGATATTAAACAATTGAATAACTAAAGCAAATCATGATAGATAAGGATATAAATGATAATGTAACTAGTGAAGGAAATTACGATAATAATAATAATAATAATAATAATAATAATAATAATAATAATAATAATAATAATAATAATAATAATGCTTTGTAAATTATGTAAGTACAGTCCTATTAAGTAGAATGAAACGCTTTAGTTATACCATACAGTGCCTTAATACAGTGCATCTGTACATTGTAACCACACACCTGTACTTCATTAACCCTACCTGTAAATTACGAACTTTTTATGTGAGGTCACGAGAGGTCACCAATGTGTCCGCCAGGTGAGGTTACGGAGACACATGTTATATCAGATGTGTCGTTGACTATGTATCTTCGTCAACAGCTGGTAGGGTTATGTGTCATGTCGATATTGGTACTGTAGTAGGCTGGCCAGGATACATAGACTGATAGTGTGGTAGGATGGCCAGGATACATAGACTAACACTGTGGTAGGATGGCCAGGATACATAGACTAACACTGGTAGGCTGGCCAGGATACATAGACTGATAGTGTGGTAGGATGGCCAGGATACATAGACTAACACTGTGGTAGGATGGCCAGGATACATAGACTAACACTGTGGTAGGATGGCCAGGATACATAGACTGATACTGTGGTAGGATGGCCAGGATACATAGACTAACACTGGTAGGCTGGCCAGGATACATAGATCGCTTCATTTGTTACACCATGCTAGTCATCACAGAGGGACAGGAACTGATGTGTCTTGTATAGATGACCTGAAGAATAACCACCCCAGGTTATTTCACCTGAAGTCTTATTACCTAACCTAACCTAACCTAACCTAACCTAACCTAATTTAACCTAATTTAATCCAGTGAAACCTAATGTAACCTAACCTAATCTAAATTAACCCAACATAACCTAATCTAATCCACCAAGGTAGTACTAGGGTGGTTAATCTTTAAGTGAAATAAGCTGGGGTGTCTAATCCTCAGGTAATTCCATTATATACATATATTCAGTATATTATGACTCACTCATATAAATTAATTTGTATCATATTTTATCCATATATACATATACATATATTTTGAGTAAGATAATATTTATGCTCTCTAAATAAATCACTTTTAATTATTATTTGTTGTTTGTTTAAATATTTATACCGCTGATGTTTACTACCGAGTCAGAGTAACGTTATAAATTTTCCCGCAAAAACAGCTGACTAAACTTCCATTTGTATCTCCTTATTCATCAGACTTATATCTCTCTCTATCGTTATTACTGTCACCTCTTGTACTGGCTACTGTCCTATCATGGGCGTCCGCAAGATTTTTTCCATGGGGTAAGAAAACAGGACACGACCTGACATAACAGTTTATTAAAATATAATGATCAAATAAAATCGAGCTAGTTACTTTCAAGTATTGTATGATCAACAATATCACTTATCGGGATTATAACCAAATTATTGATCACTAAAATTATCATATGATTGACCTTAAGCATTAAAAACTAACGAAAATAATCTTTTGATATCATTAATCCTGATAATCTAGGGATGGCCAATGCTAGCTGTCTAAGACATGGCCACCTAAAGCGAGTGGCCATTAGGTATATAAGGTAAGTATAATACATGCTCAACCCCCAAAGTTCGACCCTAAGACATTAAGTCACACCCATAACTAACACGCAGTTAACCCCTTAGTTAAATCTCACCCCCATAAATCCCCGAGTATAGTTCACCCCTTAACATCCCATAGTTCACCGCCATAACTCACTATCACAATGGTGACTTGTTCAGAACATTAGCAGTGTACTTTCAATGGAAAATAAATACTGCAGGCGGCACTTATTAGCTTCAAATCGACTAATCGCGTCTTCAGTGAAGGCTTTCTTTCTATCTACCATCTTCTGGCGATGCACGCTGAGCATGCACTGTTGCACAATCCAGACAAGCGTTCAGTTGACATTGTTGATCGAAGCCATGTGTTGGCACGTCTCAGGGTGCAGAATGACCGCTCTACCTCACAAGTAGAGGCAGGAAGTGTTAAGATCAGTAGGGGGCTTCTTGAATAGCAGGAAACATCATTCATCATCATCATTATTATTATTATTATTATTATTATTATTATTATTATTATTATTATTATTATTATTATTATTATTATTATTTATTATTATTATTATTATTATTATTATTATTATTATTATTATTATTAAAGTTACATTCGGCTGGTCTCTTTAATACTACGGTAACACCTTTAAACTCATTCAAAGTCATTTAATTCCCGTATTTAAAATCATTCATGAAACAGGTTATTTACGTCCATTTTCTCTGTTGTAATAAAAGAAAATGGAACTTGTATGTGGGTGGACTTCTTTACTTTTTTATTATGGTTGTAAGAGATATATATTTGCTTATCATATTTGACACTTATCGGCTTATTAGCCGTTTGGGCGGTTTATCCAGATAAAGCACTAAAATTGTCATAGGGTTGACCTTAAGCATTAAAAAATATCGAAAATAATTAAGTTGATATAATTAATCATGATAATCTAGGGGTGGCCAGTGCTAGCTGTCTGTCACGCTGGTGACTTATTCAAAACATTAGCTGTGTATTTTCAATGGTAAATAAATAATTCAGGCTGTGCTTATTAGCTCCAAAACGATGAATCATGTCTTCAGTGAAGTCTTTCTTCCGGTGCTACTATAGTATGCGGTCTACCGAGCTGGAGTTGGTCTACCGAGATATATACACTGTGTCCCGGTAAAAACAATTCCAACTCGGTAGATTGCACACTACAGTTGTACCTGCACGGTAGACCACATACTATAGTGGCATCTTTTTTTTATATTTAACACCTGGTGATGCACGCTAAGCATGCACAATCCAGACAAGCATTCAGTTAACACTGGGTCACAACTCAAGGCTGAAGAAGTCACAAGTCCAGAAAACTGTGAAGGCAAACTTTTTCGGAGTGAGAATTGTAAACTCTTGTAATAATCTGCCAGAGAGTTTTGTGACGGCACCGAGTGTGAGCTGTTTCAAGACCAGACTTGATTAACAGTGGAGCAAGTACAGATACATTCAGGAGCCGGTGCATGCCCAATACTTGTCAACAGTGCGTAACAGAGACGTGACCGACCTCCCAAACGGCTAACGAGCCGATCAATGGCGAAGAGGATAAAAGTAAAAGTAAATTCAAAGCTGATCTAAGCCATGTTAGTACAGTAAATACACTATTGTAACAACATTTTGCATATTATGAGATGTGGAACTCTCTGTTACAGTTAGGTTACGTTACGATAACGTTAACATTAGGTTTGGTTAGGTTAGGTTAAGTTATGTTAATTTAGGTTATATTAGTTTGAATTTGGTTAGTTTAGGTTAGGTTGGGTTAGGTGATTCGCCAAAATAAGAATAAAACGTAGGTCGTTACTTGACAGCAATGTAAGCAACCACCACAGCAGCCTTAATACACCTTGATCCTATAAACAACAAACAGCACAAACAATTAATGACATAACAAACAACAAGAACAACCTAAACAAACAATTGGTTGCCTGTAAACAATGGATATAGAGACCTTAACTTACCAAAACAATAACAATAACGTAAACATAATGACAAACAACAATAATAAACAACAGAAAAAAAACAAGCGAGAAAGAGAGCGAACCAAACAGTTGTCAACAGAACACGTAGACAAAATTGTGTGTCTCTAAGTGGTGTATGTGTGTGTGTGTGTGTGTGTGTGTGTGTGTGTATGTGTGTGTGTGTGTGTACATCTCTCTCTCTCTCTCCGTGCGTGGGTGTAAACAGACAAAAAGGTGATAACTCTCTCTCAGGCGGCGTTGCTACACACACACACACACACACACACATACATTTCCACATACACCCCGGGCCAGCCAGTAGTCTAACTCACGGTGTATCGCCGCCAACACCTCACACCACCATGAAGCGGTAAGAAGTGTCTGTATGTCTGTCTATCTGTCTATCTGTCTGTCTATCTGTCTGTCTATCTCTGTCTGTGTATACTTCCTTCTGTTTTCTCTGTTTTATTTTTCTGTTTTTTTCCGTCTCTTTTTTTCTCATTCTTTCTCTCTTATTTATTCGTTTGTATTATTTTTTACTGTCTTCTTTTTCTCTCTGTTTATCTCTCTTATTTATTCGCATGTATTGCTTCTCCCTGTCTCTTTTTTTCTTCTGTCCATCTATATCTCTTATTTATCTGTCTTCTCCTGTCTCTAAATCATTTTATCCTCTCTATCTATCTATCTATCTATCTATCTATCTATCTATCTATCTATCTCCTCCGCTTTCAATATCTTATTTACACATAACAAAACAGTCATCAAATCAACTAACTTCTACTAATTACGTATCTTCAACAAATAAGTAATCTCCTTCAATTAATTAATCAACCCAACAAATATAATTAATCGTTTCTATATATAATCACGAAAACATCACAGGGAAGAAAATATGTTAATTACCCCTTAAAAATAATTATTAAAGTAACCATAGAAAATGTACATAACATCAAGAATTTATAAGCGTCCGAAAGAGTTGTTACTGTTGACATAATTATATAATTGTACTATGATTTTTAATGTGTTGAAATACCAGGTAACTTTGATAGAAATACCAGGTAACTTTGATGAAAATAACAGGTGTTATGTGTCGTGGTGAACAGGTGTTGTGTGTCGGGATGAACAGGTGTTTATGTGTCGTGATGAACAGGTGTTATGTGTCGGGATGAACAGGTGTTTATGTGTCGGGATGAACAGGTGTTATGTGTCGGGATGAACAGGTGTTATGTGTCGTGGTGAACATGTGTTATGTGTCGGGATGGACATGTGTTATGTGTCGTGGTAAACAGGTGTTATGTGTCGTGGTGAACAGGTGTTATGTGTCGTGGTGAACAGGTGTTATATATCGTGGTGAACAGGTGTTATGTGTCGGGATGACAGGTGTTATGTGTCGTGGTAAACAGGTGTTATGTGTCGTGGTGAACGTGGTGAACAGGTGTTATGTGTCGTGGTGAACATGTGTTATGTGTCGGGATGGACATGTGTTATGTGTCGTGGTAAACAGGTGTTATGTGTCGTGGTGAACAGGTGTTATGTGTCGTGGTGAACAGGTGTTATATATCGTGGTGAACAGGTGTTATGTGTCGGGATGAACAGGTGTTATGTGTCGGGATGAACAGGTGTTATGTGTCGGGATGAACAGGTGTTATGTGTCGGGATGAACAGGTGGTTTGTGTCGTGATGAGCAGGTGTTAAGTACAGGTACAGCGGGATAGCAAATGGTTGAAAACTAGAAATTATGTATTGATTGAGGAAGGAAGGGAGGGAGGGAGGGAGAGGAAAGGGAGGAGAGGAAAGGGAGGGAAGAGGTGGGTATGAGAGGGAGGGAATTTGAGGCGTGTAAAAATGGCAAGACTTTTAAGAAAAATGACGTTTATTATTATTAGTTTTTAAGTACTAATTTATTGAGGCGTTGACACCCCCCATAGAGGGTGTTGTAGTTACCAGGAGTCGGCTGCCACAACAACATTGACCGGTATCAGCTGTTGGAGTCCTCTTTTGATCACACAGCCACATTGTATAGTACCTTACACTAAATAAGGACCATTACTTAATAACATCAACCTCCCTTTTTTTGTTAACTGGCCATAGAGGATTATATAAACCAGTAGTCCCCAACATTTTGAGTCTCTGGGCCACATTTATCATTGTAAATATAATAGAGGGCGCCAAAACTTGGGGTCTAACTGTACATTCAAGGAAAAAAATCATATATCGTACAGCTATTTGCAGTTTTAGACGTCTAACTGTAATAAGTTACATGCTTTTTATATTTACTCTTGGAATATACATTCTACCAAACAGGGAGGTACTACCGCCTGGGAAGATATTGGGGGCATAATGTGTTGTCTAATGGTAGACCCTGCTGCTATTTATTTGACCAAGTCCCAGGTTGCTGATCTGACTTTCTGCCTCATTTACACACCATTGCAGGTTTCAATTGTTTCTCTTACTTTGACAACACAACATACATACAGTATATCGTTTATCACTCTTGATATATATAATATATATATATATATATATATTTCATGTAAATCCACAATGAAAACGTGGATAAGATAATTTGATATCATTACGGCCGGAACAACGGAGTACCTTAGCTTTCGTCTTTATTCAAGACATCTAAGGTACTCCGTTGTTTCCATTTTCCCGTGTGATTTTATCAAGATATATATATGTATATATATATATATATATATATATATATATATATATATATATATATATATATATATATATATATATTTCATGTAAATCCACAATGAAAACGTGGATAAGATAAATCTTGAATAAAGAGACGAAAGCTAAGGTACTCCGTTGTTTCCATTTTCCCGTGTGATTTTATCAAGATATATATATATATATATATATATATATATATATATATATATATATATATATATATATATATATATATATATATATATATATATATATATATATATATATCCACGTCAGGGTCATGTTCTTTCTCTCTTCATCATAGTGGGTGTGGACACCGGCCCCGCCCCGCAGCATGCTATCTCCTCTACCTCCCTCGACCACAATAATATACCCCTCATTCACCTGGACATGCAATAGACATCTCCCAACCACTGACCTTGCAACATACCTTTCCCCGCCCCGTGGACATGCAATATATTTCTCCCCGCCCACTTGGTCTTGCAACATACTCAAGGTAGCTGTTAACGTGTCTACAGGAGGAAGTAAAAGAAGCAGCAGCGGTGGCGGGCAGCAGCAAGTACAGCCGCTACAGCACCACCAGGAGGGAGGACCAGCAACACCAGCAGCAGGAAGGAACAGCAACAGGATGGGAGGTGGCAGCAGCAAGAACAAGACTAAGGGTCACCTGCTGGACACACTACATGACCATGACGGGAGCATCACCTGCATGACGCTCTCTGAGGACGGCTCCCTCCTGGTGACGGGGTCCTACGACATGACGGCCAAGATGTGGAGTACTATGAGTGAACCCACCGAGTGTCTTGGTGTACTCAAGTACGTGAACACTCTTACTTCAGGTATTTAATACCTACCCACCCCCACCTGACCGAACCTTACCTTACCTAACTCACGCTAACCTAACCTAACCTAACCTAACCTAACCTATCTTAACCTATCTTAGCCTAACCACATCATTAAATACGGTGCACCTCCCCTTAAAACCACGTCTCTTAGCACTGTTTATCTACCTATGAACCACGAGCCACGCGAGAGGTTGCGAGACTCAGTAACACATTACTTGGTTACACTGCACAAAAAACACACACAAGACTCAGTAAACTTAACTCACGTTCTAATAACTCCTGAGAAACCCCGGTACACACAACAACCACGATCAATACCAGTAATGTTTATGACCTTCTCGTCAGTAGAAGATGGAAACAGTACCACCTGGCCCTCCCTTCCTTACCCTCCCTGGCATTCCCTGATCCTCTCTAACCCCCCTTGACCCTCTTTGGCATTCACTGACACTCCCTGACATTCCTTGACACTCCCTGGCACTTCCTGGCACTATACTCACTGGGTATCTTCAACAGGAGCCACACTAACCATCCCTGGCACCTCTTGACCCTCCCTGGCACCCTCTAACCATCCCGGGCACCCCCTAACCATCCCGGGCACCCCCTGACCCTCCCTGGCACCCCTGACCCTCCCTGGCACCCCTAACCTCCCTGGCACCCCCTTGACCTCCTGGCCCTCTGACCCTCCTGGCACCCCTTGGCCCTTCCTGGCACCCCTAACCATCCCTGGCACCCCTGACCTCCTGGCACTCCCTGACCTCCCCTGACACCCTTGACCCTCTGGCTGACTCCTTGACCCCTGCAGCCCTTGACCCCCCCACCTCTCCCTGGCACCCCCTAACCTCCTGCACCCCTGACCCTCCCTGGCACCCCTTGACCTCCCTGGCACTCTTGACCCTCCCTGACCCTCCCTGGCACCCCTTGACCTCCCTGGCACCCCTAACATCCCCTGCACCCCCCTGACCCTCCTGGCACCCCCTTGACTCCCTGACCTCTGCCTCCCTGACACCCCTTGACCCTCCCTGGCACCCCTTGACCCTCCCTGACACCCCTTGACCCTCCCTGGCACCCCTTGACCCTCCCTGACACCCCTTGACCCTCCCTGGCACCCCTTGACTATCCCTGACACTCATTGACCCTCCCTGGCACTCCCTGGCACTATACACACCGGGTTATCTTCAACAGGGGCCACACTGGCAGGATCTGGTGTGTGACCATGAAAGGCACCTTCGTGTTTACGGGTTCTGAGGACAAGACCATTCGGAAGTGGGATATGTGTACCTCCGATTGTCTCTTTACCTACAGTGGTGAGTTTTACTAAGACATGTGCAACTCTTATTGGGTCATGTGCACGTCTGATTGGGTCATGTGCACATCTGATTGGGTCATGTGCACGTCTGATTGGGTCATGTACACCGAACACAATTAACACCAGGTAACGCACTACACCACCAGGTAACGCACTACACCACCAGGTAACGCACTACACCACCAGGTCACGCATGACACCACCAAGTAACGCTCTACACCACCAGGTAACGTACTACACCACCAGGTTACGCTCTACACCACCAGGTAACGCACTACACCACCAGGTAACGCTCTACACCACCAGGTAACGCTCTACACCACCAGGTAACGCACTGCACCACCAGGTAACGCACTACACCACCAGGTAACGCACTACACCACCAGGTAACGCACTACACCACCAGGTAACGCCTCTACACCACCAGGCAACGCACCTACCACCAGGTAACGCACTACACCACCAGGTAACGCACTACACCACCAGGTAACGCACTACACCACCAGGTAACGCACTACACCACCAGGTAACGCTCTACACCACCAGGTAACGCACTACACCACCAGGTAACGCACTACACCACCAGGTAACGCATAACACTCTCCCTCAGGACACGTGCAACAGGTTCATCGAATTATCTGCTCAGGGGACTTCATGTTCAGTACTTCCTATGACAAGACGGCCAGGGTGTGGGACCTTCACGCCGACGATGTTATGGAATCAGAGGAAGCCTGCGTCAGGATCCTTGAGGTGAGGAATGACCTCACTAACTTGACTCTCTCTCTCTCTCTCTCTCTCTCTCTCTCTCTCTGTTTATCTCTCTAGAAATTGGATATAAAATGAGATACCTTCTTTTTTTTAACAGTAATATCACCATAGTTCATTATATCCATTAATAATACCATAATACACCATCATTATTATTATCAGCACCATCACCAGCATCATCCTTACTGTCATCACCATTATCACCACCACCCCCTCCACCACCACCATCACCACTACTAACACCACTACTACCACAGGGTCACCAAATGGCTATATATCCCATCATCTTCATACCTGGCGACGATACCGGAGGCCTGAACGAGGAAGGACTACACATTAACCCAAGGGACTTGGTCATCACGGGCAGTACGGACACCACCGCCCGTTCCTGGTCCTTGGATATGGGAATCTGTATAAAGGTGAGGTTGACGGTGGTGTTGGGGTGGGTTGGTGCTAGGGTGGGGTGGGGTTGGGGTGCGTATGCTAGGGTGGGTTGGGGTAGTGTTAGCGTGGGTTGTGTAGTGTTATGGCGTGGGTTGGGGGTAGTGTTAGCGTGGGTGGGGTAGCTAGGGTGGTTGGGGTAGCGTTGGGGTGGGTTGGGGTAGTGTTAGCGTGGGTTGGGGTAGTGTTAGCGTGGGTTGGGGGAAGTGTGAGGTTGACTAGTTTAATTAAGGCTCAAGACTTCTTCCTATAACACTTAAGCAACACACTAATACGAATGTTTCCTACAGACGTTCAAGCAACACAGAGGGTCAGTGTCATGTATGGACACTGACCCAACGGGGAAGTTACTGTACACCGGCAGTGACGATTGTACTGTCAATGTGTGGGACATTAACAGTGGCCGATGTCTTAAGGTAAGTGATCTGGCCTCTCACACCTGTTTGACTCATACCCGACTAAATAACACCTCTTCAACTCACACCTGGCTATAACCTCTTTGACTCACACCTGGCTAACACCTCTTGACTCACACCTCTTTGATTCACACCTAGTTAAAACCTTTTGACTCACACCAGACGAAAAACCTGAATAACTCACACCTGTAACACCAGTCCCCCTCACCTCCCCTCCTCCTCCTCCTCCTCGCAGACTCTTGATGACCACAAAGGCTCGGTGACCTGCCTGAAGGTGGTGAATAAACTCCTGTACACCGGCAGTGCGGACTCAAAGGTCAAGTGCTGGGTGAGGGAGTTCGGTGACTGTACCCGCACCTACAAAATCAACAAGAGCGAAGGCGGTGTGGTGTGTTTCAAGTTCTACAGAGGTATATGTAAGTTTGACTCACTGGACTAGTATCAGTTTTTTTTTCCGTAAAGCGAAACATTGTTATTGTTTTGGGGATTTTTAACAGGGCTTTAATAACCTAACCTAACCTAATCTAATCTAACCATGAAATTACTTTAACACACTTCCTGGGTGGCTACAGTGTTCGTCGGCTACACAGACCACTCAGCCCGCGCCTACGATGCCAAGAGTGGATCTATGAAGAGAGATTACCGCGGCCACACTGACTCCATTAACTGCCTGACCGTGGCTGGTAATAAGCTGTACACGGCCAGCTCTGACGGCTCCCTCAGGGTATGGGACGCCTCCAAAGTCAGGTAAGATGAACATACTATCTATAAGTGTACAAAGTGAGGGCATGAGTGTACACGTGTGATTCTAAACAGCACATAGGTTGTACAAGGGAGCGTATATGTAAAATTATGTTCGCTTGGAAGGAATGAATACACACATACGCAATCATGTATATTTTATGCTTGTTCCTGGATATATGCTCATCTTACGCATGTTCTAGATTATTTGTTATTTTACGCATGTTCTAGACTGTGTTACGCTTATTCCAGTATGTAAACATTGTCTTGTACTTCTGTCTGTCAGAATCTTATGTGATTTTACGTCGCTTAAACAAGAACTTATTTTGTCTTAAGTTGGGCTTCAAGATTTTATTGTCTTAGGTTGGCTTAGATAACTTACTTTATCTTAAGATGGGCTAAAAGTATTTAAGTTGCCTTATGATGCTTTAAAAAAACCAATCCAGTCTTAAAAAACAAAAAAAAACATCAGCGCATCTATCGGTAATAACTATTTGGTATTAAAGTCGAATTATATGATCGTGTTTCATCTAAAAGGTAAATAAGTTATTTCTGTTCACTTTCTATTTTACTTATCTACCTTAACTAAACTAATTGTTGTAATATTAAGTGCACTGTATAATCCTATGTGAATAATAATAATAATAATAATAATAATAATAATAATAATAATAATAATAAATGGTGTGTGTACAGTCGGGGACAAAAGTTCGCTTCCCTATATAAAACTGAGTCACTAGAATGAATCTTTGAACTGATTCACCCTGACTGTCATCTGGTGCGGGTGTTGTTTCATCTCATTTGGGGGTCGATACTGTTTCATTTTGGGCGGGAGCGAACTTTTGACCCTGTCGGTATTTATTTTCACATAAAGATAACGCTCCGAGTCTATTTTGAGTATATATATATATATTTTTTTAAATACGGTTAGGATAGGATAGACTAGGTTAGGTTAAGACGAAACTTACCTAACCTAATTTAACTTTTATTGAGGAAAAAACTAACTCAACCTAACCTAACCTGTATCTAGGACGAAATTAACATTACCTAACCTGTATTTAGCATAGAACTAGCGCTAGTATTAATTATTCTTTAACTGGAGATTCATATCTCTCATGGTTTCCACAAATGTTTTTTTTTTCACAGCCTTTACTAAACATTGTTACTATATTCACCTCATCTTAAACAAATTATTTATCTGTCAAAACAATCCTTCGCTCTGGCTTTCTTTTATAATATCTAAGTATGATAAATATTATTGGATTACCTGAAGATTATCACCCTAACTTAACCAAACCTAACCTAACCTAACCTAACTTAACCAAACCTAACCTAACCTCACAGATAGTGCTATGGTGGTTAATCATTAGGTGAAGTAAGCTGGGATGGTTAATCTAAAGGTGATCTATTTTGTTTGCCCTCTATTAAGCTTTGTATCCAGTTGTCTTCAGTTCGTCATGCTGTCACGTTTAGTTCCCTCCATAAAACAGTGCTGTAGTTCCCACCTCCTGTTTAATTCAAATCACCTTCCTAGCTGAGGGTCTTAAGTGTGTCCAGTCAGGCGGAGGAGAATTAGTGTAGGATGAAGGACTGTAGAGTGGTGTGTTCAGAGCCTGGAGCCTCCCTCTGTCTTGCAGTACAGACGACGAGCTCTTCGAGTTGGCGGTGGCCAAAGCCTCACGTAAAAGAACAGCTGTGAGTCCTATGGTTGGCGAGATGCGGTAAGTGAGTTTCCTCGACTCTCTTCTACGGTTAGGTAAGTCACCGTAATCGGACACTCTGTAACCGGACACACCGTAACCGGACTGACTTGATTTCGTCTGTGCTTGTGGGAATTCTTGAGACAGCGTAGGTCGAGGTGTGAATCGACATTAGATTTTACATGATTCAACGAGCAGTTGGTTGCACGTATTGTGGTTCTCTCTGTGCTGTCACGCCTTTCCTTAGCTGGTTAGTTGATTCCTTTACCTGGCTAGTTACCTCTTAATAAATAGCTGTCGAAGAATTTATGCCTTTCAGTGACCTCTACCTGCCTGTGACACTGACGAGGAAGAATCCAGCCTGATAATTGAGGATGATTTACGAGCACTTGATTTGCATGCTAGGAGAGTTATTTATTATCATTGCATTATCACCATGACTACCTTATCTAAAGAGGTAATACAGAAATTAGCTTTAATGTTTTTCTTGCAGTGATGAAACGACTTCTGAAGGGGACGACTCCGAGGAGGAAGAGAACAAGCCTATGGATCTGGATAAGTACCTCGACAAGTACCTGGGTGACGATGTGGACCCCGTGAGCAAACCTGAGGACTCCACACCTGTATAGAACCGTCAACCACACCTGTATAGAACCGTCAACCACACCTGTATAGAATCGTCAACCACACCTGTATAGAACCGTCAACCACACCTGTATAGAACCGTCAACCATACCTGTGTACAACTGTCAACCATACCTGTGTAGAACTGTCAACCATAGACACAACTTGCATAAAAGAACTGTCAATAATCCTTAATTTTTTTGGTGAAACCATGGAGAAATTTTACGAACGAAGGAAAGAGAGAAGACGAGGAAAGAAAGGAGGAATAGAATGACATTATAATAACAAAAACAATAAAATAAAGATTACAATTCTCAGTTTTCACATTTAAAAGAAAATAAACATTATGATTATCACCAACATTATCTTTTAACATCATCATTCATATTGTTCGTGTTTCTTAAGTCTGTGACGTCACCACCTGCCTCAGACTGTGTTGTAATGTTCAGTGTTAGAGAGTAACTATGTCCCTTTATATTCATCCACTATAACTGTGTCCATTAGATAAATATTCACTATATATATACATATTATATAATGACGACGACGTGCCTATACCACTTTTCATAAACACATACACTGTATTTTTGCATGCAGTCTGATAATAATGTATACCTAGCAATAAAATATTTGAATTATATTGTCTTTTTGTATATCTGAGAAAGAAAAAGATGTTTAGTCTCGTTTTAGATAAATAATGAAGAATTTGGGTACGAAAACGCTTGTGTTATGGTAGATGGGATAAAAACAAGTGACAATCGAGACTATAAATAATAAGGGACCCTTCATGTAAAGACCACCATGACCAAAACAATATTTACACTCACTAATAAATACACCAGTTATTCACTAAATCACCCACAGGTAAAAATAGTCTTACCAGTTCATAAATCAGATTTAAATAAGGAATTGCAGGGTGTTAAGGTGTTAGAATCTCAAGTCAGGAGTTTCATTTACAAGTACAGAAATCGAACACCCGAAATCCGACGAGTGGGGAGGGGAGGGAGGTGGGAGGGAGGTGGGAGGGAGAACAAGGGTGGGAGAGTACGGAGGAGGGGGAAAGGGAGGGTCGAGAGAAAGGGAGGGAAGAGGAAAGGAAGGAGGAGGATAGATTCTTAAAATATAATATGCTCTGGCAGGTAAATATGATCACGCGATATTGATTAATTTCTACAGCCATCTTAGAAATGGAGTCACCTGAAGATTAACCTCCCACCCCCAGCTTAACTCCCACCAGGTAGCGTTACGGTGTTTAATCGTCAGGTGAAATAAGCTTATGAGATTAATCTTCAGGTAAATCTTATAAAAAAACTGTGAGGTTAACAGCAAAGGTGTGGTGGTGTCAGCCGAGGGAGTGTGGTGATGGTGTCAGCCGAGGGAGTGTGGTGGTGGTGTCAGCCGAGGGAGTGTGGTGATGGTGTCAGCCGAGGGAGTGTGGTGATGGTGTCAGCCGAGGGAGTGTGGTGATGGTGCCAGCCGAGGGAGTGTGGTGGTGGTGTCAGCTGAGGGAGTGTGGTGGTGGTGCTGGGCGAGGGAGTGTGGTGGTGCTGTGCCGAGGGAGTGTGGTGGTGGTGTCACGAGGGAGGCATGGTGATGGTGTCAGCTGAGGGAGTGTGGGTGGGGTGGCCAGCCGAGGAGTGTGTGGGTGGGATGGTGTCAGCCGAGGAGGTGGTGGGGATGGTGTCAGCCGAGGAGGTGGTGGTGGTGGTGTAGCTGTGCCGAGGGAGTGTGGTGATGGTGTCAGCCAGAGGGAGTGTGGTGATGGTGGCCAGCTGAGGGAGTGTGGTGATGGTGTCAGCCGAGGGAGTGTGGTGGTGGTGTCAGCCGAGGGAGGTGGACAGGGGCCACGAGGGAGTGTGGTGATGGTGTCAGCCGAGGGAGTGTGGTGATGGTGTTAAATGAGGGGAGTGTGGTGGTGGTGGTGGTGGTGCCAGCTGAGGGAGTGTGGTGATGGTGGTGACGGTGTTAGCCGAGGGAGTGTGGTGCTGTAATGGTGGTAGTGGTGGTGTCAGCCCAGAGAGTGTAGTGGTGGTGGTGGTGGTGTCTGCTCTGGGGCAGTGTAGTGGTGGTAGTGGTGGTGTCAGCCCAACTACTGGGTGGTAGTGGTGATGTCAGCCCAGAGAGTGTAGTGGTGGTAGTGGTGGTGTCTGCCCAAGCAGTGTAGTGGTGGTAGTGGTGGTGTCAGCCCAAGTAGTGGTGGTAGTGGTGATGTCAGTCCAGGGAGTGTAGTGGTGGTAGTGGTGCAGTCAGCCCAGAGAGTGTAGTGATGATAGTGGTGTTAGTGGTGGTGTCAAACACGTCAGTACTACCACTGGGCCACCTGCCACCACCACACATACACACAGAGCGACAGTCCAGGTACTCAGTCATGCGAGGGGCGAGTAACAGTCTGTTCCTTCAGGCTACACAGTTACAGTCTATTTCTACAGCCTAGTTTACCAAGTTCCAGGTTAAGTGTAAGATCAACAGTCTAATTCTACAGTCAAATTTACAGTCTAACTCTACAGTCATACAGGTGAGTTTAGTTTACAGTTTAATTCAATTTCAAGTATTGAGAAGTGAGTGAGAAATCCAGTTCTTAACACCAGTCTACGCCAGTCTATGTCAGTCTATGTCAGTCTATTACCTCTCATGTAACCTGTCGTCATGTGATTGGTGATAGACAGGCGTGGGAATAATTGAGTTCGTGTGTGTGTGTGAGTGTGTGTGAGTGTGTGTGTGTGTGTGAGTGTGTGTGTGTGTGTGTGTGTGTGTGTGTGTGTGTTATGGTTACCGCGTCAGTAGTACCCACAACAACATTGATCCTCTCACCTCTGTGGACACCCAAGTATGGCCCCCTCCCTCACTCCCTTATACTTAATCTCCCTTATTTACATCTCTTACTCTCCCTTAATAACTCACTCTCCCTTAATATTTCCCTCTCCCTCACACTTACTCTCCCTTAATAACTCCCTCTCCCTTACTCACGTATTTAACTCATTTAATGACTCAAATGCGGTCGTTCACTCTCTTCATGACACATATACTGTAGACTCACGTGTGCTTACAGGTATGTCATACATGTGTGTTTATAGGTGTGTCATATACAGTAGACTCACGTGTGTTTACAAGTGTGGCATATAGACTCACGTGTGTTTACAGGTGTGTCATATAGACTCACGTGTGTTTACAGGTGTGTCATATATTTCATGAATTTTGTCATTAAATTTTATGAAACTTGAAATTTTGTTAAATCTATAATCGATATTTAGATGATAGTAAGTGTAAATAAATCATTTTATTTGATTAATTATAACAATGACGTATTTAGTGAGTGTGATGTTGTGTTTGTTTGTTTGTTTATTATTGCTTGTACACACACACACACACACACACACACACACACACACACACACACACACACACACACACACAAGATCTTTATGTTTTGGTGTGACCTAGCGACAGACTCCCCTCCCCTCCTAACCTCCTCCTCTCTCTCCCCCTCCTCCTTATGCCTCTTCCTCCCTTATCTCTCCGTCCTCTCCTTCCCTTTCACCTCCCTCCTACCCATCCTCATTATCTATCATCCCCTTCCCTTCCAATCCCCCTTACTTCTCCTCCTTTACTTCCCTTTTTCCTCTCCTTCCCCCTACTGGTGTGCTACCTGTTGCCTGTTGCGACAGGTAGTCACAGAGAGAGAGAGAGAGAGAGAGACTCCAAATATAACCTCTTTACCTTCTGCAGGAGTCACAACACCCCACGAGAAGAAGCAGCAGTACCAGCAGGAGGATACACACAGAGTAGCGAGAGAGAGAGAGGAAGGATGGGTAGCGGAATCACTAAAGAGTTGGGTAAGCTCCCTCTGGAGACCCTGTGTGACCACGACGGAGGCATCAACTGTATCGGCGCTTCTGACGATGAATCCCTCCTGGTGACGGGCTCTGAGGACAAGACTGCCAGGGTGTGGGCCATCGGGGGCAAAGAGACGGAGTGTATCGGTATTATAAAGTAAGTGTGTGTGTGTGTGTGTGTGTGTGTGTGTGTGTGTGTGTGTGTGTGTGTGTGTGTACCTCCTGATGCTGCTGCTGGTGTTGAGACATTAATACATTGTAACCTCCTCCAGGGGACACACGAGCTACATCACCTGCGTCACGGTTCACGACACCTTCGCCATTACCGGGTCTGCTGACAACACCTTGAGGAAGTGGGACATTATCGACTGTGATTGCTTGTACACCTATGAAGGTATTCTGTATGTTGATCTTTACCGTGTCAGTCATTACTCTCTATAGAAGGCTAAAGGTTGGAGAATAAATCGTGGTGAAGTTTACCTCCGAGATTATCATAAGGTATTGGCCAGTAGGGTTAAGAATGAGATAAGAAAAGCAAAGAGGAATAATGAACTGAAGATAGCAAGGGAGGCGAAGTCAAACCCTAAGGGATTCTTTCAAATCTATCAAACTAAAATACGAGAAAAGATTGGACCAATACAGTCAGATACCGACGAGCTAACGGATAACGACGGAGAAATGAGCAATAATCTGAACAGATATTTGTTAACAGTTTTCACCACCGAAAATTTAATCATGATACCGGAGGCACCGACTAGTGAAGAAAATAGATTAAGCGAGATAGTAGTGACTAGTAACGATGTTAGTAAGCAAATAGTCAAGTTAAAGCCTAATAAGTCACCATTTCCTTAGGAGATATTTGCCAGAGCATTACAGGAATGTAAGGAAGAGCTTAGTATGCCCTTAGCAAATTTGTTTAACATACCATTAAAAACGGGTGTAGTACCAGAATCCTGGAGAATAGCGAATGTAATAGCGATTTTCAAGAAGGGAGATAGATCACTATCCTCTAACTACCGTCCAATCAGTTTAACATCAATTGTAGGCAAATTCCTGGAAGCAATAATTTCAAAATCTATTCGAAATCACCTGGAGAAGCACAAGTTGATCAATGATTCCCAACATGGCTTCACAAGCGGGCGTTCATGTCTGACTAATCTATTAACATTCTTTTCAACTGTTTTCGAATCGGTGGACGACGGGCACGATTATGATGTGGTATATCTCGACTTTAGCAAAGACTTCGACAGAGTCCCCCACGAAAGACTAATGCGAAAAGTGGAGGCTCATGGCATTAAAGGTGATATTCTAAAATGGATTAGAGCAGGAAACAGGACAGGACAGGAAACAGTGAGTAAGCATTAACGGCACTAAATCCGATTGGAGTAACGTCACTAGTGGAGTACCTCAAAGCTCAGTACTTGGACCATTACTATTTATTGTATACATAAACGACATAGATATAGGCGTAGACAGCAACATAAGAAAATTTGCTGATGACACTAAAATAGGGTGTGTAATTAAATCTGACGAGAACTCCGCTAACTACCGGAAGATCTAAAAAAAAGATTTGCATAGTCTGAAAAATGGTAGATGAAATTTAATGTGGACAAATGTAAAGTACTTAGTTAGGAGATGTAAACAGAGAAACCAGACATCAGATGAACAACTTTGTTATAGAGAAATCCGACTGTGAGAAAGATTCAGGAGTAATGATAAGTTGGAATCTTAAACCAAGACAACAATGTGTATTTGCTCGAAACAAAGCTAACAAAGTACTTGAGTTCATACAAAGGAGTGTTAGTTACAAGACAAGCGAGGTTAACGTGCGTTTGTGAGACCTCACGTGGATTATGTCGCTCAGTTCTGGTCACCGTATTACAGAATGGATAGGAAATCCCGAGAAAGAATTCAGAGGAGAATGGAAAGTCAGGACTAAACAAAGGTGATATAACAAAGGTACTCAAACTATCCAACCAGGAGCGAACTCGTAGCAATGGTTTTAAATTAGAAAAATTTAGATTTAGGCGCGAGATAGATGAACACTGGTTTGAAAATATAGTAGAGGACGAGTGGAACAAGTTACCAAACATCATCATGAACTGGAACACGCTGGGTAGCTTCAAACATAGGTTGGATGGGTATATGAGCGATACGGGTTGGGTGTAAACGGGACTACCCAATATGGACCAATAGACCCGCTGCACTTTCCTCCATTCTTATGTTCCTGTGTTCTTATGTTCTTATCAATAATTACTCTCTATGTCACTTTACACTTATATCCACATCTACTCTCTACTTACTGTATATACATGTAAATCCTCACATAATAATTACGTTAACTTACACACATCCACAAATACTTCTTATGTCTACTTAAATACACACACAATCCACACACACTCCACACACAATCCACACACACTCCACACACACTCCACATAAAAACTAACTGTGTCAACAATACTCACAGCAACACAAATAATGAGTGAGGCAGCCAGCAGTCGTTAAGAAGAGATGATTGTCACTTTAATTTACCCAGTCTATAGGGTCCATAAGCTTGCGAGCTAGAGGGGTATATGTAACCAGCTTCTGCCAGGGTTTAGTCGACAAGAATGGTAGTCAAGTTTCCCTCGTAACTATTCAATAACATTACATATTAACACCACACTTTACACACATGATCACTGAATATTCCCGCGCCATTATTTTCAGCCATAACACCACAACGAGTCACACAAACACTAAATTATAGCCATACAAGAGTTAAGCATGGAACACTTTAGAAGCCAACGACGGTGCTGTCCTCTGCGTGTAAACAACATAACAGTGGAACTAAAAATTATACCCTTGTTGACGGTGCTGCCCTCTACGTGTAAACAACATAACAGTGGAACTAAAAATTATACCCTTGTTGACGGTGCTGCCCTCTACGTGTAAACATAACAGTGTGACTCAGAATGATACCCTAATTGACGTTACAATGTTAATACAACACTTTAATAACTAAGGTCTTAAAACCCGTAACTAAATCCAACAACCAATTGATAATTATGAGAAATAGAACTGTTTATGTTGATGTTATGATGTTATTAATGCACTTCAATAATCATAAGGTCTTTCAGTTGGTTGTTAAAGTTGTAATTACACTAGTTGTCCATTAATAATAAAGAAATATGAGATACAAATTTATTACCCACAGGTCATGTATCAACACCCACAGGTCACAGGGTCATGTATCATTACCCACAGGTCATGTATCAACACCCACAGGTCAAAAGGTCATGTATCATCACCCACAGGTCATGAATCACGCATCACCAGGGTGTTGTGTACGGGAGAATACTTAGTGAGCACCTCCCAGGACCACACCGCAAGAGCCTGGTACTTTGACGAAGATGATTTAGAGGAACACACCTCCAAGTCTGTCTGTATCAAGATCTTTGAGGTAAACATTGTCTCTCTCTGTCTCTCTCTCTCTCTCTCTCTCTCTCTCTCTCTATATATATATATATATCTCTCTCTCTCTCTCTCTCTCTCTCTCTTTCATTTTTCAGTAGCTGTGTATCTATATTTCACAGGGCCACAGTGACTATTAGTAGCATACACAGGGCCACAGGGTCACAGTAACCAAGCCCTAATGTTCCACAGGGCCACAGTAACCATACACCTAATGTTCCACAGGGCCACAGTAACCATACACCTAATGTTCCACAGGGCCACACTGCGGGTATCTACTGTCAAGTGATCATACCGGGAGTTCTTGACACCGAGATGGGCTCAGGTGATGTAATAATTACCGGGAGCCTCGACTGTACCGCTCGTTCATGGTCCTTTACTACCGGGAAGTGTTTGAAGGTGAGCTGTATCCCGGTGCCCAGTGTAAATACCCACAATACCCAAGGTTAGGTTAGGTTATAGTGTTAGGTTAGGTTACGTTACGTTATAGTGTTAGGTTAGGTTATGTTATAGTTTTAGGTTAGGTTACGTTATAGTGTTAGGTTAGGTAAGGTTAGGTTAGGTTATAGTGTTAGGTTAGGTTACGTTATAGTGTTAGGTTAGGTTATAGTGTTAGGTTAGGTTACGTTATAGTGTTAGGTTAGGTAAGGTTAGGTTAGGTTATAGTGTTAGGTTAGGTTACGTTATAGTGTTAGGTTAGGTAAGGTTAGGTTAGGTTATAGTGTTAGGTTAGGTAAGGTTAGGTTAGGTTATCGTGTTAGGTTAGGTTACGTTATAGTGTTAGGTTAGGTTACGTTATAGTGTTAGGTTAGGTTAGGTTATAGTGTTAGGTTAGGTTAGGTTAGGTTAGGATCCTAATTATAAGAAGTTACAAACGCCTGTCCTTCATTGTACCCATATGTACGGATTATATAATTATATACATGAACAGTTACTTTTAAATGCTTGTATTTCTTTTTCTGACCCAGAAATTTGAGGGCCACACAGAATGCGTTAGTTGCATGGCCACAGATGTAACGGGAAAAGTGTTGTATACAGGTGGTGCTGACAAGACCCTTCGTAGCTGGGACGTGGCCACAGCCGTCTGCTATAGGGTAAGTGGCCAACAAACTTCACCTGTTATAGGTTAAGTGGCCATAACATTCACCTGTTATAGGGTAAGTGGCCACATTCTTCACCTGCTATAGAAATACATGGCCACATCCCTCAATGCATTACATATTAATCACAGGTTTTCCCTACAGGTGTTTAAGGGTCACCTGGGTCAAATAGTGTGTATGGTGGTCCTCAAACAGCTGGTGTACAGTGGTGACGGAGTTGGTGAGGTGAAGTGTTGGGATGCTGGTTCGCCAGAGACTGTCACTATTAAGACTAAGGCGACTGAAGTGGGCCCCATGACCACCTTCTACGGTCACAAGAACACAGTCAATGCTATAAAGTTCCACCGTGGCTTGTGTAAGTCTGTGTTGAGTCTGTGTTGAGTCTGTGTTGCGTCTGTGTTACTTTTGTGTTGCTTTTGTGTTGCGTTCTGTGTTGCGTTCTGTGTTGAGTCTGTGTTGCGTCTGTGTTGCTCCTGTGTTGCTCCTGTGTTGAGTCTGTGTTGCGTCTGTATTGCGTCTGTGTTGCTCCTGTGTTGAGTCTGTGTTGAGTCTGTGTTGCGTCTGTGTTGAGTCTGTGTTGCGTCTGTGTTGAGTCTGTGTTGAGTGTGTATAACCCAAGTGTATTATTTTGTAGTGTTTCCCCTGCAATGTACAGCATAATGTGTACACCCTTTAATGTACAGTCCACCTTTTACAGTGTACAACCTTCTATCTGCAGTATACATCCATCCCCTACAGTATACAACCTTCCCCTACAGTATACAACCTTCCCCTACAGTATACAACCTTCCCCTACAGTATACACGGCCAGCAGCGACAACTACATCAGGGCCTTTGACGCTAAGACCTCAGAACCGCGAGCAATTTACGAGGGTCACAAAATTGGTGTTAACTGCATCATAATCTGCGCCTCTAAATTATACAGCGGCTCTACTGACACTACCCTCATTGTGTGGGGCCTGTCCAAACTCGGGTAAGCTAACTGTCTATCTGTGCCGTGTGTCTGTGGTTACATAGAAGGCTAGAGGATTAATATTTGAGGGAGAGATATGGGTCTGGAGGTATTGTATGGAGAGATGCCTGGGTTATGTTTATTTACGAAGACTGCTGGGTAATAATAATAATAATAACTAATAGTAATAATAAATAAGAATAATAGTAAATAATAATAATAATAATACTAATAATAACAATAAATAATAATAATAATAAACTGTTTTTACATCCTATATATATAATAAACTTTAGAGATTCTCCAAACATCATAAGATCCAGCCAACCAACCAATTAGTTCCTTACATCATTAACTTATACACATTGCTCTCTAGTATCAGACATAATATTTTATAATATTGTTTCAGTAACGAAAATGAAGAGGAAGCCAGCGACGATGATGATGGTGATAATGATAGCTCAAGCAGTGGTGACAGCTCAAGCAGTGATGACAGCTCAAGCAGTGGGAAGAAAGGCGTGAAACATATCGTATAGGTGGATAATGAATATGAAGAAGGAAGCACAGATGAAGGCAGGAGATATAGAGAAAAGAATTGACTCAGAAAATGGAAAGACCAAAATATAGTCAAAGTATTTAAGAGAAAATATTAAAAATAGAAAATTGACTGATGAGTTCTAGGTAGACTCAATCAGATTTAAATAATGACGACGATTGTGAACTCTGATTCCTTAAGTATAGTGATTTTGTGTTATATTAAGTTTATTATGGTTTAGTACACCTGTTCAATTCTCTTATACAGGGTGTCTCAAAAAAAGAATTAGAGGCTGTACGCTAACTGAATACTTGAACAACAATAACAACAACAACAACAACAACAACATCTCCTCAGTTGTTGTTGTTGTTGTTCTCCCACAAGTTGTAAAATAATTCTTCACGTCATCCACACGGGGAAATATGTAAGGTAATATTTATAGTACATATTATTTTTTGAGACACCCTGTTGTTTCAGTAATGTGTGATGCCTCATAGGATTTGTTGCTAGTCAGGGAAACCTATTCACTATACCTAACCTAACCTAACCTAACCTAACCTGGATAATATCACCAATAAATCCGGATTGTGAGTAAAAATCGTAATTGTGGAAAGAATTTAATCTGAGAATGTTCCTTTATTTTTTTTTTTTTAGTATTAGTGTTAAGGATGTATATTATTCTTAAGTTATTGAGGATTACAGAATTATAGAAGAATATATATGGTAATTAAGACCTTGTATTTATTATGGTGAAATTATTATAGTTACATTATACAGTTACGTATATAATGCTACATCAATTAAGTCTAGTATATTATAAACACTAAAATTATCAATTGCATTACTGTACAACTCACATTATTCCAAGTGTTCATCTAACATAAACAAGTGGTGACGTAAGACAATTGTGTGACGTAAGCAAAGTGTGACGTCACCAAATTGTATGACGTAAGCAAAGTGTGACGTCAGTAAATTGTATGACGTAAGTAAAGTGTGACGTCAACAAGTCCTCTGATCTCGTAACAAAAATTATCAAGTTCTAGTTTTGAGTTACATGATTTTCCGGATATTCGAGAACTTGGATTTTAGTTTCGGATACCGATAGCCTTAATAACTTAGTACTCTGGGAACTACTCTAGGTACTCTTGTTACTAGGCACTCATATGTCAGGTCAGGTCAGGTCAGGTCACAGTTATAGTGAAGGTTAATTCTTGTTATCATTCTAACTTGTTCTTTGTCGAATGTTTATTTTTTTCTGTAATATTTTAAGGTCTATTGGATCACCTGAAGATTAGACACCCCTAGCTTATTTTACCTGATGATTAAATGCCTTAACGATACCTGGGGGGTTTTAGGTTAGGTTAGGTTAAGTTAGGTTAGGTTAGATTAGGTTAGGTTAGGTTAGATAATCTTAAGGTGACATAAACTAGGGGTGTCTAATCTTCAGGTGATCCTATTGTTTATTCATTGATGTTAAAAAAAAAGATATATGTTTTATTTTCAAATTTATAGAACTATATATTTATCCTAATTAAAAATATAATAAGTAATATTAGTGAAAAAAAATACAACTGTAGTTTTATGAAGATATACATGACAACACTATATGACTCGTTCAGTATATAACTCATTAATAAACGGCAAAAACAAAATCTAAGTCGATGTGTTTTTGTATTTTTAGAAGACTTACCTAAGATCCTTGGTAAGTATTGATTTACTCCCAATACTTAGAGTAGGATTCACCTTTACGTCTGTTACCCACTAGGACTAGGTGAAGGTTGTTGATAAATAGTATTTGCGCGGGAAATGAGGAAGCATTGTGATTGGTTACTGATGAGTGATGTCACTGTATCGACGAAAGGAGATGGTGAACGAGGCGAGGAGAGGTTGTGATCCAGGCGAGGAGAGGTTGTGAGCCAGGCGAGGAGAGGTTGTGAGCCAGGCGAAGAGAGGTTGTGAGCCAGGCGAGGAGAGGTTGTGATCCAGGCGAGGAGAGGTTGTGAGCCAGGCGAGGAGAGGTTGTGAGCCAGGCGAGGAGGTTGTGAGCCAGGCGAGGAGAGGTTGTGAGCCAGGCGAGGTTGTGAGCCAGGCGAGGAGGTTGTGAGCCAGGCGAGCCAGGCGAGGTTGTGAGCCAGGCGAGGAGAGGTTGTGAGCCAGGCGAGGAGAGGTTGTGATCCAGGCGAGGAGGTTGTGAGCCAGGCGAGGTTGTGAGCCAGAGGTTGTGAGGCGAGGAGGTTGTGAGCCAGGCGAGGAGGTTGTGAGCCAGGCGAGGAGAGGTTGTGAGCCAGGCGAGGAGAGGTTGTGAGCCAGGCGAGGAGAGGTTGTGAGCCAGGCGAGGAGAGGTTGTGATCCAGGCGAAGAGAGGTTGTGATCCAGGCGAGGAGAGGTTGTGAGCCAGGCGAGGAGAGGTTGTGAGCCAGGCGAGGAGAGGTTGTGAGCCAGGCGTGGGGAGTATTAAGTATTCAGTGCGAAGTCATCAGTACATCTAGTAAGTCGTAGCCTGAAATCACTGAAGTAGCTCTGGAAGTCACCATGGTAGCTCCTGAAATCACCTAAATAGCTCCTGAAATCACCTAAGTAGCTCCTGAAGTCACCTAAATAGCTCTTGAAGTCAGCTAAGTAGCTCCTGAAGTCACCATTGTAGCTCCTGAAATCACCTAAATAGCTCCTGAAGTCACCATGGTAGCTCCTGAAGTCACCTAAATAGCTCCTAAAGTCACCTCGGTAGCCACACCCACTTCAGGCCTTCGTCTTGTGCCTACGCCTGACCCAACTCTTACTCATGACGCAGCAGAAGCCCTCCAGGAGACCCACCATCACCGCGACGCCCATACACACCCCGTAGACGATGACGGCGCCCTGGAGGAGGAGGAACAGAGAGAGAAAAGGTGGGAGAGAGAGAGAGAGAGAGAGAGAGAGTCCAAGATGGAAGATTAGACACCACAGTTTCTTTTGTCCTAAATATTAACTATCCTAATGTTATTATAAGAGGAGTTAGGTTAGGTTAGGTTAATTCGTATCACTTTATCAGGTCTTCCGGTTGTCTATGTGTATATTTACGTCACGATGGAGTTACGTAATGATTGTGTTACGTCATATGGTACTTACTGTACGTCAAGATGTATTTACCTGATAATCTGCCAGACTCAGGGGTCGAGAGCCTCTATTACCAACATTAACACCCACTTCACGGAACTTCATATTTCTCTTGAAGTTCGTCTGCGCCTCCTGCAGGTGAACAACAAACGATTACCATACATTAAGGTCCTAGTGGGTCTTCAATCACAGAGGTTCGTATAATATTTAATACACGTCAGTAAAGATGTGGGAAAAAGATTTGAATTTACACCGAGTCAATCTAAAGTAATCTTGCAATCACAAAAAAGTTTCTGTTTACGCCTTTATTTCCTACTCACAGAAACGTTTCTTTTGTATACTTCTACTCACAGAAACGTTTCTTTTGTATACTTCTACTCACAGAAACGTTTCTTTTGTATACTTCTACTCACAGAAACGTTTCCTTTGTATACTTCTACTTACAGAAACGTTTCCTTTGTATACTTCTACTCACAGAAACGTTTCTTTTGTATACTTCTACTCACAGAAACGTTTCTTTTGTATACTTCTACTCACAGAAACGTTTCCGTTGTTTACTTCTACTCACAGAAACGTTTCCGTTGTTTACTTCTACTCACAGAAACGTTTCCTTTGTTTACTTCTACTCAGAAAAACGTTTTCTCTTCTCACCTTCCACCAGTACCTGCAGAGGCCAGACTCAATAAAGACTGAGATGTAGTGATTAAACTTGTAGGTCCAGGGCGTGTGTTTGGGGAAGTACCAGGCTATGTGCGATGCCCTGTAGTTCACCTTCAGGATGTATGTGTTGACGGCGCCCTTCAGGGTGGCCACATACTGAAGGTACGATTCTGCTTCTATCAGAGCGTGGCCACCGTTTTCTACCTGTTGAAGTCAGTGGAAGAGTAAGACTAAGGGGGTGCTATAACTGTCCTCTTGCTGTGCTAAGGGGTGCTATAACTGTCCTCTTGCTGTGCTAAGGGGTGCTATAACTGTCCTCTTGCTGTGCTATAACTGTCCTCTTGCTGTGCTAAGGGGTGCTATAACTGTCCTCTTGCTGTGCTAAGGGGTGCTATAACTGTCCTCTTGCTGTGCTATAAGCTGTCCTCTTGCTGTGCTAAGGGGTGCTATAGCTGTCCTCTTGCTGTGCTAAGGGGTGCTATAACTGTCCTCTTACTGTGCTAAGGGGTGCTATAACTGTCCTCTTGCTGTGCGATAGCTGTCCTCTTGCTGTGCTAAGGGGTGCTATAACTGTCCTCTTACTGTGCTAAGGGGTGCTATAACTGTCCTCTTGCTGTGCTATAGCTGTCCTCTTGCTGTGCTAAGGGGTGCTATAACTGTCCTCTTGCTGTGCTAAGGGGTGCCATAACTGCCCTCTCACTGACCATGCTGAGGCCGAGGTCATAGTTGTAAGGGATGACCTCAAGGGACTGACCCAGCTTCCTAAGGGCGGGGTCAAGGGAGGAGGCCAGAGCGGAAGGGATGTAGCTGCCGTAGTCTGTCATGATGGGCCTGGCGGAGGTCACTAAGGTTAGGTCAAGGTCATTAAATACAGGAATGACTCAGGTTTAAATGAAGCCTCAATCTAACCTATCCTATTAAAAGTCTTAAACTGTGACTTATGAGGTACTGATGGAACCACCTGAAGATTAGTCCCTCAGTCTCTTTTTTTTCCACCTGATGATTAACCACACCTAACGCTACCTGTGGGATGTGGATAGTTTTGGTTAGGTTAGGTTAGATTAAGCTAGAACATAATAGGTTAGATTAAGCTTAAGTTAGATTAGGTTAAATTAGCATCAGGGTGATTAATAAACTGAGGTTGGTTAATCTTCAAGTAATCAGGATGGCGATTACTTGAGACCGGAAGAGGCAAGTTGATGGAAGGTACGGAGGTAAGCTGGCCTGGGCGGGGCAGTAATGTAAGCGACCAGGTTCCCGGTGTAGGAGATGGAGATCACCATAGCAACCAGACGCCATACTCCCTGCATCGTCCTGACCAAAACAACAATAATCTCACTTAACAACACTGCCTACAACACATTATGACGTCAATCTAGTCAAATATTCAGTTGTATGTCGTGAAATTGAGTTAATATTATTTGTACGTTGTAAATTTTGTTGTATTGTTGTACGTCGTAAATTTTGTTGTATTGTTGTACGTCGTAAATCAGTTTAAATTTAAAGATGATTTATTTGTCACTAACTCATATAAGATAAGACACGTATAGACCCGATATATCACCGTCAGGTCACCATTCAACGTCAGTAGTTATTGTCAGTCACTATCCAACGTCAGCAGTCACCATCATCAGTCACCAGTTAGTTACCTGACGGAGTAATCACATGAGAGGTCTGAAGCGTCGAGGCGTAGGATGGTTCTTACCACCTCCAGGAGAGTATGGCTCAGCCCTCCGTCAGGTAGCTCCTTCACCTGCCGGTATACACACACACACACACACACACACACATTAGAAACTGTACAAATTATTTATTGTTATTAATAGTAGTAAAGTAAATCTCAAATGAGGACGTGTCTTTAACTTACCTTGATGAAGACGAGGTGGACGATGGTGACGAGGACCAACGTCAGCACCACGCCCACCCACGTCGACCACCTGCAGAAGGAGACAATCCCTTCTACATTGCGTTGCATCTCCATACGATGAGCAAACAAACACCTCCACACGCATTCTCACACACACACACAAGCAAACACCTACACACATAAGTGCCTACATACACACACACACACACACACACACACACGCACACACACACAAACACATAAGTACATACACACGTACACCAACCCATACACACACACGAACATTTGCATATCTTACTTACACAAAGAATTACATACAATACCTCCCGCACTGTTAACCTCAGTCACTCATCGAAATAGCCACTATTCCCCCAGAACGAGGCGGAGGACCTACCTGAAGGGGAAGGAGATGGACCACCAGCGAGACGGTGGTTCAGGGATGGGCAAGAGGAAGTTGTAGTACTCCACCCAGTACGTGATGCTGTAGTCTATTGCCTTGTGTCTGTCGAACTTGATGGCCATCTGGTTGATCCCGAAGTCTCTGTTAGGTTAAGACCTGTGTTTTGTTTACCTTTTAAGGAACCGGTATGCATAATTTAATTGCCATCTGAAGGTTATACACACCCTAGCTGAACCTAACCTAACCTAACCTCACCTAACCGAGCTTAATCTTCAAGTAAATTAGACTGAGGTGCTTTTTCCACTTGAATATTAATCACCCTAAGGCGTTTGAGTGTTTTAATTAAAAGGGGAAATAAGCTGGAGGTTAATCTTTAGGTAACCTGATTAGTAAAGTTTGCTATTATTAATTAAGCTCATTCACCAAAATTGCCAAGAGACAAATTAGAGTTATGGACACAAACAATTGACTAAGAATCTGAAATGTAGTTTTGATATCTTAATAAAAAGGGAAATTTATTAATTCAGATATCAAACAACGATTTAGATGAATAAACAAATACTAATTCCTTCTTCATAATGTTTGACAGATTTCTGGAGAATTGTTAAGCAGTAAACATCAACGCTAATACTTACTTTTCCTTGCGGTAAACTTCGCCGATAAGACCCCGCCAAGAACCATTGAAGAAATCTCCCCACTTTTTGTCCGGAGGAAAGTCGTAAACCTGGTAGGTAAAGTTGAGCTTCCCGGAGATCTCCTGCAACATACGGAGACAAAACCCGGGAGAGTCGGCCGCTCCAGCTGCGTTAATCAGGAATGGGAAGTCGTCGATCCAACTAGCTAGGTGGAAGCGGTGTCCGTTGAAGTGAGTATAGCGGTCTGGGAAAACTTCAGAAACGGTATTTATCTGACCCACAGTGTACGAGGCTACAGTCCTCACCTTGTCTCTTGGCCAAAAGTTGTTGTGGGTCATGATGTGATAGGTGCTGGTCGGGGCTCCAGAACGGTAGACTGGTTGAAGTAAGGAGAGGAAAGGGCTATGGTTTATGCTAGGATGAGTGAGTAGTAATGACGATTGGGGTCGAGAACCAGCGGCAACGAGCAATAAGTACTGTGGTGCCCAGACCCGTGGAGGTAAACTACTGGCGAAACCCTCCACAAGATGTCTCTCCTCAAACAGCAGAATATGAACGTAAACACCGTCGTTGTAGTCTCCCATCCACCCCGCCTTGACCAGACTCCGTTCTGTTATATCAATTATCAACAAAGGCGTTCTAACATCAGACGCCAATAGTTGACTGAGGACGGATAGGGTTGTTGGCTGGGAGTCATAGTAGATTAACACGTCCCTCTCAGCCAGCGTAACGACTATCAGGAGTCTAAGAAGTGATACCAACATGTCAGTTAAGATGTCACGTTCCTTCACCTCATGTAGATCGAGGCTTCTTCTTTTTCTTGACCTCAACACTTCTCCGTTATGTCTTCCTTCGCCATCGACCTCCTGACAATGGTCCTCTCCCACAGACATTGATGGTATGAATCCATACTCCCGGGCACCTTGACGCTGGTGAAGGAGTAGGTGTTGGGGCGCCGCCAGGAGTTTGTTCACAACTCCCTGAGGATGTGTGGCCGTGAAGCCAACACAGAGAGAAGCAGCGAGGAGTAGCCAGTACAAGGTCCTCATCCTACGACTGAAGCGGTGAAATTAATGATAAAAAGTTGTTATCATAAGTGGGAATGAATATGACCCACAAATATTGCAGTTTTTAATATAATATCTGAGTTATATTGGAGTAAAGACCCCTACCCCTTCCCCTCCCTTCACCTCGACGGTCTTTCCATAATAGACTGTTAAAAGTTAATTTCCAGCGGAGTCTTGCTCTGTGTACTCACTGTTCTGGTAAATCCCGAGGGTGAGATTACTTACCAGTTGATGACTGCAGTAAGGATGACACTGATGAATGACTGGCTTATGAGAGTAAACATCTATTTAACCACCGACGCCCCGCCCACACCACTCACTCTCTCTTCCCCGTTGGCTCTGCGTCACCCGCCCACACCACTCACTCTCTCCCCCATTGGCTCTGCGTCACCCGCCCACACCACTCACTCTCTTCCCCATTGGCTCTGCGTCACCCGCCCACCGCATGAAGCTGACTTTTGTTACGTCTAATATAACGTTTTTTTTTTTTTTTTTTTACAAACCTTAAACCTCAGTCCTCCAAAATTATCTTGCGCTTTGGCTTGTTCACACTACGGGCTTAACTCTTGCCACACCGTATCGCTGCTACATATACAGTAAAACTAATGCCTGAAATCGTACCCAAATTTGCATACGAAAATACTGAGTTACGTTGTAGAGTTAGGTTAGGTGGCATATTATCTTATCAGGTTAGGGGTAGGTTAGGTTATATACTTGGTTTCATGTAGGTTAATGTGGGGCAGATTGTCAAGATAGGTTAAGGTGTAGGTTAAGTTAGGCTTGAGATAAATTAGGTGAAAGGCATCAAACTACAGTAAGTAGTGTGTTTAGTTAGGTTAGGTTTTGACCCTTGACGAATTTGGTTAGGTTAGGTTATGACCAGTATATCAGACCAAGAAGAATATCAGATCACGAGTAGAAATAATTATTCACCAACAAAACTTAACCAATTTACACACAGACACACACACACAGACAGACACAGACACAGACACAGACACACACACACACACAGGTATGTTCGGAATATTTATGTTGACATTTTGATATTCTCGGTGCTGTGTGTCACCTCATTTCACCCCAGCACACGAAGGTATCCTAACCAGGCCGTAATATTTAGCTTAACATTCATCTGGTTGACTCTGTTGTGCCGATTCCATATTGTTGACATTTTCAATTTTTTCTTTTCTTTTCATGTGACTAGAAGCGAGAGAGCAAGTTTTGGTATTTAAAATAAGAGGAATATAATCTGTTCCATAATTGTGATGTGGAGTATTGTGGTGGCTTGAGAAATGAGGCGGGAAAATAGTTGTTTTATTGTGATGGTGATGTGACGTAGTATCATAATAGACACTACGAGATATTAAAAAAAAAACCACTGAAATATTATCGTTTTCTAAGATGTAAATGCCAAAAGTATAACAAATGGTCAGGAATATTAAAACAAAAAAATGTGCTGTGGTTTTATTTTTTCTCAGTTTGTTACTTAACAATCTTGTCCACAAATAAAAAAATATTTATTTTTAAACAGTACATGAGATGATTACACCGGAGATATAATATATTTAATTCAGAGATGGAATTCGTTCTTATTCACCATTTTCTTCAACAACAACTAAATCAAGGTCATTTACTGGTGTCTTTACCCTTGTATACAGTACGTGAATCATGATCTCTTCCCACACACAGTCGGCTGGTGACCTTCTCATTCAGCTGGTGACCTTCCCCCTTCAGCTGGTGACCTTCCCTTCAGCTGGTGACCTTCCCCTTCAGCTGGTGACCTTCCCCTTCAGCTGGTGACCTTCCCTTTCAGCTGGTGACCTTCTCATTCAGCTGGTGACCTTCCCCTTCAGCTGGTGACCTTCCCCTTCAGCTGGTGACCTTCCCCTTTCAGCTGGTGACCTTCCCCTTCAGCTGGTGACCTTTCCCTTTCAGCTGGTGACCTCAGATCTGGGTACAGTAGTAAGCATGACCTCAGTGGTAGCCTCCAGAGCCCACGTATTCAGGTATGGCCATCGTCAGAGTGTATATGACCCAGTTGAAGCAAAAATGGTCCGTTCATCTTAACTGCACTCATCTGGAGGCGGCAGTGTGTAGCTCTGGAGGCAAGAGGATACATGTGTTACTGTGATGGGTCAGGAAAATGATGATTCTGACAACGCTATGCAAGATGGACACTTTATAAGGAGGTAAAACTGTAGTGTAAGACTTCACATTCTTAAAAATGGGAGAAATATGAAATAACTCTCTCTCTCTCTCTCTCTCTCTCTCTCTCTCTCTCTCTCTCGCTGTCATAACCCTGAAATCACTTCCAGCAAACTCTTGTCACTACGAAAATTCTTTTGAATGATTTTCAATAACAAATAAGTTAAAAAAAAAGGGGCGGATGTGTTATATTACAAGCATCTGCCTCTTTTCCTTTGATTCTGAAGTTATCTTAAGACCTTCCAATAATACTAATCTTAACTGTAAAACACGTTTAACTCACCTTGGATATCTCGAACTCAGGCTGGTAGTAGTCGTAAACACGCACTGTGCCAGGCTTCACATCCTCCACGTCAACCACTCGTATCGCACGGAAGTTTACACAGGTGTCTTGGGCAGTTAACTCTTCGATGTAGAAGGAAACTTTGCTGCCATCCACCTCATAACGCTTTATGTTGACGTTGTCATTCACAAGTTTCTTCAGGTCTTCTTTCTCAGGGATGTAACCAGAGATGAGGTCCACCTCGATGACAGCCATGTTAGACTTGCCATCAGGGAGGCGATAGGAAGCACAGGCCGTGATGCGTTTGGTGACGCACTTGTTGTCTGGAGCCGTGTTGGTGTTGACAGTCAGGTTGAAGGCATCACTTCCTTCAGGCTCAGGAATATTATACCGAAGAACAGCCTGCAGGTGATAGCGAGGATAACCCCAACATTTTAGTTATCTATATTACTGATAAGTAGTGATAAAAACAGATGACAAAAAGCTCCTAGAGCAGATTATCTTAATGTTTCAAGTACTGTACACTAATAAAGTCAACTCGTGTTAATCTTACCTGGAGAACAGCACATCCTTGGCCCTCCATAGTGATAGAGACGGTGGTGGGGAGTGTTGGCAGTGTTACCAGCTGCTGCAGGAGTTTGTTGTCGTCTGTGACAGTGAAGGAATGGGAGAGCCCAGTAGCTGTCACTGCTGCCACCACCTTCAAGGGGCCCTGGTACGTGTGTGACTCATACATGGCCAGAGCCTGGAGGGCCACCACTGTGTCCTGGACATCACCCCCAAAAAACTCTTTTAGTTTTCAGCGTAAAATAGATTTGTCTTTCAAGGTACCTAGAGCTGCCATTCTAATAAACTACAATATTTAGGACACGTCTCTCCTCCTTCCTTCAATAAACTACCCATTTCTTTATTGTGTATCCTCATCAACACCTCTCCCACCCACATTATCTGTAAGTCTTTCTCTCTTGTGTTAACTCCGTGTTTTGTTTCACGACGATAAAGCGAAGGCCGAGTTCAATATGAGGTATGTGGAGTGTAATGAACCTTTAACAATAATATCAAAACATTTATCACGACTCCGCAATTCGATCCCTAAAACAATTTAAAATCTTGTGTTTAGCTTTACGAAAAAAATAAATTTGTTCGTCCTTTCGGGAAACCTTAAAGATACTCATTCTGGCTACAGTTTCTTCTTCAAAACGAAACAGGACACTATTTTGCTGTTAATAAACCAGTTTCGATTAAAATATGTGACTTGGCTGCCATTTTACATAACACTTTTATGATAACGACAGAGCGTGTGAAGTATATGAATAATACGAGCGCCGAATTGGTGGTTATTTCTCTTTCAATTGGAATTTTCATAAAGTGTCAAATTGTTAACTACAATTTTCAAGGTAAATAATAATAATTTAAAGTGAAAACCAACCAAGTACAGTACTGTGATGTTTTTCCTATAAATATTAACACCAAAATAAAAATAACTATGTGTTACGTTCACTAATACTGTACTATACTCAAATGTCAACTTGTTGTTTATGTTAATTTAGTGTTTTAGTTATTAAGGTCTTTTAAACAAATGATTCCATGCACTAGATATAAATTATTGACCCAAAAAAAATCTTCCCGCTCGACTTTATCTGAACGAGTAACGTGATTCGTTTTTTCCCCATTTCACTGAGAACTGTTTATCTCTGGCGTGATGCTTTGCCTAATACTCAAGTCAGGTTCTCATGTTCACTACCATCTACAACACCTGATAGCTACAGTCAGTAAGATCGTCTCCTACACAGTCATATACCTGCGTAGAGAAGAATCCTCCTTGGCCGTTTCTTCTTGCTGTGACCCATTTTATCGTCCTTCTCGCTTGCTCTTCGTATTTCTTTGCATCAATTGTGAGCATGGCCATGATAGCATACCCAGCTATCTCCACCTCCACGGCTTGACTTTTACCTGGTGTGAGATCAGTCTTATAAAAACAAATATACCATCAACAAACTGTAAAGACTGAAAATATATCAGTCTTAGATAAATACATTACACTTAATAGTCGACATCACGAAGAAATGCGAATCACAATAACGTCGGCAGATAAATCCAAAACTACTTCCATGAATAAAACCAAAAGTACGTATGAAAAAATCTTTAACCAGCCAAGAAAATATTTCTACATCACTGGTGTCAGTATCACAGACTTCCTGAGCTTCTGAAAAGTTCATCTTCACATCATTACAGACAGTTACTACAATTACATACGTGGTCCTTTAGGTAACTCCCAGTGGGTGGAGTTCTTGGCCACGATGGCTTGGCCAAGCAGGTTCTGGAGAACTGTATTGGCCTCAGTCAATCCAGCCAAGGCCATGGCGTATGCTTTCAGAGCCAAGGTGTAGGGGTCCTGGGAGGTGCTGGCCTGTATGCATTCGGCAGCTGGACAGAATAAGGGGTTACAAGATAAGTCACCAGCTTCCATCAGAGCGATCATCACGTAGGCCGTCAGAGGTACAGGAGAGTCACTTTCGCCAACACCGCCCTGTCGGGAAGTTGAGGATCAATTTAGTGTGTGTTTTCCCTTGATCTACACTTAGGTATGTATTAGTAAAGAAAATATTTAAGATAAAAAGAATAAGTGCAGTATTTCTTTCATCCTCTAATATATATCTAGCTTCAAAAATACTATTATGTAACGATAAAAGATAATTAATTCTGAACAATTCTCAGTGAAGTGTTTTGTTTCATTGTTGAGCCGCTGGAGCGTGACTGTCCCACCCAACACTACCCATGCTGTATCGCTCCCACCCACTTAACAGATAACTGTATGATAACTAAAGGTTTCTATAATAATTCCTTAAGATAAAATGCACAGTCACGGGAATAATAAGTCTCCGAACTGATTTACCCTGACTGTTGTATCTCATTTGGGGTCGATGCTGCTTCATTATGGGAAGGATGCGAACTTTTGACCCTGACTGTACAGTATACAGTATATATCAGGTGCTAAAGAAGGCTCAGGCTTTCACTTGGCACAGCCATGTTAATATTGTTATTATTATCCACTCTGTATCTGTATTTTTCTGGCTAAATAAACTGTTTCAATATCAATTAACCCTGAGTATGTTAGTTTCTCTCAGTGAGTATGTGAGACTCCCTCGATGAGTATATTTGGCTCCCTCGGTATATGTTAGACTCCTTGGATGTGAGTATATGCTAGGCTCCCTCGATGCTAGGATACTTAACAATTTTCCAGAAGATTTACACACTGTACTGAAGATTGTTATCTTGTACATGAACAAAAACAGCGCCTCGTATATTGTTCAGTAGAGGTATATCAAAATAATCCTCTTTTTCACCTAGAAGTTTTGTAGTTTGTAAAATATATTGGATATGATGAAGACAGAACATCCAACAACATTTGAGATTCGTTACGTTAGACACAACGCTCACTTATTATAGTTGTTGTGGCGTAGTAAGACTTTATAACAGCAACAAGAACTCTCTCCCTTACTACAAGACACACACTCACCTTCATGGACTTGCTGAACACTTTACCAACAGACCGGAAGCAGCCATTACTTCCCTGCTGCTCAAGAAGCCAACTGGTCGTTTTATTGAGACCCTTCGTGTCAATCTGAAATAGTTAGAAAAACATAAGAGTCGATTTTTTCCCTTAGTTAAACAACAGTTATATAATAATAATAATAATAATAATAATAATAATAATAATAATAATAATAATAATAATAAAATTTACTAATATCTGAAAATAAGTTGTTGTTCGGCTCTCTCTGTCTGTCCCTGTCTCCCAATAAACATATCCTGAATTACACACGAGATAGATCCTTAAACTCACCTGGATATAATTTTGAGCTTGGGCGAAGGACTTGAGCACGAAGGCCGTCAGCCAGGTAGAGCCAGAATCATCAGAGTTCCCGAAGGCGCTGTAGGAGCCATCGTTACGTCGGTACAGGAGCTCCCGTTGATAGCCTGGCGTGAAAGAAAACCATAAAATAAACAAAGGAATGAGGCAAATATTTTTTTTTTCTTATTAATAAATCTATGAGTCAAGTTTTTTTTTTTTTTCCAGTTGTGTTTTGTTTATTACTAACCAAACCTAACCTAACCTAACCTAACCTAACGTAACCTAACCTTACCGAGTTTCATGAAGGTGAGGAGCTTGGTGCTGGCTTCTTCGCTTGTTTGACTGGATGCCTCGAGGTAACGCATGATATAGATGTTGGGAGCGAAGTTAACCATGTTCTGCTCTCCACACCCATACGGCATACGGATCAGGTGTCCCAGGTTCTGTTAAAAGTGGTGTTAAATTATAAAAAAAAAAAATGGAAGAGAGGAAACTAGGTGTATATAAAAACGGTGACTCCATGTAATTATTTTGTTGTGTTTGTTTCTTAAATGATTCAGAGTTGAGATAATATTTGTAACACACACACACACACACACACACACACACACACACACACACACACACACACACCGTAAGTGAACCATTAAGAGGAAGGTCCAGATTAACAGTACGGACATAGGAATCATTTGAATCACGACCAAATTTCGTTGTGTCTCGCCATGGCTGAGATTTAAATTATTCTAACCTAACCTAACCTAACCTATGCCTGCACTGTTATCCTGAGGAAATCGGTCGCACAGATTCACCTAATTAGCCACGGTTTAAACATTAACAAGGCATCCCTCTATTAGACTTTCAAAAAATAATATTATACAAAGGATTGACAACGTACCTCGAGTGAGAGGGCAAGGAGATCACCTACGGCAGTAACCCAGGCTCGATCTGATCCCTCCACGATGATCAAGGGCGTCTCTAGATTCCACGCTTCCAGTGAGTCTTCTCCCGTAACGAAGTCTACCAGAAGGAGAGAGGACAGGATAATGTATCAAACACTTTATGATCTCACAACATTTCACTTACCAGAGACATTTCGATACCGGGAAGATCCAAGTTTGTTTAGTTTGAGTAACCGTATCTAACACAACACAACACAGCTCAACTCAACACAATTTACCAACTCAAGAAAGAAAAATTAGTTTGTTTAATCACACATTTGTCCAACTACGATCTATAAATACAGCAATATAAAATGGTGACTTGTTAATTACGATCACAAGTCGAGCAAAACTGTAATGATGTTGACAGTCTCACCCTTAGAACAGATGTACTTGGTCCAGGTCTTCTCTCTTAGGAATCCATCAGCCTCAACCTTGATGGGCTTGATCAGAGCGTCACTGTGGGAGGACAAACATCTAGGAGTACAGAATATGGTTTTTTTAATGTATTACTAGGCTTCATTAACTAAGGTCTTTAAGCGTGTTTTCTAGATACACAAATACACTAGTCATCAACAATAAGAAGTTAAGAGAACACTAGTTACATGTTAGCAGACTAGTTAAGATGACTGGCCCAGGACACAGACAGGGGGGTTACTACACTAAACAGTCATATACCTGTAGATTATTAAAACAATAAGCTATACCGAGTATCACACCTCGTAAAGCAAAGCATGACCATTTATTTAGTTGCAACAGTAATGCTATAAATTCCAGACTTGATTTATGGACTGACTGAATGAGGAAATTTTGTGATCAGTAAGGTCTTGAGAACATTGAAATATATAGTGTACACAAATGGACGCTCATCATGTGTGGTGCCTAGTTGAAAAAATTGTATAAGCATATTTTCGAAATTTTTTACTGATCATCAACAACAGAAACGTGATGCTTATAAAATGAATTACAATGATATTATAAAAACTACTTAAACAGGAAAATGAGAATGAGTAAACAGAGACTAGAAGAAACCACAAAAGAATGGTAAAAAAATGTAAAATTAAAAAAAAAATCAGATGACGGTAACTAAGTGTGTGAGGAGAACAAGAAGCTTATTTCACCATGAAGATTAAGTTAGATTAGAATTAGGTTAACTTTAAGGAGGTCAATCTTAAAGTGCAATAAGCTAACATGCCTAATCTTCACGTAATCTTTATTTGTTCCTGATTATGACCATCCAAAATTTTAGTAAGGCTAAAGGCTTAATAATACTGACAATAACAACAACAATAATAACCTTCTGTGGATGGAGGTGTCGCCTGACCCACATGGCTCAGGGTACTGGTAGTCCACGAACGCCGACACCGTAATGTTGACTTCACCGATCACCAGTGGCTTGATCTTGACTGTGTGGACAACCTTGTCTTGTGCTGGTAGACATGAGCTACGCCGTCCACGGTCTCCTTGCGTCCCTGACCCCTCCATTAACTCGTATTCTGGACTCGTCTCCACCCTAACACTTACCTAGGCGCAGAAAAGAAAGTTAAAAATGATAATGCAGATACAACGATAGAAAGGTGATTTCAAAGTTATAAACCTTATACCTTTATTTAACAGCGCTGGGAAAAGACGCGTGAACGATGTACTGGTTACTTTTATTTCTCTTGGGACGAAGATCGAGATTTCATATAATTCAATTTATTAGATATAAAATCAATAAAAAGGTATAATGTGTGAAAACAGGTAATTTTAGTAATTACTGAACACTTACAGGTACTGGCTGGTCTGGTTAGTAATTACTGAACACTTACAGGTACTGGCTGGTCTGGTTAGTAATTACTGAACACTTACAGGTACTGGCTGGTCTGATCTGGTTAGTAATTACTGAACACTTACAGGTACTGGCTGGTCTGGTTAGTAATTACTGAACACTTACAGGTACTGGCTGGTCTGGTTAGTAATTACTGAACACTTACAGGTATTGGTCGGTCTAGGTAGTTGAAGATGGACATCTTGACGGGGAGTATCTCGCCACGCTTGACAGTGGGGGGAAGGGTGAGGTCGACGAAGAAGGGGGTGAAGGTAGTGATGGACTCCCTCTCAGACAGTGCCACGCCCTTCTCTGGGTGGGCACACACGGCCTTGCCCACCCACTGTGTGATGGTGTCAGGCAGTGTCAGGTCCTGGATGTTCACCCCAGACGATCTGTGTACAGCATACACTGATATAACTAACTGTACCCATCTAGTAATACAGGAAACGTCACTTGGGTACAACACTCAATAACACTTCACTCATAACTTTAAATATGAAATCATCAAATATTAATATTTCAAATACTCTACAGACTTTGTTTACATACTGTCGAGACAAACTCTTCACTAAAGGATTCACAGCACAGTAATTACAATTTTCAAGGATATTGTCAGTATTATCTTGATAGTTATACACCAAAATATGGCTGTTTTCTTCACTAACACCTTCCATCGTCTTCAGGCGCTACATTTACTGGGTAAGTTTGTTAACGAGAGGTTCTAAGCCGCACAATATGTTAAGACAAAACTTACGGAAGGACGACAATGTCCCACAGCCACGTCTCAGGGAATTCGGTCCTGGGAGCCTCTACTGATTCTATGACCGTCTCACCCATGTCCTCCCCGTCGTAAGGGGAGTCGTAAACTAGGCTGGGGCTGCTCACAGGTCGGCGCGGCATGCCTGGTGGGGCTGCCAGGGACGGCATGTTGTAGACCGCCACTCTATTTGTCGAATGAGTGTACGAGTGGACCACTGCATATAAGGAACACATTTTTTTTTATACAACCATATGCAGTAGTAGTTACTATACTAACACGTGCACACACATAGACATACACACATACCCAATGGCATGGCACACGTACAAAATACACTCGGAGATAATCTCACAGACACACATGCATGCTCATAGTTAATCTGCATGTCATTCAAGTAAACCACTCCATGCAACTTTTATCATCTCTGTTTATTGTATATTTTCAGCCTTTTAACCACCACGTTCTTTAAATAAACTGTCAATGGTACTACAAAATTATCTTACACACATTATATATACTGTATATATATATATATATATACTCTATGTATGTATGTCCACAGTATTGAAGATAAGTTCAATTTGGAAGGGAAGTGGAGTGGCCACTAAGGGATGGGTGGCTGGTCGTGAACTCTCCCGAGCCAACCCATGAGGTAACTGACCGAGCTATATATACAGTATATAAATACATATCAGCTGTTACCGAAAAACACACTGAGTGGAAGGCTGGGGATTTTAAGCTGTGCATGAGCATTCGTCTTAAGTTACCCTAAGTTATCAGTTATTTCTCATTACGCCTCATTATACATCTGACTCATTATACCTAACTTATCAGACTCACATCACAGGAGCACTAAGACAGGTGGTAGAGTACTGGGTGCCTTCACTGGCCACAAGTGACTCGATACCCTGTACTGTCACATGTTATATAGTATGATGTCTGTAAATTAATTATACCTTTTAACTAAGCAATTGACCACATGAAGATTAGAAACCTATACACATTTCACCTGAAGATTGACCATCCTAATGCTACCCAGGAGGATTAGTTTACGTTGCATTAGTTTAGATTTGCTAAGTTACATTACCTTTAGGGTAGTTAATCTTCAGGTGAAATACACTGAGATATCTAATCTTCAGGTGATCCTAAAACAACCTTGAACATTTAGACAAGAATGAGAGACTAAATGGCTTCGTATTAATCAAATAAATATACGAAATACAATAGAATAAAATTACGTCTTCCAGAGCAGGGCCTCGTCTCCACTGTCAGGTCGGTGAAAACGTATAAACCAGATTTCTGAAAAGAGTAAATAGAAGAATTAAATCGTTAAACACAGCAATATATAAAAACCATAAAAGTTATATTGAATCACTTGCCAGAATAAAAATACTGTACTAGGCTAATTGTGATACTGGAAAGGGGTGGGATGGGTTAGGTTAGGTTAGGGTGTTCAATAATCTAGTGAAATAATACACTCTGACTGGGGTGCTTAATCCTAAAGTGGCCGGTACAAGAGTTAAGGGGAGGTGATTTAAATAAGAAAAAATCGAAATATAAGGCATGTTAATTATAACAGAGGAAAGATTCAAACATATGAATAATGAGAGAATGAAGTACTAATAATAATAAATAAAGCCAACAGCAAGAAGCAGGTGGAAAATGGACCTAGTAATGATAATAACAATAAGAATTATATGTTGCCGTGGTATTAAAATATTTTCAACACTCTCTCCTACTGGGCTAACAATCATCTTATTCTATCTCAAACTACGACAGTACGTGGTATATACTCAGAGGCAAACATAAATAAATTATGTCTACGTACAGATATTCAGTAACATTGACCCATTGACTTCGTAGAACCAATGTTTGTGACTGATGCGCAAGAGAACATAAGTCTTTTAAAAACTATTATTATGATTATTATTTGTTCTTTCAATTACGACTGAGGATCTGTACTAGAGATGTACCCAAACACATTAGGAAGTTACTAATAATGATTTTATCAAAACCAATTATATTATACAATTATCATGTTTTTGTTCTAGTTTTGCTTTATACAGACCATTAATTACCACTAATGTATTCAATTTAAGTTATAGATGAATTATCTATAAGACTATACTCACGTCAAACATCGCCAGAGCGTCAACGTAGTCGCTGTAGTAGTTGGGGTGTATTGGAAGTGGTGGTGGAATGACATGCTCTGCGGGAAAAATTTATATATATATAGTACTGTACAGTATATATCAGGCTGTGCAGATTATGTGGAACGGATCATATGAAGATCCTCCCCCCCAAACCTACTTGGGGGGGAGGATCTTCATATGATCAAGCCTGGATGGGAGGATCTGACCTGACCAATGACCAAACCTGACCTTACCTGACCTGACGTCACTATGACCACATTTGTGTTGGTATATATATATAGTCAGATTTTGCCCATGTACTCAATAGGTTAGGTTAGGTTAGGTTAGGTTAGGTTAGGTTAGGTGGATCTTCATATGAGCGCGACTGGGGGTGGGTGGATCTTCAGTTGGATACTTTGGGGAAGATGTTCATATGATCTAGCCTGGGGGGAGGATCTTCAGTTGGATACTTTGGGGGAAGATGTTCATATGATCTAGCCTGGGGAGGATCTTCAGTTGGATACTTTGGGGGAAGATCTTCATATGATCCATTTTTTTATAAAATTTACCTGCTCGGATGTCATTGTGGGAGAAGTTACGTAAACATCTTAAAACAGTTAAATTTATTGTATGTATCAACTCAGATCACTTACCTAGCTGGTGTTAGTGGCGATCACCCTTGTCATGTGATGTCACCACTTTTGTCATCTCGCCTCACACCTGTAGGGTGTGATCACCTACCTTAACTAGCACTCCACCCCCACAACTTGTGTTTCAGTAGCTTGTCATGTGAGATCATAACTCTGTCACCTCACCTCAGTTTGGTGGTTCTTTTAAAATGTTGACAACTTGACACCGGCTGACTGGAACCGGGTTGATGGCTTCATGTAAAGACTATACAGGTTCGACAGATATATGAGCGATGTGTGTTGGGTGTAAATGGAGCCGCATATAGTATGGGCCAATAGGCAAGCTGCAGTTTCTTTCATTCTTATGTTCTTATATCAAATTACCTTACCTGGGTCACCTCAATTTTAGTACAGTATTCCTAAGTAGTTGGTTTTAACGAATGGTAACCCAAAATTAAATTCCGGGTAATATTTCAAACCTAACCTAACCCATCTTAAAACACAGAGTCTATATGGGTAGTATACGGTGGCAGGTCAGGTGAGATGGTAGTGAATGGCGTCTCTCATTTCTGACTACACCATCAACCTCCGTCACTTGGCAGTCTTCAAGATGTTTCCGTCCTTTTTAACGTAATGGAATAGATGTTTTCTTAGCGTCAAGACAGAAAACAGACCTACACACCAAGAATATACTGTACAGTAGTCTGAGGTGGAATCGAAACCTAAATTCCCTTATGAAGAAAGATTAAGACTTGTATAATTCTCTGTCTATCAATAAACAATGGCAACTGACCCACGCGGGAGCAGTCCGTGACGTGTACTCAATAATATACACACAAGTACGTCTTCTGGAAATTTGCTAAAGATTGGCTTATATTGAAGTCCAGTTCCAGTCAGAAATGAGGTCGTAGAGTTATTACATTCCTCATTGTAACTTAATAAACAACTTGAGATACTAGAAAAAAATTAAGGTCACATAGAGTCATATGATTTCATTTGTCTTGACTGACTCGTGTGTGTTGATGTCAAGAGAAGCTTAACTCACCTCCCGTTGCCATTCGAGCCATCTTTTCTTCATGCTCTCTGTTTTTCTTATTTATGCAGTAATTGAAGGTGTCGATCTGGGAGTTAATCCAACTGGAAATGTCGAATTCTTTGGCAAACTCAAACAGCTTATCCAGTGTAGCGGGTTCAGGGTCAGAGGCCAACAGCTCGGTGCTCCTGTCTACCACCCCTACGTTAGGTCAAACAAGAAATTAACATTACATTGTGTACAGAAATGAGATAATACTATGAAGTGTGTGGTTCCTAAGGAGTTAACTTGGTCAATAATTTCGTAAGTGTGGAGAGTGAGTGATACATACCGAGGCTACACACGGAGTTTGGTTCTGACGAGAGAGTCAAAGTGGTCTGTTGTCCAGGTTGTGCCTGAGACTCTGACCAGGTGAGACTGGCGCTGCTACCAAGACACTTCTCCACCTCCAGCTCTCTGGTGTCTGCCACCACCTCCCCGTCCTCACGAGTGTACCACACCAACACCTGCAACACATTGTCTTACTACACTCGAGTCTCCCAGGTGTACCACACCAACACCTGCAACACATTAACACAATCTCAATATAAGCTTCAACACACGATATGAGCAGGAACAGTTAACTAGACGAACCAGTGAGTGTGAGACGCTGCAGGAGACACGTAGTACAGTAATAATTATTATTAAAGCAAAGGTAAAAACTATAGCTAGAAAATATAAAAACACCAAAGGAAAGGCTGGAGGAAATGATGAGAGAAGATGTAAAAGAAAAGAAGTATTACCGAGAGGGATTACAGCAGGCGTGTGTGTCAGCCCTGGAAAAAGCCCACAAAGAATGAAAGCTGGAATGTAATGTGGAAAGAAGTGAAAAGGAAATACGAATAATATTTTGAGAAACTGGTGAATGTATCGGATGGATGAGAGAGAGAGAGAGGTGAAAGCATGTATAAGAACCCTTCAGGCGGGTGTTAAATCACAAGAACGATGTTAAAAGTGGAAGAAGAAAGATTGATACTTAGATTTAAAAGATGAATGAATCCAGACCAACTTCTCCGTACCTGCCGCGGGAGTGTTTATTTGCAAGAGTTAACACATCTCGCTACGTATAATGATTCACTATCAAATAACTAATAAAATAAGGCATATTATCATGTTGTCATAGTTACGTTGTTAGAGTTATAGTGCTGATGAAAACTATAAAAATGGGGTTAGTTTGTTTACATGTTTTAAAGTATTTGGTGTAGCGTAACGCGACGTTCTTACCAACCTTGGCACTGGGAGAGGCTGTCGGGGGAAGGTTGATGTTGATGTTGACGACTCCCCTGACGGTGCCCTCAATAGGAGGAGGCAGAGGCTCCACCAGGTGCTCTACGCTGATGGGCAGGTCTCCGCCAATCAGCTGATACTCCTGGCTACTCCAGTGTTGAGTTAACCCGCGTGACACGATCTGGGAAAATATGGTTACGTCAGGCTTCTGTTAAAAGGTTTTAGATTTAATAGACCAAAAAATGCACCCTCGTATCTCAAGCTAATTTTCTTCTTTCATATTTTTTTAGGATTCCGGAATGGCCATCTCAAGGTTTCTAACAGGATTATTTGTATGTGATTTAAGTGAAGAATTGAAACATGTACTTTGCTGTGACTCTTGTGGTCCCAGGAGATCTTGTTCGGTTATATCACGTAACAAGACTCAATCAAAATAATCTTACCTCAATCTCAAGTGTGGTATTCTTCATTTCAACGCACACCCGCAAACACTCGACCGCATACATTGTAAGACCGTCTCCTTTTCTCCCTGGACAGTGAATAATATGCATTCACTTACCTGTACAGTGAAGACCGCCGAGTCTTGGTTCCTGGCAGAGAAGAGCACAGGTAGGGCGTGTTGCTGAGTTTGTCCAGACACACACTTCAGTTTACCCTCGGGGGCGTGGATCACCAGGGAGGAGTTGGAGGGGGAGTAATAGTGCTCCAGATCTTTAGAGTACTCAGACTGACGCATGCGAGCCCGGCAGTTGAGGGTCTTCATCTGTGAGAATATCAAAGGAAGATATTAATGTCTTATGTACTGTTCTCTTTGTGTTGTAAGTCTGTGCAAGGCTACTAACACTGTGCGAGGCTACTAACACTGTGCGAGGCTACTAACACTGTGCGAGGCTACGAACACTGTACGAGGCTACTAACACTGTGCGAGGCTACTAACACTGTACGAGGCTACTAACACTGTACGAGGCTACTAACACTGTGCAAGGCTACTTACACTGTACGAGGCTACTAACACTGTGCGACTGTGTGCAAGCTACTAACACTGTGCAAGGCTACTAACACTGTGCGAGGCTACTAACACTGTGCGAGGCTACTAACACTGTGCGAGGCTACGAACACTGTACGAGGCTACTAACACTGTGCGAGGCTACTAACACTGTACGAGGCTACTAACACTGTACGAGGCTACTAACACTGTGCAAGGCTACTTACACTGTACGAGGCTACTAACACTGTGCGAGGCTACTAACACTGTGCAAGCCTATCAGCACAGGAGGCCAACACTCTCCCTACACGACAAGACGTAGCAACATTTTTCATGAGGAAATTGTTCTGTAATTGTTACTTATTGTAGTTTAAAAATCTGCCGTTTAGGTACTCATACGCTGCTCAAACTGCCCGACTTAATGTTAGCCTCTAGGTATAATAAGTACGAGTAGTCATCAACCTGGGCTGTCGTGTGCCGTTTTAGATAGTCTTAAAATTGAGTCATGTCGAATTATTTTTTTACTGAGGTCGAAATCAATAGCTATCAAGAGTCTATGTGATATTCAGTCTTAAGAAGAGAAAAAAATATTAAACTCAGGTACCTAATCTTCCTTCAGAATAAAGTTGGTGAGTTTCTCTAAGGTAATTTTAACAAAACAGTCAGGCTATTAGGTTGTTAACACCATCTGAGAAGTTTGCTGTGGTTGTTGTAAAATTTCAGAACTGAGAAAAAGGAAAAGATGATTCAAACAGATTCTCAAGCAACACAAAGGAAATATTAGTCCACATAAGACAAAATGATGTGCAAGTTTATATGGAGTCATGAAATGATACCGAGTGACACATATTTGTTAACAAGACATGCCTTGGATAATCAGTCTTGAGGTTAATACTTACAAAAACTCTGTTGGTCTTGTACGATGGTAAGACTGTAGTGAAGAGACCGTCAGGAGCTGTGGTCATGTTGGTACACCGACCAGCTGCACACACTTCCATAGGGACACCAACTGCGGGAGAACCATCTGGCAGTTCTGCTCTCAGCTGTACGAAGGAGCAAAGGTCTCAAAAAAAAGTATAACATGTTAACGTTCAATCATTATCTATAGACTGGATGTGATATGCAAATTAACACAACTTCTGATACTGGTAGGTGCAGATAGTTACAAGGGTTGTGATTTTGAGCGGTAATTTGGGTCGCTGTGAATGATAGTGGTGTCAGCATATTTTTTTTTTACTTCTTATGTCTAGTATATAAACTAACTTAGGTGTTCCATCTTCATTTGTCATGACTTAGTAACCCTTATCATTATCTTCCGTAATGTGGTATATATGTAACAAAACTATCTTCACTTTTCATGATTTATCACTCACACTTTTATCTTAGTAACTTCATCAACAAACCTTAAGAGTAAAAGGAAGATTTGGCTTCACGTATTGATCTTCGTAAAGAGTTTTGAAGGATACGGCAGTACGTGTGATGGTAACCCGACTAAATGACTTCATCTCGATGCCAGTACCTTCCTCAGTGACCTTCGCGTCCGCCACCACACTGTACACATTGCAGTCAATGATGTTCATATCTTCGTTCGTTATTTCCACTTCCTTGCACCCTGAGATCTACAGAAACGTACAGAAGAGTTAACAGAGTGTACACGTTACCAAAACAAAATGGATCACTTGAAGACCAGACACTCTAGCTTATTTCGACTAAAATTTAACCACCCTTACGCTGGAATGTCTAATCTACAAGTGGTCCTAAGTCCAAACAAAGTTCCGTGGAAAATTTGTCTAATTCATGAGTTTCCTCAGACATGGATATTAATTCCATTATTAATCCAAGTCTATTCATGACAAGATTTATTTCTTAAAGACCAAAATTATCGTAAAATTCGACAAAAACTGAAATATGAATTTAAAACGGACATAAACGGGTTAGTAAAATAGTAAATATCTCTTTGCATGTAATATTGTTTGATATGTAGATTAGATAGTCAATTTGTGTTTTGTTTTTAAGTATAAGAAGTAATTTGGTTTGTCTTTATTATACGTGAGGCTGGGTTGTGTTAGGATGGGTTGCCTTAGCTTAAGTTCAGTTAGGTTAAGCTGAGTTAAATTAATAAGGTACTCACGGTAACGTTCCGAATAACCTCAGCTTTGCACTTCTCCCTCTCGCCATTAGTGAAAGTCACCTGTAAGTTGCCTTTGACTGGCTGCCCGTAAACATAGCTGTCGGAAATGGATAAGACAGAATTTAAGCTTTATTTCAGAGTGCAGTATGTATGTATACTGTGTACCAGCAGTGTGTGTGTGTATTAAATCAATGTATACTTGTATGTTGATTTTCCTGAATAAGTATGTATTTATCTGTATACAGGTATACACACCGAGCGTACACAATCACCCATACATAGGATACCATACACAACATGAATACAATCGCATACACATATAAATATACTACATGTTTATGCTCGATATATCGGAAAAAGTGAGTCCCGTTAGACAGTCCGGATACAACACACTATACTGACGCTCTTATTTTTTTTATTCATGAAACTTGTCTCTTCGTTAAACCTAAACAGACTATTTCTCACCCAACTTATTAAATTTGGCTTTTCACTTTTATATCCAAACCTCTCCGGTCTGCACCCACGAGACAAACATACTATTGGTTGCTCACTTGGCACACACGGTAAAGGTGAACCGATCGTCTGTAGCCAGTATATAGCTCGGCTTCTTGATGGTCACCTCAAAACGTGGCAACACAAACTCATCCACCTTGAATTCCCGTCGTATTGTTTTACCGCCCGTTGTCTTCACCTGGATGCGATACATACCCTGAAACAGAGGAGAAAATTACTCTAGTTAATTGGTGATTAATGATAATTTAACAAACTTCAATCGCTTATGTATTAATTATGTGGTACGCGTGTTTACATAGCCTTATTAGAACATTTATGACATGAGGAATTGGAACCCCTAATCTTCAGGTAATCCGATCTTTTGAATGGTCCACAATCTAAACATTGCAAAGTTTGTTTGGGGGTTAATAAATGCATCATGACGTTGTTGTACAGGTCACGCATTTTTGCTAAATTATAAACACCAGAGAGTATTATAAAAAAAAAAGACCACCAGCCTTAAAACCCTTCAATCTTTACCCCCTCCCACACACCCCTCAAAATACCTCCTCACCATCTCGGGTTCGTCGGCCAGATCGAAGTCAAGGTGGACCAACCCAGCGGTGTTGTCCACGTTCTTCCACTGGGCGATGCGGGTCCGGGAGGGCGTTCTGACCCAGACTTCTCGGTACTGTCAGGAGAGCGGTGCAGAACTCATTGGGTTAGAATATTGTGTGTAAGAATTCTTCGACATAAAGAGTTCAAATACCACGTTTTTTTTTTATTCTTTTATGTATAGCTGTCAAGGCGAGGATATTAAGATTTATATATTTTTTTATTTTCACTTTTAGGTCAAATCTTCACTCTCACTCTTATTCATTCCACTCAATCATTCACTCCAATAGCTCATTCACTCCATTCATCCATTCACCCCACTCACTCCCGTACTCTTTCACTAGCACACTCACTCCAACCACTCACTCACTCACTGCTCATATCTTACAGGGTCAGAGGAGACACGCAGGTAAGGTCCATCTACGGTCATGATCCTGAACTTGACATTTTGACCAGGTTTATACAGGTATTTGTCTGTGTGGATGATGGTGAGCTTGTCAGTACTCTTCAACCTCATTTCCTCGGTGCGGTTGATCTTGACCCCTGCCACTGTGCCAAATACGTGGAGCTGACAGCGGTAATAGTCCGTATTGGGCACTGGCACCTCGTACGAACATGATTCTGTCTTTCCTGTGAATAAAAAGTGATATATCAAATTAAATCTCTATAGTGATAATGCATAACGTGTACGACCCTGCCTATCCTACAAATAAAAATTAAACATTCAATTAAATGTCTATAGTGATGATATTTAATAGACGGAGCGAGATAATAGTTGTTCAATATCATTCAATTAGTACTGGAAGGTGAACGATCTCACCCACAGAAGCAGGAGGCCCCCCCAGGAAGGTAGACTAACCCACCTGCCGGGATCTGAATGGTGGTGTTTGGAATGATGGTGACATTCTGTTCCTCCTTCTGCATGTGCCAATCTCGGGTGGTGAGGGCGATAGTGAGTCTACCTGCCGGAGCTGAAGGGTCACTCACGTACACACACACCTGGGCAGGAGATCCGGCTACCCACATACGCGGCGTAGTGATGATGTAGCTCCTGTAGGTGGTGCTGGTTAGTTAGTTACCTGGCCACCGAGGTTTTGATTTTTTTTAATGGCGCTGGGTCATACCAAGGATTCTAATACTATATATATAGTATTAAAATCCTTAGCGAGTCTTTTCCTTGTCAACATAAACACACTGGATTAGAGATGGTCCATGATTCGACGTCACAGCTTACCAATATCTCGTTGAAATTCAGTTTTCTAGGTTTCATATCAGATAGCGTCAAGAATTCTCTTCCAGTCAGTTTGTTCAACGTTAATAATTTAAATATGCCACCGAGAATTTTATTAAATAGTAATTAATTTAATGTACCAATAGTAGATAAAACTGCTTGAGTAAGAGGTCCCAAGCTTACAAATATTAAGAATACTAAATGTTACGAGTAGATCTTTATTTATCCGACTTAATTATATAAGAGACTTTATGAAATTATTTGACGAGTAATTTTATTATTTTTCAGGCGTACGTAATAGCTATAAGAACTAATTTATCAAGCATAAATAATATTAGACCATTAATCAATACATTTCACTTACAATATATTCATGTTAAGTTAATAAATAACTATACACTAGCCATCAACAATAAAAATAGGAGTGAAAGATCTCGCTGATTCCCTACGTGGATTCTCTCTCCAGTGAATTAAACAAAGGCCTATTTATATAACTACAAAATAAAAAAATTATGCACCGACATACGACTGAAATTAGTTGTCTAAAATTAATTTAAATATTAAAAAACATTATGCTTTAGGTTTATAACATACCTGTACACTACAGTATATCCACATTTATATTTGTGTATATTATTCAGACTCCAGACGATGGTCTTACAGATCTCTCAAATAAAATGTATACTGTATATTTACTGTACCCCAAGACTCCCGAGCATTCTTATTTACAACGACCATTCCAACAGTTACATAAAATAAAATGATAATGCCATAATGACGTACTTACCCACAACCTAAGGTCGAGATGAGGGCCAGAACACATGCCAGGAGACACAAGGAGCCCGGGGCCGCCATAGCAACAGATGGAGACGTCCTCGCTGTGTGTCGGCGGCTGAGGGAGTGAGGATGGTGCTAGCCGGGCAGCACATCCTCACGTCCGGTTCCTCCCCTTCCTCCAGTTCCCCCTTCACGGTGCCTCACTGCTGTGCTCAGTAGATGGGTAGCAACAGTGACAGGGACTTTTGGATACACATATACCTGGATGAACCGATTTTTTTGTGTGTGCAACATTAAACTAGTTTCACAAATTAAAGCCCATGCAAATAACATATGCATGCTTTTTTTTTCTTGTCAAATCATTCCTAAACACACGCACTTATCTCGTGAATTAACGCACAAGAACAGCCTCCCGGATTTTATTGAGGGTCTTGTTACCTACTGTGAAAAAGGAGACCTCGCTGATCGTACGTCACACACCTTTACATAATATCGTAATAATAATTTTTCTGATCTTACCGGACAGCCTGAGCTGTTGAGTTACAACGGACTTCGTTATCATGCTGGTATAGATCATTTTCATAACACTTCCTCCCTTCGAAATGCAGTCGGTTTGTGATCGGCTCACCCTAGTTGTATTTCTCTCAAATGAGACCTTGGACCATGGCTGTTATCTCCCTACTCTTGTCCTATACATCAGATATTGGAAAGTGCTTTCATTCGAACTTTAATGCTGAAAAATATGATTTAATATTGCTTAAGTTTACGAGTGTTTTAAACGTTGGTTGAACTTCTATACCAAGTAATTTCTATCTCCACGGAATTCTATATTAATATTTGTCAAACAGTGTTCAGAGATCAACGGGAACACCATTTCGACAAGAATTTAAACTACGAATTTCTTCAAAGCCAAAATTAGCCATAATAATTGAAACCACTCAACCACATGAAACCATCGAAGAAACCCTTTAACTTTAAGGTTAACACTACTACTTATACTGCTGCTACTACTACTACTACTACTACTACTACTACTACTACTACTACTTCATCTTCTACTGCATTTTATTCTACTACTCGTTTATCTTCTACTTCGTCTTCATGTATCCCTTTTGGAATGGGGTTTCTCACGGGCAGATCCAAGAATATCAAAAGGGGGAACGGTGAGGGGGTCCAAACAGTTGTGGGTGGGAAGAACAGGAGCACAGCGGGACAACTCGGGTAGTGGTGCTACAAGCCCCATCCCGGATAATTTTTTAAATCTGACCAATATCCTGGGCATTTTGAGGCCATTTTGAAGTCATGTGCACTTGATATTAAGAGATATTCTGAAATCAATACTAAGTATTTTTTACTGTATAAAAACGCCTGAGTGGTAGTTGTGATTAGGATAGTTGTGGTAGCGATGAGGATCGTGGTTGTGGTGGTGATGAGGATAGTGGTTGTGATGAGGATAGTTGTTGTGGTAGTAGTAGTGATGAGGACAGTTGTGGTAGTGATGAGAATCGTGGTTGTGGTAGTGATGAGGATAGTGGTTGTTGTGGTGATGAGGATAGTAGTTGTGGTAGTGACGAGAATCGTGGTGGTTGTGGTGGTAGTAGTAGTGATGAGAATCGTGGTTGTGGTGGTAGTAGTGATAAGGATCGTGGTTGTGGTGGTAGTAGTAGTGAAGAGAATCGTGGTTGTGGTGGTAGTAGTAATGAGAATCGTGGTTGTGGTGGTAGTAATAAGGATCGTGGTTGTGGTGGTAGTAGTGATGAGAATCGTAGTTGTGGTGGTGGTAGTAGTAGTAGTAGTAGTAGTGATGAGAATCGTGGTTGTGGTGGTAGTAGTGATGAGGATAGTGGTTGCGGCGAGAAGTGGCGGGCGTGATATCTTGTGTAAGGGGAGTGAATCGTCAGTGTGGTCGCACTCTTCTTGTCGGACTTGCCCTTGAACGTACTTGACCTTATAACGATATTTCTGACATTCATACATAGCAACACACACACACACACACACACACACACACACACACACACACACACACAAAGTTAAACTCTCACAAGTACATTTAATTCCACCCAAACCTTAAAATATGACCACGATGAATATACACGTTCTCTGTTCGATACTGTCAGTTGTAAAGACCGATTAATCATTTATAATCCTAACTATCCACATAATTGCCTTAACTGGTATATCATTAATAAGTTTTAATTCAATAACTATAATAAAACAAGAATCAGGGATGACATTTTATTAACAGATCGAGAGAATACACAGGATTCATTAAGCCACTGTACCGCCCTCATACCAACACAAATGCTTGATGAAATGCCCTCTGTCCGTCCTCTCAAATTTTAAGCATTACAACTGTGGTATAAAATTTAACAAAAACTATAAATTTACCGTTTAACAAAATATAAAAAAAATGCTGAAACACTCCCCTCACAATATGATCACTACTTCATGATCATATAACCATTAAATGCAGTTACAGTATTTGATTTTATCTTCTTTTGATCGTCTTGGTTAAAAGTAAAATACCTTGTAAAACAGATAGATTATTAAAAAATGAAATAAAATAAAAGAGTAATTGGACTTGTATCTTTGCTTTATGGCCATTCTCTACACTTGTAGGAGTTGGCCATAATCCTGACAGTACCTCAAACTCCTGCACCTCTTGACCCATCTTGTGTTCTCTACATGCCCGAGCCATCTTAATCAACCTTTATGCAAAACCTCGCCAATACTGTACCCTCAATGCCCAGCTGCCCTCTTAGCTCTTATAAACCCAAAGCTAAGCTTTATATAACCTTCATAGTAAAATCAATGTGCACTTTTACTATCGAGTTTCTAAGATAATACAATACTCATTTAGATTTAACTGAAACTCACAATTCATCATTCTCACGTGTACTTTATCAACAGGTTGTAGATGGATATTCATACTAAAGTGAGAACAACTTCATAAGAGTCAGCTAACCCCAACACAAATTTGTATTTAATATATATCTTTAGTTCTGGCACAACATCCGATGTCATGCTGTACGTCAACAGACTATACTCAAATGTTATAAAACCATGTGTTCCTATTTATCAGTATCTGAGAAGTAATGCATTTGTTACTAAAACACACCGCTAATGGTGGTAGTTAACAAATTATTCTAATGGTCTGCCAAAGAGTGATGTTCCTAATCTATTCTTTAATTTCCCGTAGCGACTCGGCACACTGATACACTGGTCCAACAAAGTGGTAATCGCCGACTAACGCAAGAAAAACAATCATCGGGGAAACGTGAAGCACAGATCACCATAACAAAAGTGATGAACTGACACCAAGTATAGTGATGTTTAAGGAAAGTTGCCAGAAAACACAAGAACAAAGACAATTTCGTTTTGTTATTTCACTGCGCTTCATTGGCTAAGGTCCTTAACACTACACTAAGCCCTGGTTTACACACAAAGAAAAAAAAAGTTGATAATTCTCTCTGATAGGGGGAAGACATCACAAGAAAACATGAAGCAGAGATCTGTATTTTTCTGAAGTAGGAGTTTTTTTTTCTTCTTTTTTTTTACACATCAGCTGTTGAGACCAGCATCATTCACCGACCCTAGAAGCAACTGGCAATACAAGGCATCTGGAGTGAGCCATCTAGCGGCACTCGGTTGGAGGTGGCAATGTGTAGCTCTGTAGTTGGGAGAGAACATTCCACTATTAGCATCATACTTATATAAAGTTCCATATGTTACATTTTTTTTTATTAATTTCCGAATAAAGTTGTATTAACACATACATCAATCCTCCAATTCAACAATGTTAATGCTGCCTACAATGTAAGCAAACAGATTATCACGTAACTCAAGAGAAGAATGTAATGTTAAAAGATTCCATTGTATCATCGCCCGGTCAACTATTTAAGTCTGGTATCAATTTATATTCTGAAGTTCTCTAGGATCTCTATTCTGAAGTTCTCTAGGATCTCTATTCTGAAGTTCTCTAGGATCTCTATTCTGAAGTTCTCTAGGATCTCATTTTAACAGATAGTAAATTGTCATACGAGATTAACATATTGGCAAATCTTAAATGAACTACAAAACGGACTTTCCATGGAAGTTCGTCTTTACAATGTAGAAATAAAAGTGAATTAATTGTTTGGATTCTCGTCAATTTCTGGTAGATTGTGTTGTTATTCCTACACCTCTGCAGTGAACAAACACAGATTTTGAAGCACCTCGATTTCTTCAAAATTCATATCACATTTTCTACGGAGGTTCTTGAACTTAAGGAGTATAATGGACAAAAATGCAAAGGTACCGTTCACTGGTCACTTCATTCACTTGTATGATTACAGCAATAACACCTCACCAAACTGCTGTTCTTTACCATAAGACTTTTCATTAGTTTGTTTTCAAGAAGGTAATAATGCGTAATGACTTCCAATTATAAATACTTTTAGTTTAATTTTGTTATACATTGCGACAAAAGCACATTAAACTTACCTTGGAAAACTCGTACTCAGGCTGGTAGTAGTCGTAAACACGCACTGTGCCAGGCTTCACATCTTCCACGTCAACCACTCGTATCACACGGAAGTTTGCACAGGTGTCTTGTGCAGTTAACTCTTCGATGTAGAAGGAGACTTTGCTGCCATCCACCTCATAGCGTTTTATGTTGGGGTCATATCTCACAGCATTCTTCAGGTCTTCTTTCTCGGGGATGTAACCAGAGACAAGATCAACCTCGATGACAGCCATGTTAGACTTGCCATCAGGGAGGCGATAAGCAGTGCATACCGTGATGCGTTTGGTGACGCACCTCTTATCCGGAGCTGTGTTGGTGTTGACAGTCATGTCGAAGGCTTTACTTGCCTCAGGCTCAGGAACATTATATCGAAGAACAGCCTGCATGTAAGAGCTGTGTTAACTTCATGGCATTAAATATTTTTATTATGATTAGTGATGAGTAACATAACAGAAGACTCACAGGATTCTAAAAGCAAACTTTTTAATTGTTTCATCTGCACTATAATGATGTTCAATCTTACCTGCAGAACAGCACATCCTTGACCCGTTACAGTAACAGACACATTGGTAGGGAGTGTTGGCAGTGTTACCAGCTGCTGCAGGAGTTTATTGTCATCTGTGACAGTGAAGGGATGGGAGAGCCCAGTAGCTGTCACTGTTGCCACCACGTTCAAGGAACCCTGGTACAACTGGGACTCATACATGGCCAGAGCCTGGAGGGCCACCACTGTGTCCTGGACAAAGACAAGTCTTATGTAGTATTGTACTTCAGCAACCGAGGTCTTTAAACACACATAAATCACTTAAGAAAGTAATAGTTGCAATAATCATTACGATATAAGTGAAAGATCCTCACATGCACAAACTTTCTATATTATCGTTCACTCTCTCTGGCTGCAGTGTTGGTTGTTAGGTTAAATACATAACTACTCGCATCACATATTACTGTACTTTATAACCTTCTACTACCGCTTTAAGGTGTCTTCAGAATGCATCCTTAACCTCTAGTCCCTCACTTATCTATGCACCAATATATCCCTCATTCTTAACCCACACAATTTTTGTTTTGTTACACCAGCATCCTGGACCCACGCAAAGTTGCTATTAATACAACTAGTCCTTTCTAGAAAGTACAGACACTCCTTTCGTAAAATTAACATTCGCCTGCAACACTCCTGCTCCGTGTTCACCCTCAAGTCTCTCACACACACACACACACTTCAGTCTTCGGTTTCCAATATCATGCCTTTAATTTTCTCTTTGCATCATTAATTCATTAATATTTCAATATAATCGACTAAAAACCTTCCCTCTGGGGTGCCATACCTGTGTTGAGTAGAATCCACCTTGTCCGTTCCTCTGTGTGGTGAGCCATTTTACAATCTTCCTCGACTGTTCTTGGTACCTCTTTGGACTCCTTGTTAGCATGGCCAGGAGGACATACCCAGCTGTCTCCACTCCTATAGCATTACTTTTTCCTGGCATGGGAGAAGATAAATCTTGTGACCTTTGAAATGAATGTCTTTTGAGCAATAATCAGTGAACTAAATATTCAGAATAATGTAAAAAAAAAAGTAAGAGATATTAAAGAACAACCGTAGAGTAAAGGTATCTGCAATAACGTTACCAGAGACAATATAGTAAGACTTAACATTCAAATTTTCAACACAATGGATCAAAATTCTCTTCAAACCAGTAATAATAATTTCTCATGGTGTTACCTGGTCCTTCGGGCAGCTTCCAGTACAATGAGTTGGTGTTCACAAGAGCCTGGTCGAGCAGATCTTGGAGAACCGACTCGGCATGAGGCAACTGAGCCAGGGCCAGGGCATAGGCCTTCAGTGCCAGGGTGTAGGGGTCCCGTGAGGTGCCAGATCTTACACACTGGGCAGCTGGACAGTAGGATGGGTTACAGGACTCGTCATCAGACTCTAGCAGGGCGATCATCACATACGCCGTCAGCGGTACAGGCGACAGAATTCCCTCGATGCCTCCCTGTCAAGAAGATTGGTGGGATTACTTACTTTTATCTACATCACCTGAAGATTAGACCTAATTTATTTCACCTTGAGAACCACCCAAACAATATCCTAACATAGCCTGATCTAACCAAATTAGAACCCCAGGTAGTGTTAGGCTATTAGGCGGTTTAATAAACAGGTGAATTAAATTGGTGTATAGACTTTTTTTCAGAATCATAGTTGATGTGGTAATAGTAAAACAATGATACTGTAACATTAATAATACCGAGACAACATACATGCGTGTACCTTGGATAATTGTGTGATATTACTCGACACATTTCTAGTTTCCTGATTTTTTTGCAGGTCCCAGAAACTTTATTATACTTCAAGAGTATTCATGCACCCCCTTTCAGCAGACATTTTACTGCTGTGTGTAATGTCAATAGTTTATATCATAATAGTAATTAATAATGTATGTAAAATACCCATTAGTTTTTCTATCTACTGTATACCTATCCACATCAAACCCAAATTTCCTACAAATTAGAAAATATTTACTGTATCGTCGTATAGAACTTTTGCAGGCACCTTATTTTGTAGAGAAGTTTCTAATGCGCTGGCTTGTTTTGTCTACTTCTCTTGCTTTCCAGAAAGCTTGCCATTAAGCTCACCATTTCAATCATTCTACCGCAATAGTTCAATGTAAAGCTTGTTAATTACGCTTACCTTCAAGGCCTTGTTGAAGACTTTGCCAACAGATCTGAAGCAGCCATCTGGCGATTGTTTGGAAACGAGCCAATCCCTTGTTTTGTTCAGACCTTCCTTGTCAATCTGAAATCATAAGATATGATGAAATTAAAAAAAAAAAATCAAAATGCCCGAGCTCACTTGGAACATAAAAGTCAAGATATATAGATCATATACAAGTCCCGCATCCCATCCGTCTCTGTCATGATGTATCAAGTCTCCACATACTGTACGTAATGTGCAATTATAGTTTTACAGGAGGATTCACTCGCTGGTAGCCAGAGTTTTGCTAATATAACAATTATTTATGAACTGAATTCCACATTAGGGAACGTCCACTGTATCAAGTCCTCTTGAACGATTTTAATCGCCCTCAAGATTTTTGCAAAGCTTGTTTTAAAACACCCTTTCCCTAAATAGGCTACCAGCAAGAGGATTACCCTATGTATGAGAAAAGGAAAGATTGATTCATGTCCTGTGGAACGAATTCAATATAATAATGGATATAAATTAGTTAATTCTGAAATAAAATTTTTTTTACTAACCTGGATATAGTCTTGAGCTTGGGCGAAGGACTTCAGCACGAAGGCCGTCAACCAGGTGGAACCGGAGCTATCAACGTTCCCGAAGGCGCTGTATGATCCGTCACTGCGTCGGTACCGGAGTTGTCTTTGGTAACCTAGAAAGCAAACTTTACATTAAACTTTTACGCTAATACTCACACTACAGACTATCATAATACACTTCAGATATTCAACCACCTTCAGGAAATATATCACATTAGTTGTTTAAGTTGTCGAATTAAACCAGTGTTACCATCATAAAACTTCAAAACATAATTATAAAACGTCTGCATTATTTGTTTTCCTTCTATAGAGTTAGGATGTTTTGTGTACTCTTCAACATCATTTCCATTCTGGCATCGTGACTACGTTAATACTGTATACACTTAACTGACCTACTGAAACTTTTCAATCCCAGCTCATGTTATACACACTACTGTTGACGTTATCCTATCATGTTATATACTACCGTTGACCTTGACCTATCATGTTATATACTAACGTTGACCTTGACCTGTCATGTTATATACTACTGTTGACCTTGACCTATAATGTTATATACTACCGTTGACCTTGACCTATCATGTTATATACTACCGTTGACCTTGTCCTATCATGTTATATACTACCGTTGACCTTGACCTATCATGTTATATACTACCGTTGACCTTGACCTATCATGTTATATACTAACGTTGACCTTGACCTGTCATGTTATATACTACTGTTGACCTTGACCTATAATGTTATATACTACCGTTGACCTTGACCTATCATGTTATATACTACCGTTGACCTTGTCCTATCATGTTATATACTACCGTTGACCTTGACCTATCATGTTATATACTACCGTTGACCATGTTATATACTACGTTGACCTTGACCTGTCATGTTATATACTACCGTTGACCTACCTGTCATGTTGACCTTGACCTGTCATGTTATATACTACCGTTGACCTTGACCTGTCATGTTATATACTACCGTTGACCTTGACCTGTCATGTTATATACTACCGTTGACCTTGACCTGTCATGTTATATACTACCGTTGACCTTGACCTGTCATGTTATATACTACCGTTGACCTTGACCTATCATGTTATATACTACCGTTGACCTTGACCTGTCATGTTATATACTACCGTTGACCTTGACCTATCATGTTATATGCTACCGTTGACCTTGTCCTATCATGTTATATACTACCGTTGACCTTGACCTGTCATGTTATATACTACCGTTGACCTTGACCTATCATGGAGTCTGACTTTGTGAATATGTAGTACAGTATCTTCAGTGTACCTTTCTAATTTACCTCAACAGTTCAATTACTGTATATCGTAACTGTCAACACTACTTTCATGTATGTATGTATGTATGTATGTATGTATGTATGTATGTATGCATGCATTTCGTGGTGACCTGTGGTGTAATGATCAGCATGATCGCCTCACAAGCAACAGACCCGGGTTCGATCCCCTGGCCGGGTGAAACCATGGGCAAGTTTATTTACGTCATTTCCCTGCAGTAATTGGGAACCTGGATGTTAATCGATTTGCGGATCGTATTCCAGGGTAATGGTTAGCCAGTGCAGTTGGCGAGTAGTCCGGTCTTCTCCGACTATTCCTTGACACGGAGTCCTGCAACTCGTTAACTTAGGGTGTGGTTGTTATGTTGGCGACAGCTTCTACACAGACAAATTCACGCCTAGGTGACCCTTGGGCCTGCCACCCTCGTTACATGAGGGGCAACCATTATGTATGTATGTAACTACATTACCGTTTTTCATGGATGTGACAAGTTTCCTGGTTGTCTCTGGAGTGGTTTGGTTGGATGCCTCGAGGTACCTCATGATGAAGATGTTGGGGGCAAAGTTGATCATATTCTGCTCTCCACAACCATACGGCAGACGGACCAGGTTTCCCAGATTCTGTGGAGTGCACACTAAGTTAAACTTTATGTTGTGGCACTAGAGGTGTACCGTGTCGTAACCTACTCACTTGAGACCCTCCCATATGTTGTCCTTTTAGAAGAACAACAAAGCAGTTAAGAAAAATATTTTAAAGTAATGTCATCATCTTTCTCGGCATTTCAAAACAATACTCCAAAATCAATGCACTTTAAGAGGGTAAGTCACGTAGAAAAAAAAGTCTCTTATCAAAAAGATATAATGAAGTATAGAACTGTAGATGTTTGTGTTATAAAATAAAAAGTTTTATTCATGGTAAAAGTAATGGTAAATAGCGAACCTCTAGAGAAAGAGCGAGGAGGTCACCCACAACTGTGACCCAAGCTCGGTCTGATCCCTCCACGATGCCCGGGGGAGCCTCCAGTTCCCATTCCTCCAGTGAGTCTGTAAGTGTCTCCAGGTCTGGTTCAAGAAAAACAAGACATACTAAGTAAATTCTGGCTCCAAGACATGTGTAAACATTTCTTCATTTTGTTGTAATAATACAGGAGCAAGATTTTTATTCTCTCTGCATGTGAACTTAAAAAGTGAAATGGTGAAGTCTTTGTGGCAGTGACCCTGTGGAATGACATGGAAGAAGTTTTTGCAGGTATAGAACCAAGGACATTAGAAGTCTCACCTTTGGAGCAGACGTACTTGGTCCAGGTCTCCTCCTTCAGGAAGCCCTCGGCCTCAACCTTTATGGGTTTGATCAGAGCGTCTCTGGAGATAAAAGGAATAAGAAAATAGAGAAATTTACTCATTTCGTCAACTATGATGCAGAGGGAGAGTCTTGGATGAGGAAGTGGTGCAGTTGAACACACTAGTAAATGCTCTACGAGTCAATATCATTGTGGTCAAATTATTGTCTCCATCAATATAAAGGTGATATAACAAAGAATATTCAACAGACCTTTTCTCGATGGAGGTGTCGCCTGACCCACAAGGCTCAGAGTACTGGTAGTCCACGAACGCCGACACAGTAATGTTGACTTCACCGATCACCAGTGGCTTGATCTTGACTGTGTGGACAACCTTGTCTTGTGCTGGTAGACACGAGCTACGCCGTCCAAGCTCACCTGGTGCTCCTGGCTCCTGTATGATCTCGTATTCTTCACTCTCCCCAACACTCACACTCAACTAAATGGACAAGTAGAAATAATTTTGAATAATAAATACAAAATTTACTTATGTAACTTTTTTTACATTTATAGTAAAAGTGAGAGGATTAAAGTTGGAAATAATTTACCAATCGAATAGCTAAAAACGTTCTTCAAGACCAGATTTTGGTTATCTGTGAAGCATTTGGTACAGAAGGCAGTGTGGCCAGCGCTGCACTCTAACACCCTCACTTCCCCAAATGAAAAGTTAGGTACACAGTTTAAAGCGGTTCTTTTCATAATTACTGAGGACATATTAGTATTGGCTGGTCCAGTTCATAATTGCTGAGCACTTACAGGTACTGGCTGGTCTGGTTAGTAATTACTGAACACTTACAGGTACTGGCTGGTCTGGTTAGTAATTACTGAACACTTACAGGTATTTGTCGGTCTAGGTAGTTGAAAATGGACATCTTGACGGGGAGTATCTCGCCACGCTTGACAGTGGGGGGAAGGGTGAGGTCGACGAAGAAGGGGGAGAAGGTAGTGATGGACTCCCTCTCAGACAGTGCCACGCCCTTCTCTGGGTGGACACACACGGCCTTGCCCACCCACTGTGTGATGGTGTCAGGCAGGGTCAGGTCCTGGATGTTCACCCCAGACGATCTGTGTACAACATTCACTGATATAACGAACTGTACCCATCTAGTAATACAGGAAACGTCACTTGGTCTAGGCTTCACACTCGCATTCTCAAACTGTGCTAAACCAAGAACTGTACTGTTTTAAGTCAATCATATCACCTGATACTCAATTACGGAGGTAAACAAAGGTGAAAACACTGTCCCACAAAACCCCTTAGTAACAAGCCATCAGTATTTAAATGCGATTGGTTCTACATTCACGAAGCTTTTGTACAGTATGTGCAGCAACAACTTTACAGTATAAATGCTGTCGGTAATTGTCATGAATATTGCATTATCTAAAATATATATATATATATATATATATATATATATATATATATATATATATATATATATATATATATATATATATATATATATATATATATATATCTATCTATCTATCTATCTATCTATCTATCTATCTATCTATCTATCTATCTATCTATCTATCTATCTATCTATCTATCTATCTATCTATCTATCTATCTATCTATCTATCTATCTATCTATCTATCTATCTATCTATCTATCTATCTATCTATCTATCTATCTATCTATCTATCTATCTATCTATCTATCTATCTATCTATCTATCTATCTATCTATCTATCTATCTATCTATCTATCTATCTATCTATCTATCTATCTATCTATCTATCTATCTATCTATCTATCTATCTATCTATCTATCTATCTATCTATCTATCTATCTATCTATCTATCTATTCTATCTATCTATCTATCTATCTATCTATCTATCTATCTATCTATCTATCTATCTATCTATCTATCTATCTATCTATCTATTCTATCTATCTATCTATCTATCTATCTATATATATATATATATATATATATATATATATATATATATATATATATATATATATATATATATATATATATATCTCCATCACCATACACAGCTTATCAGACATCGATTTGTTATTATATATTTTGTTCCGAGAAGTAAAGGACGAATTCTTACGGGAGGATCAGGAGGTCCCAGAGCCAAGTTTCAGGGAAGTTGGTCCTTGGGGCATCTGCTTGTTTACTACTGTCTCCCTTCACACGGAGACCGAATCTTTCATCTTCGGCGATTGTTTCATGAAAATCTTGATGAAAAGAGCTCTGAGGTCTTGAGAAAGCTACATGTCCACCAGCGGTCGAAATAATGCTTTGAGGACGTAAGGTCTTTGCCTCCTCTGAAAAGGAAAAATAGTTACTTTTCTTCATAAGTAAAGTGAAACAAGTAATGCAGTATTACCACTGGATATTTTTGCTTATTAGAGATAACTTTATTGTATCTACAAGTAACTTTTTTTAAGGGAATTAGCCCACCCGGGCACAGGTCAAACGACCCACAACGGGGCCTAGGGGGCGAAAAAATAAGAACAAAAAAAATTAAAAATAGAGAAGAAAAAGGTTAGACTGTTAATCTACACCACGAATATGACAGGAAACCAGCTTTTTAAAGTGACAGATTGTATAAGTATGGAAACAGAAGGCAGAGCATTCCACAATTTGGCTGTGTGAGGAAAGAAGGATGTACTATAACGGTTATTCTAGTGTGACCGACAGCCACAGAGAAACGGTGGGCACCGCGGGCAAGACGAGTGTTACGAGCACACGGCCTTGCCGGCGGTACACAGGATGCCAAATCCACCGAACATTGCCCATTAAAGTACCTGTAAAGGAGAGAGAGAGAGAGAGAGTGAAGCAACATTGCGGCGAAGAGAAAGGGAAGAAAGATTGTCAACTAAAGGAGGAGAATTAATAAGACGAAATGCCTTTGATCTAACAGTTGGACAGAAGGAGAGCCACCCCAGATATGAGAGCAGTACTCCCAAGTTAGGACGAATGAATCCCTTATATACTTGAAGCAACTGCTCAGGAGTGAAGTAGCTACGGCATCTGTACAGTATTCCCAACTTTCGGGAGGCAGCTATGTTAAGGATGTGTGACTTCCATTTATCACCAGATTAATTCACTTATAATGTACTGACTCATTAGTAAACCTTGTGTAAGTTAAGTTGGGATAGGTTGGGTTATGATACTTAACTATTAATACAATTCATCATTTATAGTTTGTATTCGGTTTGTATATGCTATGTACACGTGAGCTTGATTTTTCTTAAGATAGAAGTCACTGAAACTATTGTATTGTACAAATTACTATTTCCTTAGACTTCCCAGCTATTAAGATAAAATATAAATTTGTACAGTTTTCATAACTCGTCGTTTTATTGATCTTAAACACCTGTGGACACCAATGTACACAGAACCGCATTGTGTCGAAAATCGTTACCTACAAAAACTTCCACAGCCAACCACTCAACAGAAAGCACCTGACATCTTAAAGGACTATCAAGACAGCAGGGATAACACCCAAACCAGTTTTCACATATGAACAAATTTAAATAAACTTTACAGTACATTACCTGCCTCACATGGCCTCGTCTCCACAGTCAAGTCAGTGAAAATGTACAGGCCGGATGTCTGAAAAACGTATTGAATCTAATTGTGACAGATTTATAATAAAAACATAATTAGTGTACAAAGAGAGCTTCAGAAGTACAGTATAAATAATAATGATAATACAGTATTACAGCTTATAATTACCATATACCTGTACAGTATATAATGAATATACAACACACAGCAGAGAGAGGCTAGCAAGGAAAGTATGGGAGACGAAGGTGGTGGGAGGAGGAGACCTACTAAGACCAACGGTGGGACGACAAGAGTGAATAGAAAATTGGTTAAAGAGGAAGACGAGGATAGCAAACGGTGACAAAGGAGAAGCCTACAGTAGATGAAGTGGGACTGTGCAGTGAGAGTCGTGTGACAAATCTCAAAGCCAATAGGACACAAGAAGATAAATAATGCGATATATATATATAACACATACGAAGTTTTTCAAGTTATCTTACATCAAACATCTTCAGAGCATCCACGAAGTTGGTTTGGTAACTGGAGTATCTTCTCAGAGGAACAAAATCTGTGAAGTAGCCCAACATAAGACGATGTACATAAAACAGAGGCGCTCATACCCCACTACCACTGTGGGAGGGACAGTACTAGAGGAGGTTCTGTTAGTTCTTCCTTCAGGTTCACATAAGACAATTAGTTTCCTCCCATGAGAAACAACTGTGATTGGGGATTCTCAACACCACCCCTGATATAGGGAGAGAGGACGGAGGGAGGGAGAGAGAGAGGACGGAGGGAGGGAGAGAGGACAGAGGGAGGGAGAGAGGACGGAGGGAGGGAGAGAGGACGGAGGGAGGGAGAGAGGACGGAGGGAGAGAGGATGGCGGGAGGAGGAGGGAGGGGGAGGGAGGACGGAGGGAGGGAGGGAGGAGGACGGAGGGAGGGAGGGAGGAGGACGGAGGGAGGAGAGGAGGGAGAGAGGACGGAGGGAGAGAGGACGGAGGGAGGAGAGGAAGGGAGGGAGGACGGAGGAGGAGGGAGGGAGGGAGGGAGGGAGGGAGGGAGGGAGGAGGACGGAGGGAGGGGAGGAGGACGGAAGGAGGGAGGGAGGACGGAGGGAGGAGGAGGAAGGAAGGAGGGAGGGAGGGAGGACGGAAGGAGGGAGGGAGGGAGGGAGGAGGAGGACGGAAGGAGGGAGGGAGGGAGGGAGGACAGAAGGAGGGAGGAGGACGGAAGGAGGGAGGGACGGAAGGAGGGAGGGAGGGAGGGAGGAGGACGGAAGGAGGGAGGGAGGGAGGACGGAAGGAGGAGGGAGGGAGAGGGAGGGAGGATGGAGGGAGGAGGGAGGGAGGAGGGGGAGGACGGAAGGAGGGAGGGAGGACGGAAGGGAGGGAGGGAGGAGGGAGGGAGGAGGACGGAAGGAGGGAGGGAGGGAAGACGGAAGGAGGGAGGGAGGGGAGGAGGAGGAGGGAGGGAGGAGAGGACGGAGGGAGGGAGGAGGGAGGACGGAAGGAGGGAGGACGGAAGGAGGGAGGACGGAAGGAGGGAGGGAGGGAGGACGGAAGGAGGGAGGGAAAATAGTGCCGAAATCGTGTCTTTCTGAATCATATGCTTTGTTTATTCTCTTCTTCATAATATTAAGAACTGAATTAACATACGTATTATCTCCATGTCATCAAATATATTTTTTCCCCATTTAGAAATTACCTTAAAGAATTTTCAATGATCAAATATTTTACCAGGATTGTTTATAATTAATTTTTGCTGTTGATATTATGGCAATACATTAATTCTTTATCACATACAAATACTTGAACCTAACCTCCGATTAATCTAGCTGCAGCGGCTTTTTTCAGATCCTCTTTACGTTGTTGCTCTTTGCAGTATTTGTTGTTGTTGATTTGGGAGTTCCCACCAATGTTGATGAAGAAGTTATTCGCAAAGTCGAACAGTTTATCCAAGGTGATGGGGTCAGGATCTACTGCCAGGAGCTCGGAGCTTCTGTCCACCACACCTGTGTTGACGAAGTGAAACTTATTGAACGTCAGTAATGTGATAGTTACTAGTCCTTCTGATTTAAGTAACTTGGAAAGAAAGGAAGTTAAACACCAGCTCACACTGGAAAGTTTACCAGTGCTCTCATCAAAATAGGGATACATTTTCTTGTGTTCTTAAATCACAGTAATACAAAATGAAATCTGGTTACCTTGTTTTTTTTTTAAGCCCAAGTGAAGAGGAAAACAGGTCTGCCATATGTCAACAGTGTGGAGAGTGGCTGATACATACCGAGGCTACACACTGAGTTTGGTTCCGACGAGAGTGTCAAAGTGGTCTGTTGTCCAGGTTCTAACTGAGCGTCTGACCAGGTGAGGTTAACGCTGCTACCAAGACACTTCTCCACCTCCAGCTCTCTTATGTCTGCCACCACCTCCCCGTCCTGACGAGTGTACCACACCAACACCTGCAACACATTAACAGTCTTATTACACCCGAGTCTGACAGTGAACGGTGTTACTAAGTTTTTCTTGATCTTTAATTTTTATCTTAAATATCATAGTTCTTCTTGGCTACGTCTAACAGCGGCTTAGGCCAGGGCAAGTCATTAAAAGATGACTTGCAATTACTTTTAATTGGTTATTTAAACAAGTAAAGTACTTCAGTTTAGTTCGTGGGGCATGTCGAGTCAACTGTGTACAGATATTTCAAAATTATTTGAATCATCCGTGAGAGTGAGTGAGTGAGTGTGTGTGTGTGTGTGTGTGTGTGTGTGTGTGTTGGTCTGCCAGACTCGGGCATGATCAGTCGTGACGCTATAAAATTAAGAACTTCACAAACCTTGGCCTTGGGAGAAGCTGTCGGGGGAATTTTTATGTTGATGTTGACGACTCCCCTGACGGTGCCCTCAATAGGAGGAGTCAGAGGCTCCACCAGGTGCTCCACACTGATGGGCAGGTCTCCACTAGTCAATTGATACTCCTGGCTACTCCAGTGCTGGACCTTCCCACGTGAAATAACCTGAGAAAACGATGTATAGACTAATCATTCCTGGGATCTACTAAGCTACCTAGGGGGCGCTCTGGTAATGTCAAATTAATTAAAATGTTACAAAAGATAGTAAACAGGACCTTAGAGACCTAAAGGGTAATTCAATTGATCACATAACTTCCAAGTCAGTTATAGTACGAGAACTCTGAAAGGATTACAGCCAACAGGTTGGAGGCTCTCATCAGGCTCTAACTCCTGGGATTCTATTCGAAGAAACCGCTGATCATCTTTCTGAATATTATACTATAACACCATCGTGAGAATTTGATTTTAAATTAATTTAATTGCCCTTTGTCTCAACAGTTATTCATAGTTATTCCAAACAGAAGCATCGATCAGCTCCGATTCTAAATTTACATGTCCGTTTTTACATCAAAACGTTGTCTTTATGAATTACTCAGATCAAAGACTAAGCATTAGTAGGACTGGAGAAACTCTGCTAAAGGAAGCAAGACCTTATCCCCAAATCATTTGATATCAGTAAACACTAATGTTTACCTCAACAAAAAAGGCAGTCTGGTATGAAACCAGCTGGATTCGGTAAAATGCTACTGACATCCACTTAAGCAGCACGGGCAGTTCCCAATGAAACGTTCACGGAGCCATCAGCTCGATGAACAGGCTTTGTGTGAAATATCACATTGTCTAGAACTGCTTTTAGTGCTCTTGTGGTATGGTCGGTAGCGTTCCCTGGTCCCATGCATTAGGTTAAGGGTTCGAGTCCTGGCTGGTGAGGTCGTTGATTATATACATATATATACACACACATATATATATATATATATATATATATATATATATATATATATATATATATATATATATATATATATATATATATATATATATATATATATATATATATATATATATATATATATATATATATCACTGTAGGTATGATATATATATATATATATATATATATATATATATATATATATATATATATATATATACTTACCTGTACAGTGAAGACCGCCGAGTCTTGGTTCCTGGCAGAGAAGAGCACAGGTAGGGCGTGTTGCTGAGTTTGTCCTGGTACACACTTCAGTTTACCCTCGGGGGCGTGGATCACCAGGGAGGAGTTGGAGGGGGAGTAATAGTGCTCCAGATCTTTCGAGTACTCAGACTGACGCATCAGAGCCCGGGAGTTTAGGGCCTTTATCTGTGGTGTTGAAAAAATAATTATGTTCCGTCTGATGACAAAATGATCTGGGTACATGTGACCCAATGTACAAAAGGGTTTCAGAGAACGGAATTCTTTTACAAATCGCTGAATACTTGTACATAAGCTAAAGTAAAGTGATCTGCCATATCAAATACATCTTCAACGCCCACTTACAAAGACTTTGTCTGTGTTGTAAGAAGGCAAGACTGTTGTGAAGAGTCCATCAGGCGTTGTGGTTATGTTGTTGCACCGTCCAACAGCACACACCTCCATGACAACACCAGCAGCAGGAGAGTCATCAGGCAGACTAGCTCTCAGCTATTGAGGGCAAACAATCAGTCATAAAATAGTATACTTTAGCTTTTAGCTTTTTTATCTAGTAAAATGTTAAATATTTAGATTTTTTTTATTACAGTTCCTTGGTGTTGGATTCCTGCAGTGAATCTTGTTAAATATAGAAACATCATTACTGTTACATCCGAGTTCCTAGAGACTGTCTGTAGGGTAATGGGGTCTGGGAGACGTCACTCAATATTTATTCAAGTACTTTTCAATGTAGTTTAAGAAGTCTGTATTTGTATAGTATTTGAGATTCACTATGTGTATTTATATAAATCAAATCATCATAATGTGCTAATTTTTCAGTTTTACCGATTTTCTTCGGGTTTTTTCTCTCATAAGTTTACGTTATAATTTCCGTTAATGTAAATGTTTATTTCTCTCTCTACAGAAGCATTATCCTCTTGATATCACATACTACAGAACATTTAACGACTGTACCACATTAATTCAGTTTTTTTTTTAAATTTTATTCATTTCGTGACCAAAAGAGGATAGTTATTAATTTGTAAAGCATTACAGCTGTTAATGTAATTTTATGATATTTTCATGAACAAACCTTTAAGGTAAAAGGGAGATTCGGCTTCATGTATTTATCCTCATGAATAACCTTGAAAGACACAGCTTGGCGATGGATGGTGGCAGAGTCCCGGGCACTGAGCTCTATGTTGGTCCCTTCTTCAGTCACTTTGGCTGAAAGCGAGAGGGTGTTTACGTTGCAAAGCATCGTCTTCATTTGTCTTGCCGTAATCTCTACGTCCTTACAACCAGAGATCTGCAACATATTACCATCAATACCACCAACCCTTATTGCATGGTCTTTAAGATGATCCCACAGACGAGAACAATTTCCACTCAACATTATCATTAGCCACAAATGTACAGGATTATCGGAACAAAATTATCCCCAACTTATCAATTTTCCTACAATCATGTATCACATACTGTATATACCAACACCTACAGTCTCACCCTATTAAAGTCAGGAATTGTAAATCTTATGCTGGGATATTAAAAGAATTAAATGCAGATCAATAAGCTGCTTTAAATGAACAACAATAAGTAAATATTAAGTTAATGTGGCCGGTAAACTTTCTCCCATTCCTTATACAGTAGATCCATCCTACCAAGCCACAACTTAAACCAAACTCAACCACTATGAGCTGGGGACAGTAAGGATAGAGGCCCTATCCTAATACCTGTACTTCGATTAGGATGTGGCTCAAGCAAGACCCACCAGGATTTACAAAAAAAGGGTAGGAAGGGTTGTGAGGATGGGTTGGGAGTTTGACTTTGCTGGTTGGTCGAGTTATTGACACAATGGCGGGGTGCAAGGCTGGAAATACTCACTGTGTCATTGTGGGTGACAGTGGCTTCACAATCTTTTCTCTCACCGTTGCTGATAGTCAGTGTCAAGTTGCCCTTAACTGATCGTCCAAATGTGTAACTGTCAAATATAGTTAAAATAGGATTAAAAAATGTCTCCAAATAACTAACACACACACACACACACGGCCTGTTCAAGAAAACTTTCAGTCTTGTTAATACTGAGGAGCCACCTTAACCACTACACAACTCCCCAACATAGTAAATCCACTTTATGGGTGGAAAATCAGTCTCATTCCTCTTATATTGAGTAATTACATGTAATCCTGTTCACTGCTGAAGTTTTTTTTTTTTTTTTTGACTGCAGGTAAGCCAATCACGCCCAGAGTCGACTTGTTTATTAAGGTCCTTTACAGTATTGAACGAGATATTCTGATATTGAAGACCTTTCCTACTTTGATATATATTGGTGTTTTTAGATTTGTATTTATGTTCATAATATTCCATTCCAGTTTTTCCTGTACTCTTCACAAACCAACTTTTTACCCTACTACAGGACACCACTTCTACACAACTTCTGAAAATCTGTAGCTACAGTATAAATCGTTACTTCACAAATCAAAACCAAAAACTAACCCTGCTATTTATTTTCAATGATTTTGTAGTGAATCCATTTTTGTTTTGCTAATCCATATTAAATTTCAAACTGTGAGGTTCTTCCCGACTCAATACACCTAAACACGAGACCAACAAACTGTAGAGGATCTCACTTGGCACACACGGTGAAGGTGAACTGCTCGTCAACAGCCAAGATATATTTGGGCTTCGTAAGTGTCACCTCAAACCTTGGCAACACAAAGTCCTCCACCTTGAAGTCTCTAGTTGTAGTCCCGCCATCTGAAGCCTTCACGTGGATGCGGTAGGTTCCCTGAGGAGTATTATAGCCTGAATGAGTCACAGTGGTTTGTTGTGAATGTCAACTTCTTTCACTTTCTCCCTCACCTCTCCGTGCCTTATATTCTCCACCACCACCATCTCTTTCACCTCTCTTGCCTCACTCTCTCCCCTCCTCCTCACCTCTCTTGTCTTGTCTCTCTACCCTCCTCACCTCTTGCCTCACTCTCCCCCCCCTTCCTCACCTCTTGCCTCACTCTTCCCTCCTCCTCCACCTCTCTTGCCTCACTCTCTTCCCACCTCCTCACCTCTTGCCTCACCCTCTCCTCACCTCTCTTGTCTCACCCTCTTCCCTCTTCCTCACCTTCTCTGGTTCTTTGGCCAGGCTAACGTCGAGATGGACCAGCCCATTAGGATTGTCCACATTATTCCACTGGGCGATACGAGAGCTAGCAGGCGTCGTCACCCACACTTCTGGATACTGTCAGGGGAGGCAGATCACAGGAACATCACACCTATGTTCTCAACCTTTATTATTATGGACAATAACCTCTATTGACATAAATCACAAGGCTAGCTGGATAACATGAATTACGAGTTAAATAACATTACATCAAAATCCTGTAATACATAACACCAAAAAATATTGTACATGAAAGCATCACTGGAAGACACACTGGTACAGGGTAAATTCATTCATCCTGTGGTCTCCATTTCCCCACCTGTCTTCATTCTTCACTAATATATAGCTCAGTATCACTCACACACACACACTCCATGTATACTTTCATACATCCATCTTTGGGAAACATTTCATGTTCATGTAATTTCTTTATCCTAAGGTACCCGTGGAAACTATTTACACTTTTATCCTTTTATTTTTTTCATTTATAAAACTTTGGAACTCACTTCAGTAAGCTTTTGTACACTTACAGGAACACTCACTTCAATAAGCTTTATGAATACAGTAATAAGAAATGAACCCTTGGGTTATACCCCTACGTGTTGACTGAAGTTCACACTCACATTCTCGGTGGAGACCTTCAAGTTTGCCCCAACCACAGTGAGGATCCTAAACTTGACATTCTGGCCAGGCTCATACAAGTGCTTGTCGGTCTGGACGAAGGTGAGATCCCTCGTTTGCCTGAGTGTTATCTTCAGTGAACCGTCTATGTTGACACCATTCACAGTGCCGAACAGGTGCAACTCAACTCGAGAATCCGTCAATTTTGGTACTTGCACCTCGTAGCATACCTCTGTCTTCCCTGCAAACGTAACGGGTTTAAAGACTAGACAGTTTTGTTTCATTGTAGCTATCATTGAAGTGTGACCCTTCAATGTTGTAGTAACAGCAAGAGAGATCAAACACTATCACTGACCATTCAAATCCCGTACCACCTGACCTGACTAAACTAAAATACAAAGTCCTCCTCACCCCTACATGCTCTATATGTACAGACAGGCCCAGAGATAAGGTACCGTTTCACAATGAGAAATAACATGTACTGTATATCGGGTACTTGTATCATATTCTTACAAAATATATATAAACATCCGAGCACGATTTAAAACATACTGGAACATACTGCGCTAACTGACCTACCGAACCACCAACCTCCCAACTAACCTGCTGGAATTTTTATTATAGAAATAGGATCGAAGGTTGCGTTGGCTTGGTTGAACACTTGCTGAGGGGTAAGTTTGAATGTCAGTTCTCCTGCAGGTGCTGTTGAGTTAGTCACGTACACACACACCTGAGCTTGTTCACCTGCCGTCCACTCCCGCGGCGTCGTGATTACATAACCACTGAAGTAAACGAAAGGGTTTATACATATTCGACTACAAAAAAAAAAACTTTCATGCATCCGATTTGTATTTTCAGCAAGTAACAAAAAGCCAAAAATGTGTTCATACAAATCTGACCACAAAATCCGTTTTCATAAATTTGACACTTTAGAATTTGTACAATATTCATACAATATTCTTTACTGTTCTTAGAAACAATAGTTACAATATAAGAATAATATAATAGGGTTACATAATAGGGCGGCCAGAACTTTTAATCTAGCAGCACCAAACTTCCGCAAGAGACAGTTTACTCGTGACTTTCCCTATAAACACGCAAAAAATACAGATGAGAGAGACAGGAAGAAGTAGAGGAATATCAAGAGAAACTAACAATTCCAGGTTTGTCTTCTATACATATTAAGAGTCGTGACGGGGATGTTTTAAACCCTTCAAAAAATCAATCTTTCGCGCTCTTGCTCTCTCGCTCAGCATCTAAAACATTCCAGCCCTTCACCTCAAGGACAAGTCAGTCAGGAAACATGCAGAGTCATTAGCCCTCAGGTCTTGTGGTTTGCCTCTACCATGTTCCTAGACTACCTCTCCCGAGCTCTCAAGGTCTGCAGTCCATTGCTACAACCTGCTCTCTCCACCCCCCCCACTCTCTCTGAAGACCTGTTACCACGCCAAAACTTAGTGTCGTTAATTCGTTCCTAAATTTGACAATAGTCTTAAGCGTGTTCGTAGCTGTGAAAAAACTTGAAGATTCCGTTTAAGCGTTCGTAATTGTAACAAGAAACAGCTTCCGTCCGTTAACGCGTTCGTAATATTACCAACACTCAATAACATCAGCAGCAGAGCGAAGGTGACTCCAAGGGCTGGTGACACGAGCTTGTTTGGCGAATGAAGTAACTGGAAGACTTTAATCAACACCGCATCTACGGGTTACAAGAGAGATTTTGTTGTACACCTACTAACTAACTGCCTTTAAAATTCTGTCGACACGTTAACGCACTCTGTCTTGAAGAAATATTATTAGAAACCTTCACGTAAGGTCTTTTATTTTTGTTTAACTCACTCCGTCTTTACATTTCATAACTAAAGCAATCAAGGTTAATTTTTCACACCATAACGCACTCTCGCTGTCTTAAAAAAAAAAAAAAATAACCACAACACATTAGTTCCAAGTCATTAATTTTCAAATATTTTTTATCTTTGTACTGTAATAGCAAACTGTTATTTTACGACTAGAAAAGTAATCAACAACGCTTCTACGAGTTTCCTTCCCTGTTATTAAGTTATATTTGGGACTAAAAAAGTAGACCTTCAAGCAATTTGTGTGTGTGTGTGTGTGTGAGAGAGAGAGAGAGAGAGAGAGAGAGAGAGAGAGAGAGAGACTGGTCAGATATGTAAGAGGGAGTTGAGAGCTAAACGTTTCAGTCTAAAAACCTCGACAATTTATCAAGATTTGTCACCAGTCAGTATTTCAGCACAAAATTTCCGTTAACTCTCATCACATTGTTTTACGTTATCCTCAGCTGACTTAATCTAATTTAATCTTCCTAACCTACATAACCAACCTAATCTACCAAACCTAACCAGACCTTACCTAACGAAACCTTACCCAAGTCCATGAGGTTTTTATCCGTGTACCAGTGTCACGTTGAAGAGGAACACCACCCCCAACCTCTTCCTTCTGGCTCATCAAACCTCGTGACCGGAAGGAAATTATTTTTTTACTACACAACAACTCGCGCACAAAACATAGCTTGACATTGATTATGTGAGCTGGATGATAGGGCAAGTTTCAGTATCAATTGTAATCTTCAGCCAAGAGCAAGTTTTGATTCGTCGTTCTACCGTCTCTAAACAGTCGATTAACAACTGCGTAATTCACTGATGCAGGGTAAAATAGGACCTAAACTTATATATTTTCAACCTTATTCTTGCAACGTTCTTAGAGAGGTCGCATACCTTTACTAAGCAGCCATATTCAGTCATGCCTTACATAGAGATTATTGCCATATAACGATCACTTTCGTGTGGTTCTAAAGGGTTAAAAAGTCGCATTAGGCGTGTCGATATACATATAAGCTAAAAGTGAATAACATACACTAACCTAACTTACTATAGGAATACTGTATATCAGAGGCCCGGAAATTCGTCAACGTTGAGCCACAAACACTTGCTTCAAAATAACAGCAGCACATTCTTTAACACAAGGCCAGTCTTCCAGAACACAGGAGGACAAACTCAAGGAAAAAGAAACGGATGTAAGCCCTGTGATTAACCCCGAGTGTAAATATCTTTCATTTTTCTCAGCACATTGTGGTTTGCTATGTGGAGCTGGTATTTGAAGAACTACATTCCTCAGTCAATTTGTTATTTTAGCGAGTTATATTACAAGTAACTCAATGTAAAGTTGCATGTGGATGTAGAAACAATTTCTATACATTACAAGAACAAAAGTGAAAGGTTTCTACCAATGCAGACATACAATTACCAACGCACTCGAGTATTAAATTCGAGAAAGTTTAATCTGACATTTTGTTTTTTACAAGCAAATAAAAGGGATATTCGAAAGTAGAAGATAACTTCTTAATATTGCGGTATATTATTAAATAACTGGATGAATGTAGCCAAGAGAGTTGTTGTGGAGAAGAGGAGTCAGGATCCTTGAGAGAAATATTGGTGCAATCCCATTACATAATAAGCCTCAAGCCTCCCCAGTTGAGCTACACAACACGGTTACCAAGAACTACACACTGTTCTATCCAATAAAACATCCCCACCTATTGTTGTAACCGAGATTATAAAAGTTTCCGTATGATATTAAAATTTCCCTCAAAGATATTCAGTGATCAATCATTCCGCAGCCTCGAGTACTATTCCAGACATCAGGGCGTTAAACTTAGCATATACTACCGTTGCTTAAGGTACCCATGATAACGGAGCTTGTATTATGATACGATCATGTTTAGCAGTACAGTATGCTTTGTATATACACTTCCTTGAATTTATCTTCGAACAAGTTCGTTTTCATGTAGCAACGCCGTCAACACGTCCCTGAGTCTGAGAAAGAGAAAGCTGCAATAATAATAATAATAATAATAATAATAATAATAATAATAATAATAATAATAATAATAATAATAATAATAATAATAATAATAATAATAATAATAATAATAATAATAATAATAATAATAATAATAATAATAATAATAATAATAACAATAATAATAATAAAAGGTTTATTGAAAAAGTTTGCAGCCCGAAGGCTGAAAATATACATTGGACATAAATGACTTATTACATACATTGGTGGTTTAACAAAAGCCTTCATTAGAGAAAGGTGAAGGAACATACAGTG